AGCCAGGTATCCAATGGAACAATTAGGCAGTTATCCATCAATGTTGGATATTAATAATTATAATTGAAATAACTAATTAATATATTGTGCCCTATGTTGTAGTTTCCCGGTAGCATGCAGCCTGAGGCATAGTGAATAATGGTCTGAGTGTAAGATTGAATGGAGGAAATGATTCATTTGTTATCCAGCTTTTTTCTTGTAGAAGTAGTCATGTGTTTACCAGGCAAAGGTTGATAGCATTTTTATTTTGATGATGCAGTCTCATGGTCTAGATTATTTTGATACTGATTAACAGGATAAGCTGACTCTGGACATATCCTGACAACCTCTGCCAAGGTTTGAAATAAACATCTGGGAAATTCAGTTTTCTATTATCTATTCCTGCAGCTGCTCAACTTCCAGTAAGTGTCAGGGAATATAACAGGTTTACTGATTGATTACAGATAAAATGTGAAAGAACAGTTCATGTCAAGGACATTGTTGCCAAACAAATTTGGCAAGATGTGTATGTCAAATCCCAAGGGAAATACACAAACAAAACCCCCCACAACAGTCAGTAAAACCCATGAGCCCTGGAACATTTTGTCACTTACTGTGCAGATTACCCTGAAGCTGAGACAGGCAAATAAATCATGTCTGTGCTGCAGCACAAAGCAGTCTCTCTACTGGGGCTGGTGTCGAGGCTCCTCTGAAAGAGATGCACACAGCAGGTGGTGCTGATGCCCTTGGGAGTGTCTGCATTGTCCCTTCGACCAGGGGCCCACTCTGATCCTCAGCCCTCTTGATTTGCGCTTCTGTGCCTTCTGTTTGTCCGTCTTGTTTCTCGGGCCTCTGGTGTTTCTGTCTTCCCACAGAGGGAGAAAAAAAATGTGTTTCTGGGCACCCTTGGTCCAATGAGGCCTAAGAAACAGCTGTTGCACATCTAGTTCTATGTCTTTTAAAACCTCCTTTTCTAGGAATACTACCAAATATGTTCTACGAAGCCAACATTACACTAACACCAAAACCAAAGACAGCACAAAAAAAGAAAATTACAGGCCAATCTCCTTAATGAACACTGATGCAAAAATCCTCAACAAAATCCTTGCCAACAGAATACAACAATGCATCAAAGGGATAATACACCACGATCAAGTGGGATTCATCCCAGGGGCACAAGGATGGTTCAACATATGAAAATTGATCAGTGTAATCCAACACATCAACAAAAAGAAAAATAAAAACCATATGATCGTATCAATAGATGCTGAGAAAGCATTTGACAAAGTCCAACATCCATTTATGATGAAGGCTCTTGAAATTCTCAAGATAGAAGGAACATACCTTAACATGATAAAAGCCATATACGACAAACCCACTGCCAATATTATTTTCAATGGCGAAAAGCTGAAGGCCTTTCCTTTAAGATCAGGAACAAGACAAGGAGGTCCTCTCTCACCACTGCTCTTCACTATAATACTGGAGGTCCTAGCCAGGGCAGTAAGACAAGAGAAAGACATACAAGGAATCCAAATAGGGAAAGAAGAAGTCAAACTATCACTATTTGCAGATGATATGATAATATACATAGAGAACCCTGAAAACTCCACAGAAAAACTACTCGAAATAATCAACCAGTTCAGTAAAGTAGCAGGATACAAAATCAACACCCCAAAATCAGTAGCCTTCCTATACACAATCAATCTGAAGAAGAAGGAATCAAGAAAACCATCCCTTTTATAATTGAAACAAAAAAATCAAATACTTGGTAATAAACCTAACAAAAGAGGTGAAAGACCTATACAAAGACAATTATAAAACACTGTTAAAAGAAATAGAAGAGGGCCTCCCCAGTGGCGCAGCGGTTGAGCGCTGGGTTGCCAAGCTGCCCGCAGCCTCTGTGGCGCCGGTTTGATCCCCGGCTGCTCCCCGGCCACCAGAGGAGGGTCCCACATGGCGCGCAGACCCCTCCTGCCGCCCGCTGCTCCCCTCAGCAGTGTACTTCGGTCCTTCTGCCTGCTCTGCTCCCCGCTCTGGCTCTGGTGAATTCTCTCACCCTCCCGCGCTTCTGACTGTACCCAGTGCATGTATAAACAAACAAACAAACAAATAAATAAATAAAACATGCCTCTATTAAAGAAAAAAAAAAAAAAAAAAAAAAAGAAAAAGAAATAGAAGAAGACACAAAGAAATGGAAAGACATCCCCTGCTCATGGATTGGAAGAATTAACATTATCAAAATGTCCATCCTACCAAAAGCAATATACAGATTCAGTGCTATTCCAATAAAAATCTCAATGACATTCTTCAAAGAAATAGAACAAATACTGATGAAATTCATATGGAACCACAAAAAAACACAAATAGCCAAAGCCCTACTGATGAAAACAAAGGAGAAAGGAGGTATCACACTTCCAAACTGCAATTATTATGGCTACAAAGCCATAATAATTAAAACAGTTTGGTATTGGAACAAAAACAGACACACAGACAAATGGAACCGAATAGAGAGCCCAGAAATAAAACCACACTTATATGGACAACTGATCTTTGACAAAGGAGCAAAGAACACGCAATGGAACATGGACAGTTTGTTCAATAAATGGTGCTGGGAAAACTGGACCCCCACATGCAAAAAAATGAAAGTAGAACACTACCTCTCACTGTGCACGAAAATCAACTCAAAATGGGTAAGAGAACTGGACATAAGACCTGAAACCATAAAATATGTAGAAGAAAATATAGGTAAAACACTACAAGGCATACATCGCAATAACATATTTAAAGACTCATCACTCAAAGCAAAGAAAGTCAAGGAAAAGATAAACACCTGGGATTACATCAAACTGAAAAGCTTCTGCACAGCAAAAGAGACATTAAGCAAAACAGAGACACCCCAATGATTGGGAAAAAATCTTTGCACTCCATGCAACTGATAAGGGACTGATCACAAAGATATACAAAGAACTCACGACTCAACAAACAAAAACAAAATAAACAATCCAGTCAAGAAATGGGCAGAAGGGCCTCCCCGGTGGTGCAGCAGTTGAATGCTGGGTTGCAAATATGCCCGCGGCCTCTGCAGCGCGGGTTCGATCCCCGGCTGCGCCCCGGCCACCAGAGGAGGGTCCCACATGGCGCGCAGACCTCTCCTGCCACCCGCTGCTCCCCTCAGCAGTGTACTTCGGTCCTTCTGCCTGCTCTGCTCCCCGCTCTGGCTCCGGTGAGTTCTCGCACCCTCCCGCGCTTCTGACTGTACCCAGTGCTTGTATAAATAAATGAATAAAAATAAATAAATCTTTGGAAAAAAAAATGGGCAGAAGAACTTAAAAGACATTTCTCCAAAGAGGAAATGCAAATGGCCAACAGGCAGATGAAAAAATGTTCAACATCCCTTATAATCAGGGAAATGCAAATCAAAACCACATTGAGCGCCTCCCCTGGTGGCGCAGTGGTTGAGCGCTGGGCTGCAAAGCTGAACGCAGCCTCTCCAGTGCCAGTTCGATCCCCGGCTGCCAGCGAGGGTCCCACTTGGCATGCTGGACCTCTCCTGCTGCGCCCGCTGCTCCCCTCAGCAGTGTGTTTCGTCAGTTCTGCCTGTTCTCTTCCCTGCTCTGGCTCTGGTGAATTCTCTCACCCTCCCGCGCTTCTGACTGTGCCCAGTGCTTGCATAAATAAATAAATAAATAAGTAATTTTTTTTTTTAAAAAAACACATTGAGATACCACCTTACACCAGTGAGAATGGCACTTATCGAAAAAACAAGCAATGACAATGTTGGCGAGGATGTGGTGAAAAAGGAACTCTCCTGCACTGCTGGTGGGAGTGCAAACTGGTCCAACCACTATGGAAAGCTGGCTGGAGGTTCCTCAGTCTACTAAAAATGGAGCTATCATATGACCCGGCAATTCCAGGCCTAGGGATCTACCCAAGGACAAAAACACATTGATTCAAAAGACCACCTGTACCCCTATGTTTATTGCAGCACTATTTCCAATAGGTAAAACCTGGAAACAACCCAAATGTCCAAAAATAGATGACTGGGTCAGGAAGATGTGGTCCATATACACGATGGATATTACTCTGCAATCAAAAAAAGATACACTCATGTTATTTGCAGCAATGTGGATGGAGCTAGAAGGAATGATGCTCAGTGAAATAAGCCAGAAGGAAAAAGAAAAATATCGGATGGTCTCACTCATAGCAGGAATACAGGAGAACCAAATAAGACATCAGTGTAAAAAATAATAACAGCTCAAAAGACAACAAAGCAAAACAGACAATTATAAATCAGAGACATCCTGCAGGGGCGGAGGAGGGAGAGGGAGCGGAGGGAGGGAGGGAGGAGCGCAGGGGACTGAGGTGAGGGTGCACGGGTGCACTGGGGAAGGAGATTCTATGGGGACGACACCTGAGGGGGTGGGGGGAAGCAGATATTGTTTAAAAATGAACAACGATGTAAAAAAAAGAGAAAAGAAAAGAAAAGAAAACCTCCTTTTCTAAAAAAAGACAAAACTTGCAGGCAAAGCATAGATTGGAGACAGACCGCAGGGGAGGGGTGGGGGGGACAGTTCAGGGGTGGGGGGACCTTCATGGACACAGGCTCTAGCAGGTCTCCACCAGCACAGTCTTCACCAGAAGGTCATTTTGTCTTGTATTCCTGCAGCCACAGGAAGGGATAGATCTGAGTACATGCTGGCCACACGATAACAGCCTGTACTTGGTGACAGTCACAGATGACGCTCAAGGAGCCTGTAGCTTTGCACAGTCTTGTTTGGCTCATGTTTGAGATTTTCGGGTGGATCTTTTCCCATCACCCTCTTGTGCCAGAAGGGACAAGGGCAGCCACCCCACCGTGAGGCCTGGGCATGGCCATCTACAGCAGGGACTCACGCACAGCTGGCTCCAGCTCCTTGTTACCAATAGAGGCGGCGGGATGGGTACGTTTCTTCAGGCTGCTTTTCAGAGTCAGTTCAGAGAAGAGTCCAGCAGAAGGAATGCCTTCCACTTTCTCCATGCAGGTCTGCTCCTGCAGCGCCAGGGCCTTCTCCCGGCAGCTCCGTGCTCGCCTACAAGAAGACTGTGTTTGTGGAGTTCACGGATCACCTGTTCAGCAGAGCCAAGCCCAGGCCTCCCTGGATGGGTAATGGACACTGCTGGCTGCTTGTCTGGTTCCCAGCGGGGCCTCCCCGTCCTGGGGCTGCTGCTGGCCGCCCTCACCGTGCCCCTGGGGGCTGCACGGCTTTTTGCTGGGTTTGCCTTTTCTGCTGCTCCTCTGGGTGTTACACTCCCTGGGTTTTCGATCTGGTTCATCCTGCTCCCTCTGTCCATCTACTTCCCAGCTGATCCCATCCAGTCTCATAACCTAAAATACCATGTATGCGCCAGTCACACCCACGTTTATGCAGTCAGCTCAGCAGGCTCAGGTGTCAAAGGAGCAGGCCATGAGCCGTTGACAGGAGCGATTGCAGGAGCAATTTCCTGCCTCGGAGCCATCACTGAGCTTTCTTTGCGAGAAGCCTCCCCAGAGCACGCAGAAGCACTCGCTTGGGTCGTGGTTCCACACTTCTGAGCCCTCCTGTCAAGCCTAGTGAGGGAGGCCAGAAGTTCCGGGGACGAGAGTTGTCTCGAAAGACCCCAGAGAGGGCTTCCCGCCAGGGCTAAGTGACCCCAGCAGAGACGGTCTGCCAGCAGCAGAAACAGAGGCGAGCTCTGGAGACAGCAAGGTGGGCTGCAGTGTCCCGGTATTGGTACCGAGAGTGTCCAAAGAGCTCGTAAGTAAGGGCCCCAGGAAAGGGAGAAGTCACGTGAGCACACCCCCACCCCCACCCCCGCGTTGTCAGAGGCCCGGGGCGGAGGGACCTAGATTGCAGGGACGTCAAAAGTTCGACGTCCGACTGGACAGGAGTCAGTAGGGTCGAGAAATGGCAGTTCCTTCACGGAGGTTGCTGGAAAGATCTGAGGTTCTTCAAAGGGCAAGAAAAGGAAATTGCACACAAACGAGGAGAAATGAAGCCATTTCTAGTTCATTCAATAAACCCCTGTCCACACCTGATGCGCGCTCGCTCTCTCTCTCTCTCTCTCTCTCTCTCTCTCTCTCTCTCTCTCTCTCTCTCGGAGCCTTCATTTTCTTTTCAATTCCCCAAGTCGTGGCCCGAGTCCGAGTCCTGAGTCCTCTCTACTTATCTTCTACCCGCAACGTCCAGCCCATCGCCACGTCTGTTGGCTCTTCCTCGGAGGCAGGCCGCGAGTCTGCGGCTTCTTGCAAGTTCCCAACCCACCCAAGCGGCCGTAGCTGCACAGGTCCCGCGTGTGACGCTCCGGGCGGCCGCTGCGGCCTGGCTGTGCACGACCCGCCGGCCCATCCCCCTGCACCTGAGCGTGGGGGGGCGCCACGCCGTGCGCCGTCGTCTTCTGCTTGCCGGTCCTAGCCGATCTGCGCAGCTCTTGCTTCTTTCTCATTACTCACGTCTCTGCTCCAGTGCTGCCTCCTGCCTCGTCAGCTCTAGCGCAGCGCCATCTTCTACGGCGTTTACAGCAACCCGAGGTCTTGCTGTTTGCCTTCATGTCCCATGTCCGTGAATCCGCTCCCACCATCCTGCAGCTCAGGGCCCAGGGCAGTTCCTTGGCAACACTACGGGCTTAGCTATTCAATGAGTGAATGCGTTGCATGAATTGCCAGAAACCTGTCCCTTTGGGGGACACCCCGCTCCCGCAGGTCTGCTGGGTCCAACCATCCAGGCTGAGGTTTCTGACACAGTGGTCGTCACACTTAAGAACATGGCTTCTCACCCTGTCAGTCTGCACGCTGTGGGGCTGTCCTACTGGAAAGCTTCTGAAGGTGAGTCAAACGCCCTCCTGTTGTTCTCTCATCCTGGAGATAGCAGGGCACACTGTGCATGCAGGGTTCCAGCGCTGTGTCTGCAGTTACATCTCTCCTCTTCTCCACAACTTACCAAGGGATAATAATAGTAACAATAACGACTGGCATGTGTTCAGTATGAGGTCATAAGCTTGTGTAACTGGAAAGTTCCATGCAGTCAGTCAGGCCCGATTGGACCCAAGGAATCCAGTGATGCCCCCACCCTCTAACTGAACACCATAGCTGTCCCCAGCACGACTAGAACGTGAACATCTCAAGACAGAGGCAGTGTCCGTTTTTTTATTTTGAATCCTAGCGAGTGATCTGGCCCCTAGCTGGTAGTGAATGCTCAGCCAGAAGTGGGATCCAGTAGGCAGCAGTTACCCTACAAGTAGACGTACCCTCATACCCCCGCCCCCAGGAGTTGCTTCTTCAAGTGCAACCTGCCACAGTGGTTGGCGAGCAGCTGATCCAAGAATCCAGCCTCCCTGGTGACAGTTGAATGGACCAGAGGCGGTTGCCCTACCTGAGCCAGGTCTAGGAAAGGAATTCCTTCCTACAGGGTTAAGCATGTGAGAAAGGCCCCACTCTAACCATGTCAGCCTGCAGTTTGGGGACGAGAGCCACGTATGGCAAAGCCAGGATCCACTACTCCATGGATTCCTCGTGGCCCCTTAATATTTGTGTGACTCCTGCAGCGACGCCCACCCCAAACAGCTAGCGACATGGCCAACACAGAGCCCAGCCCTGGCTCTCTTACGCCCACATGTAATTGGAGCATGAAATCCGGGAAGTTTTTCCAAAGATTGGTGCAGAAAATGTTGGTGAGAGAGCAAACTTTCACAGCCCCAACTCTGAGAGCCGTCAGAACAGCAAGCACTGGAGCCTTCCTTTCAGGCCCCGCAGCGGCCTCCCTTGCGAACCCCGAGTGGAACCCAACATAGTAGCCGGGAGCCCTGGTGGCCACTGAGCTGGACCATTTCTTTTCACGTTTCTACTGGCATCACTCCAGCGCCTCATTTCATACCTGCTGGCCTGGGTTTCCTCAGTCGGCGGAAAGCCAGGTCCAGTCCTGCCCACAAGGGAAGAATTCTGGGCTGGGCCACTTACACTGGAGTCCTCAGCACTCAGCACACAACACAGCACTCCGGTCAGGGAAGGGCCTAGGAAGGGTCACTTCCCGCACCGCAGCGCAGGCAGTCAGAGTGCCTGACCTCTTGTGGCGTGTGACTTCCTCCTTGCAGACCTAGGGGAGACCTTTCCGGGAAGCGTTGTCATTTCAGTGCAAGTTTAATTAGGCGCCCTGTTCGCCCTTGGGTGTCAGGCCACAGAGCCTAAAAATCCCACTTCCTCCACCTCCCTGAGCCCAGAAACCTTCAGCAATCAGAGAATCTGGGCCCAAGGACATCCCAACCTCTGCTGAGTTGAACTGACCTGAGTCAGGTAAGAAGACGCAAGCGCAGAGTCCGCTCTCAGCGCGTGTTTGCCTCTGTCCCCCACCCCGCCGGCGCCTGCGCCTCTCCCCACTAGAGCTGCGGATTCGCGCTGCTCCAGATTAACTTGCAGAAAGACCGTCTCTTGTGTAGTCTCCTGGTGTCACTGAGCTCGAGAACAATGTGTAGGGAAAGGCCCATTTTATTCCTCCTTGTTCTAGGGGCTGAATATGAGGATCAGACCAGCCCGAAGGAGAAGGAGGACGACAAGGTGGCCCCTGGACAAAGCCATACCTATGTCTGGCGGGTCCCGAAGGAGGGCGGCCCAGTGGCCTCCGACCCACCCTGTCTCACCTACTCGTATCTCTCTCACGTGGACCTGGTAAAAGACTTGAACTCGGGCCTCATGGGAGCCCTGCTGGTGTGTAAAGCAGGTGAGTGAGACAAGGTGAGGATGGCGGCGCTTCCTCCTCGTTGCTGCATCACTCGTTGTTCACCTGCACTTTCATGGTGAAATCAGCCCTTTTTGGTTCCAGTTATCTATTACTGCTTCCCCCACAATGTAGCAGTTTTCAAGGGCAACAGTCACTGACTGTTTCCCGGGGTCTCTCGTGACATTGAGTCAAATGCTGCCGGGAGCGCTGTCCTTTGAGGGTGACAGTGCCATGAGCCGCCTGCTCGTGGGAGATTCAAGGGGCTGGGCTCTCTGCATCTTTTAATGCATTTTTAAAAAGCCACAAAACTTTTAGGAACCAGCAGAGAATCTTCATGGCCTCAGGTTATTAGAAGACACCAAAAATCCATTAGATTCATACAAAAGAAAAATGTTAAATTTGGCCTCATTGAATTATTTTGCTTTGTAAAAAACATTTTTGAAAACACTGGTAAGAGACTGAAAAAATACAGCCAGTGAAAAGCTATAGACCGGGAGAAACAGCTGCCAAGCTCCAACGTGGCAAGGGACATGTCCGCAATAAAGTTTTGTGGCTTTTCATTATACATCGAAAGTTTTATAAAGGTCAATTTCACTATTTGATAATTTTTTAAATAAAATAAAAAGAATTAAAATTTTTGAGACAGCTTTACCTGAATGTCACATTTGTATGGGTGAGGAGTTCCAAAATATTCGTGAAGCTTGGTGTCTCCAAATTTTTTAAGCCAGCTTCCGATCAAGACGGTACACTTGGCAACTTTTTCATCTGCCATCTCAAACTTGACCCCTGCTGAAAACCATCAGCGAAGACGGTGAGCACAGAGAGCTGGACAGGCAGAGCCACGCTGAAAAGTCAGGTCCGTATCCCTGTGGCCCAGAAGCCAGGTACGCAGAGGCACGGACTGGCGGGAAGCCCCCATGACAGTCAGGCTACTTGTTCGGTGGTGGCCGTGGGCAGTGTCTCCCCCAAATTCCGTTCTAGTGCTTTCTAGCAAGAGAACAGTGATCACCACACCCTTAGCTGCAGCAACCAGAGAGCAGCAGCATAAAGCTCAGATTTAGTGGTGTGAGGGAAAGAGCCAGGTGAGGAGGATTAACTTAACCAAGAAAGGAAACTAGAGGGGCCTCCCTGGTGGCGCAGGGATTAGTCTCAGCTCTCAGCTGTTGCCAGCCACTGCGGCCTCAGTCCATCCCCGGCCAGGGAGCTGACCCACATGGCGTGGCAGACCTCTCCCTTCTCCCCGCTGCTCCCCTCAGTGGTGGATTTCAGTTGGTCCGTCAGTTCTGCTCCCCACTCTGTCTCTGGGGAGTCCTCTCACCCCCCACACCTCTGGCCTGTACCCCAGTTCTTGTATGCATAAATAAATGTTTATAAAAAAAAGAAAGAAAGGAAACAAGTTAATACAGGTCTTGGGGGAGGGTGAAGAATGTTGAAGAGGTTGTGCGAAGGGAGAGGCACGCACACGCGGTGGGGCTGGCAAGGACCCCTCTCCCTGGAAAGCCAAAGTTAACATGGGTTGCGCTGAGACGCCACCCTCTGAGCTCGGGCCCTGTATCTGTGTCCTGCAAAGCCTGACGCGCACACGCATTTCGTCACCTCCTTAGTCCAGGCGACAACGTCAGCAGAGCGGGGCGTGACACTCACAGCTGTCCGCATGGCCATATGCGAGCTTCTTTTCAGGTGTGGACACAGCTGGCTGCTGTGGGCAACTGGCACTGCGCTCATAGCTTTTTGTTTTGTTTGTTTACAATCGCAGCAGTTTAAAAAAACGCTAGCAGAGGAGGACATGCTCCGTAGTGATTGCCTCTGTTGCGCGTTTTGCAGGTGCAGTGTGAGTGGCCTTGTCACTTTTCTATTTGTTCTGGACACGTACGACATATCATTAAACGGACTCATATTTTGTACATCTTTTTAATTTTGTGGTTCTAGTAATTCATGTTTAATTCTGTTTTCCAGAAGTAGGAGTGTGCCACAACCATGACTTAAAAAAAGCCCTTGACCCCAGATAGTTCTAGAAGCGCTGGTACCGGGGACCCACACAGAGCAGAGCAGGGGGGCCAAGGGGTCTGTGGCTGCGGACTCCTGAGTGGATGGGGCGATGTCTCCCCCTGCAGCCATTCCCTCCGACAGCATCTTCACAGATGTAAATGCTCCCACGTCTTTTTCAGGAACTCTGGCCCAAGACAGCACACAGACCCGCAACGAATTCGTGCTGCTTTTTGCTGTATTTGCTGAAGGTTAGTGAACAGGCCCCTGAAATAAACCGTTTAATCTGGTCCTTGAGGAGCCTGTGACCGTGCAGGGGCGGGATCAAGAGGGCCTGTGGGCGACACCGCGGCCCAGGAATGAAGGAGCCACAGGGGGGAGCAAAGTCTAAGAACAAAATGCCGCCTCAGTCCCATCGGCAGCTCAGGGGCAGAACGCAGGCAGCTGGCGACAGGCGTCCTTCGTCACCAAAGCTGCTCAAAACGTTGCTGACACTTGGTCCATTCGGTGCACCACATAGTCACAGGACACGCAGGGAGTGACCCGCCATCTTGGGGGCTGTGTTTGGGGGAGATGCTTGCGCCCTCCCACCGGCCGCGCCCGCTGCCCGCCGCTCCAGCCCTCGCTCTCAGCGACTTTGAGGTGTTGTCTGATCTGTGCACAGCTGCGGGAGCCTTAGACATCACATCAAGGCAAATACCAACAAGACGCCCAATCCTGTCCCCACGGCGCCCCTCTTCCTGCCTCCTGGCCAGGCCCGGCGCCCAGACTACTTTCTCTTTCACCCAAACACAGTCCTTCCTGCCTCCACACCTTTGCTTATGCTGTTGCTGCTTCCTGGAAAGCCTCCCTGACTCCCCCTTCGCACCAAGTGAATCCTCCTCCTCCTCCACACTTCTGCTCCCCTCCCTCCCTCCTCCCCTGGGCCTCTCATGGCTTCCCTGAGTCCTTATCTTCTTTGGCCTCACACCCTTCTCCTTTCAAGCCTAGCCGAGTTCCTTCTCCCCTCTGCTCCCACAATGCCCTGCTGGCGGCTTCTTTCCATCCCTCTTCACTCAAGGGTAGGTTTCAGCTTTTCTGTCTGGGGAAGCTCATTGTGAGCAGAGGCTGTGTCTTCCTGTCTGGCATGCATGCTAGCCCCCAACTCCACCGCTGGACAGAGGACCAGTGAGAAGTCAGGTGGACTTGGGGTTCCTGAGGCGGGAGCTTGCCAAGGCACCTCAGGGAGGACTCGGGAAGTTTTCACACCGCCCCTTCCTGCCGATTCCACCTGCTGCCAGTGGGCTCCTGGCCAGCCACTGTCAGGGACAACATAGGGACAGAGAAGCAGCCGGGGCAACAATGTCTGCCCTGTGGAAACCATCCCCTCCCTTTGGCTGACCTCACGGTCCGCCGAGGGCACAGGCAACTGGTGGGTCCGTATTTGCCTCTCCCCAGGGAAAAGCTGGTACTCGGACACAGATGAGCTGCTGTCGCAGGCGCCCGAAATGCACACCATCAACGGCTACGCCAACAGGTCTCTGCCAGGTATGTGCAGGGTTCTGCATGCGTCACAAAGCGGGATGCTGGGGGGCTGACTCCTCCAGAGCGGGCCACGTTCACAGAGCCCACAGAGGTCTTTCCTGTGGCATAAATATAAGTGGGCAACTGGACAAGCAGAGATAAGCAACAAGAAAAGGAGGCTGTGCCTAAACAGAAGAGCTCTAACTACTATTTTCATAAATATTCAAGGCGCCATTGCATCAATAAAGTACCAATTGGATTGTATGACACAGAAGCAGAAAAGAATGTGCTCGAAAAAATCTACTTTGACTATGTCAAAGTAGAAACTCAGTAGAAGGTAGAATAGAGAAACATTTCCCAGCATGCAGAAGAAAAGGAGATGGAGGGTATATCTTACAAACAGATTTTAAAACTCAAAGAAGTCATAGAAGTATTAAGAATTAGATTTATGTCCCAATGAAACTTGTCCAGCAGGATAAATAAATAAAGAAGGTCCTCACACAAAATCACAGTTGGAGCGTCTCAGAGAACAAGAGAGATCATTTACATTTTCCCTGGGGGAACAGGTCACACACAAAACCCTGCAAATTAGAGGCAGTATTAAGGAGCAACACCTGAAACAGTCCCAGGACAACTTACTTCCCAGTAATTCGAAACCACCGTGAGTACTCTTAGAACTCAAGTCCCCTTCGAAACACACGCACGCCCCCGCCCTGTGGGATGGAGGCCACCAAGGGGCCTTAGGCCAGAGGAACTGGGTCTCACGTGCGGCGCCCACGGCTCAGAGCGAAGAAGCCGCTTCTGTGGTCGACACCGCGGTGGCAGGGATGGCCCACCGTGCCCGACGGGGCTGCCGTGCGGTCCCAACCCAGGCCGTTTGGGTTCAAATCTCGGCACACCCGTCTCGTCTCCTCCAAGAGGCGGATGGTCACACCTCCGTTCCCGGGGCTGCCGCGAGGAGTGGACGAGTAACACTTGCACGGTGCCTCTGCAGGCTTGCCAGGGCCAGCGCTCAGCGCGCACCATGAACAACCACGACCCGTGGTTGCTGCTGAAGCGGGTGCGAGGCGGGCCGTGGGGACAGGTCTCGCTCTCATGACCGCACGCGGGGGCTGAAGGCGGGAGCTCCCCGGGCCGACGAGGTTGTGGGGGTCCCAACACGCCTTGGGACGAGCGTGGCCGCAGGTCGCCAGGCGAGGACTCGGAGCGGGGACTGCCGGAGTCTGCGTTTGCTGGACAGAGGAGGAGCGAGAAGAGGGGATGGTAGGGGCGTCCGAGCAAGGGGCATGAAGCCCTGAGGCCAAGGCAGCAGCGAGTCTGGAGGAGTCCGTACTCATGAAGCCGCCACACCGGGGAGCTCGGCGGGAGCCCTTGCTTGACAGAAGCCCTGGCACGGGGAGCGCCCACGTCTGCAAAGGAACTGCATCGTCAGGGTCCTCGAAAGCACCTTGTGAGTCCTGTCCCCACTTGCCGCCCTGTCCTGCCCCTCTGCAGGTCTGATCGGCTGTCACAGGAGGCCGGTGTACTGGCATGTGATCGCGATGGGCACCACCCCCGAAGTGCACTCGATTTTCCTCGAAGGGCACACATTCCTTGTGAGGAACCATCGCCAGGCCTCCCTGGAGATCTCGCCGGTCACCTTCGTTACCGCGCAGACCCTTCTGATGGACCTCGGCCGGTTCCTGCTGTTCTGTCACATCTCTTCGCACCAGCACGGTAATAGGGGCGGGTGGAACTCGCTAGACGCCCCAGCTCCGCTTTGGAGGGACTTACTCGCCACTCCCCAGCGGAGGGCCACGCCAGGCCACAGCCGAGACTTCCGCAGAGTAGAGCTTTGACCTTGAGTGTGTTGGTGCTTCTGGGGGGGTGCCCGAGTGCCTCTGATGGAGGGAGCCCGGCTTAGGGAGGAAGGAGGTGGCAACACGAGGAGGGACTGCAGGTCACAGCTGAAGAGCGGTTCTGGGAACACCAGAGAGGCGGGGAGGGCGGCCCGGCCTGCGCTTGCTCGGCTGGTCCCCAGGGGCTGTAGAGGCGCTCTCACATGTGGGGGTTTGTCTGAGGGCAGCTGGCATGGAAGCTTACGTCAACGTAGACAGTTGCCCGGAGGAACCCCAAGTACGGATGAAAAAAAATGAAGATTATGACGACGGCGACCTTGATGATTCCGACATGGATGTGGTCGGATTTGGTGACGACAGCTCTCGTCCCTCTCCCCAAATACGCTCCGTCGCCAAGAAGCACCCCAAAACGTGGGTCCACTACATCGCCGCTGAAGAGGAGGACTGGGACTACGCCCCCGAGGCCGTGCCCCGCGGCGACCGGTGAGCGCCGCCCCTCCCCCGCAGGGGTGCCGAGCTTGCTTGTCCGCGGGGTGCAGAGGGACGCTAGGCCCGGCCTCACCAGCCCTGTCTGTCCCTCACGCAGAAGTGCCGGGAGTCTGTATTTAGAGAAAGGCCTCAGCGGATTGGCAGCAAGTACAAAAAAGTGCGATTTGTGGCGTACACGGACGAGACGTTTGCAACGCGGGCAGCCGCTGCGCGGGAGGCGGGCATCCTGGGCCCGCTGCTGCACGGGGAGGTGGGCGACTCGCTTTTGGTAAGTGTGAGGAGCGCGGGATGGCCGGCGAAGGCGAGGGGGGTGGGGTCTGAGCTGCTGGGACGGGGCATACACGGCCCTGGAGTCGTGACCCTGCTCTTTGGGTGGACGCCAGCGCCGGTCGACGGTGTTTTTATTGACGTGCCCTTGCTTGACGACGCTGTGTACGTTTCAGACGTGCAGCTTCACGCCTGGCATTGAGCTGAGTGGTCTTCGGGCTTAATCTTCTGTCTCATTTATGCTTTCAGATCATATTTAAGAATCAAGCCAGCCGGCCCTACAACATTCATCCCCACGGAATCGCTGATGTCGGGCCTCTGCACGCAGGCAGGCTGCCGAAAGGTAAGCGCGCCTCGAGTTGTCTGGGCCTCACAGAGCAGAGCCACAGGCGGTCTCGCCCTCAATTGGAAATAATAAAAAATAGGACAAGAATAATAAAAAATGATAAAACGATGCTGGTCCCTGCCCCAGTTATTGATGTAGGCCCTCAAGCCCCAGGCTAACTTCATGCAAGTCATTTGTAAGACGCTCAGGCAGCATTTTTGCGGAGAGGGCAAGTGTGTTCCCCGACACTTGTGGAGAATACGGAGTGCGGCAGTGCCCGTCCTCGCAGAGGAGGAGAGGGTGCAGGGGGGGGGGGGGGTCCCACTGCCTGCTGCTCGGCGCGCGAGGAAGCAGGGGCTGTCCATGCAGTTGAGAGCAGCCGGCTGCATCTCTTTTGAAGACACCCTGCCTAGAACAGGGTCCCAGTAGCATTAGGCTTTTGGACACATCACTTGAGGTAAGAGCTGATGCGAGGAGGAGGGTGACAGAAATAAGCACCTTGCATGGCATGCAGTGCTGAGGTCCCCGCGGTGACTCCTGAGTAGAGGCCAGCACTGGGGCGCCCGCCACAAAGCGACCAAACAGTGTTGTCAAAGAGAGTGACTGTGGGCTAGAGCCCAAGAAGCAAGTCTGACTCCCACCACTCTCCTGGCTCCTGGAAGAGGGAAGGGGAAGGCTGAGAGGTGTGGTGAGCGCACGTCTCCCTGTTCTTCAAGTCCCCGCCACAGGCCAGGCTCAGCCCGGGGGAGAGGGCAGCTCAGTGCGGATGTCGAGCTGACATTTGGTTTTGCGCAGGACCTGTGGGTACTAAAGCTGTCCCAAAATGCATTTTGATGACTACACTGAGACACTTCTTGCCCCGAGGACCCAGCAACCCGGGTCACACGCACGCACTCACGCACGCACGCTGAGGCGCCGCCGGCGAAGCTTGGGCCTGCAGTCCTCCAGCATAAGCCCAGGCCCAAGGCACAGGGCGATCAGCTGGGGCTTCCACGTTCCTCTGTCTACCACTTGGGGCTCTTTTCTTCTTCATACAGTTCTAGCCATGCATTCTAAGTGTTGGGGCAGATTTTCTATCATTCCCATGCGTTTCCAATAGGAGGCAGACCTGCCCATTGCAACTCAAGCTGACAGGCTAACAGAAATCCCCCAGACCATCTTTATTACCTTCAAAATCACGTGACTCTTAGACTTGTCCCAGGTGTAAAAGTAATTTCCATCCACGGAGAGACTTCACATGGGAATAAGGCTTGGAGGAGCCTTGCAACGGTGGCATGCTCACCAGCTCACCGCGCCCTTTGGGGTTTGGGTGTGGGTAGGTGTGAAACACTTGAAAGATTTGCCAATTCAGCCTGGAGCCATCTTCAAGTACAAATGGACAGTGACCCTGGAAGATGGACCGACTAAGGCAGACCCCCGGTGCCTGACGCGCTATTACGCCAGCACCGTCAATCCAGAGCGAGATCTGGCTTCGGGGCTCATTGGCCCTCTCCTCATCTGCTGCAAAGAATCTGTAGACAAAGGAGGAAACCAGGTGAGTGCTGGTCTCCCCAGTGCTGCCTGGGAAACTGAACATGAGTGGTGTTTCCCCCAAGCCAGGCGGGCTCAGCTGTGAGCTGGATTCCTCACAGCTGTGACTGTCAGGACTTTGCTGCAATAAACTTGCCTGGTGGATGGCTAGGAGAGTCTAGGCCCTAAATTATTTCTGTAAATTCCTCCCCAGTCTAAATTTGAGCTTTTCGTAGTGATTTTGCCCATTTGCACGTTCAATTACCACCTACTTATAGGTGACCCACAAATTTGTATCGGTAGCCAAGGCTGCTCCCTGGGACATCTCATCAAGGGTGACTCAAAGGCACCTGAAAATTAACATAGCCCACCGCATTTAGTAGGAGTTCAGTAGATACTTGTTGAGCAAAGTATTTGGAAAAATATTTCAGCATATGTTTAGAATCTGGGCCATTTCTGCTGCTTTGAAAATCAAGTATAAATTCTCTGAAGAAGAAAAGTGTCATTCTTCACTCATTGCTCGCCTCCAGGGTAGTCACTGGCATACGGCGGAGGTCTGGCTGCCTAGTCACAGATTTGGCCATGTGCCTGTCCTGACGAGTTTTTCCTAATTATAGTTTCTCTACCAGGTTTGGAAGAGGACTTAGCCTCTCAGCATTCTAGGTTCTGTAGCTGGAGATTATACAAAATGAGATATACATATTAGCGAAGTTTACAGAGTAAATCTTACATTCAATTAACAAGTGAATAACTCAACAAGTATGATTCATCTACAAACTGCTCTTCTGGAAAAAGTTTCAACTTTTTAATCAGAAAACTTAGGCAATTAGTGTTAGCTAGCATTTTATGTCTCATCTTAACTTTGTTATTTGATATCTATTTTCAATTTGGATTTTTTTTCATTGGTAGCTTTGCGGAAGGGTCCTTGCTAGATAGAAGTTTCAGAAAGACGTTCATCTGATTTGACTGACTTGTCTGAGAGGGACACTGAATGATCAGCTGGGTCTTTAAAGAGTGAAAATCCTTGAATCTGAACATGGAGAGGGTGAGGTTACGGACCATGAAGAAATCAGCCAGCATGTGTCCTTGAGTCCAGAAGAAACTAGCTTACTTAACAGCCTGCCCAGTTACCTTGTCCTGAGGACACGTTTGCGCTAAGCACGTACTCATGGCCTGTAGCCCTAACTGCACTGCCAGGTCCATGTGATAATTGTGGCCCCAGGAAGAAATGCACTTGAACACGGGACTGTAGATGTATCACACACGTGACCAGTCACTGTCCTCCGCTAACGCTAGCACTGCTTCCTCTCTTCCAATGCGTGTAACTGCCAGATGATGTCTGACAAGAGAAATGTCATCCTGTTTTCTGTGTTTGATGAGAATCAAAGCTGGTACCTCGCAGAGAATATGCAGCGCTTCCTCCCCAGCACAGATGGAGTGCAGCCACAGGACCCAGAGTTCCAGGCCTCCAACGTCATGCACAGTGAGTGGAGCAGCCCTGGAGTCCAGTGGGCCATGAACAAAGGGAGACCGAAGCCACAAAATCAATGTCCAGATAATGGGTGAACTTATATCCTATGCAAAGACATATTTCTTTAGAAAGTGTTACAGTTATATACTAGTTTATTGATGCATAAATATGATCATATAATGCATATTTTGTTTTTTCTTTAAGAAGATATCAACTGCTCAGAGAACTTTATTTTTATAGGATAAGTCACATAAGTCAGCTTTCATTTACACAGATGTGCACAATCCATCCTTAATACAAAATGCACTCAATTGGTAAATGACATGGGAAATACAAAGGAAATACAATTTTACATATCTAAAACAGCTGCCAACTACAATTTAACCATCGAATTAATCAAAGTATTGTGCATCAAAAATAAACCCAACATCTCTCTTCCAACTTTATTAAGGTATAATTGACAAATAAAAATGGAATATATTTAAAGGCACAATGTGATCCTTTCAATGTTACTTGGTTGTCCCCTCCCTGTTATAGCCCCATCTCCTGTTCACACCTTTCCACTCATCCTCTGTGCCTCACGCTACCTGGTAAGCAGGTAACTCACGCTACCTGCTAAGACATACTTTCTCCATGACTATACAATCATATAAACACACACACACACACACACACACACACAGATTGTATCGGTTGTTTAGACTTAGCAGAGCACCACAGATTTAAAGGCACATAGGTTGGAACTAAAGAAATAAAACTAAATGACATATTTATCTACATAGAAACTCTCAAGAACACCACAAAAACCTCATAGAACTAGTAAATGAGTTTTGCATGTTAACCTTGTGTTCTGCAGTCAGGATAAACTCATTTATTAGTTCTAGTAGTTGGTTTGTTGGTTTTGTGTTTTTTTGTGGAATTCTTGCAGTTCAGCAAACTTTTGGAAACCTAAATTACAAAAACTATATTATCATATAGTTCAAAAAATGAAATACTTAAGTATAAATATAACAAAATATGTACAGGATCTATAAGCTGAAAATAACAAAACATTGATTAAAAAAAAAACTTGAAAAACCTGAGTGAAGAGAGATCCCACGTTAATGGATCTTGGATCAGAGGATGTCAGCTATCCCCAAATTGATCTTTAGATTTAATGCAATTCCTGTTACAACCCCAGCAGAATTTTTTTGTTGGTAAATAAAAGCACATTATAAGATGAATATATAAAGGCAAAGGAACTAGAATAGCCAAAACAATTTTGAAAATGAAGAATTAAGTTGGAGGGCTCATATTACCTGACTTTAAGGCTTACTATAACACTATCGTAATCAAGACAGTGTGGTATTGGCAAAGATCAATGACACAGAATATGTAGTGCAGAAATAGACCCACCCATATAAGGCTAACTGATTTCTGACACAGATGGAAGTGCAATTCAAAGGAGAAATTATAAATTTCTCAACAAATGGTGTTGAAACAATTGGTCATTCATATACGGAACTACAAACCTCAACTCAACTGACACACCTGAAACAAAGACTAACTCAAAATGGATGATACATCCAAATGTATGAAGTAAAAACCACAAAAAGTTTCAAAGAAAACCTAAGAGGAAATTTTCAGGCTCCAGCACCATTTATTGAAGAGACTATCCTTTCCTCATTAAAATTCTTGACTCCCTTGTCAAATCTTAGTTGACCATATGTATGAGGGTTTATTTCCTGAATCTTGATTCTGTTTCATTGGTATGTGTGTCTATTTTTATGCCATATTGTTTTTAGGTACTTTCATTTTGTAGTATAACTTGTGGTCGGGAAGTGTGATGTATTGGTCTGTTCAGATTCCCCATTTCTTCATGATTCATTCTTGGTAGGTTTCATGTTTCTAGGAATTTACGCACTTTTTTAAGGTTATCCAATTTGTTGGTAGGTAACTAATTGTTCATAATAGTCCACGATTCTCTGTATTTCTGTGACATCTGTTGTACCAGTCCTCTCTTTCATTTCTGATTTCATTCGAGTTCTTTCCCTTTCTTAGTTTAGCTAAAGGTTTGTCAATCTTGTGTATCTTTCAAAAAAAAAAACAGATCTTAGTTTTAATTTTTTTTCTGATCTCTCATTTATTTTTGCATGGATCTTTGCTATTTCCTTCCTTCTGCTAACTTTGGGCTATGTTTTGTCATCTCTTTCTAGTTCCTTGAAATGTAAAGTTAGAATGTCCATTTAAGAGCTTTCTTTTTTCATAATTCAGGTTATAGCACCATCAATTTCCATCTTAAAACTGCTTTTGCAGCATCCCATGGGTTTTAATATGTTGTTCTTCCATTTTCACTCATTTCCCTTTAATACTTAATATTTTATTTTGTATTTCCAATAAATAACCCAAATGGAGCTATGAAATTCATAAAATTTAACATAAATACAATGCATTTATTTATTTTTAAAGCTTTATTTATTTATGCATACAAGAGCTGGGGTACAGGCCAGAGATGCAGGGGTGGGGAGTGGATGAGAGGATTCACCAGACACAGAGTGGGGAACAGAACAGACAGACTGACTGAAATCCACTGCTCAGGGGAGCAGCAGGCGTGACAGGAGAGGTCTGCTGCGCCATGTGGGTTGCTCCCTGGCCGGCCGGAGATCGAACTCGTGCTGCAGAGCCTGTGGATTGCTTCAAAGTGCGGTGCTCAACACCTTGCGCCACCAGTGAGGCCCCATACAATGCATTTATTTAATTGAAAGTCAATATTCCATATATATATATATATATATATATATATATATATATGTGTGTGTGTGTGTGTGTGTGTTGTCTTTTGTAGCATTTTGTCCACCCTGCATTGGATCTACTTGTCCTCATTCTTTGAAATCTGTTTCCTTGAATCTGGAACATTTGCAGATGTTAACTTTGCAAATGTCCTGTTCCTCATCAAGCTGCCACCCCCATAATATAACTTACCAGTCTGTCTTTACCATGATGTTCTATGACTCTCCTTACTTTAGGATTAGGGCCTAGGGTGATCAAGTATTAACAATCTACTTTTGGAGGGACATATAATACTATGTCTTCTTGGGAATCAGATAATGGGTATAAGATATAATCAATTCTAATCATATCATGACAATTCAAAATAATCAGTCCAGGTAGGTCCTGCTAAAACATCTTGTTTCCCATTTATTTTGCAGGCATCAACGGTTATGTTTTTGATAGCTTGCAGCTGTCAGTTTGTTTGCATGAGGTGGCATACTGGTACATTCTAAGTGTTGGAGCACAAACTGACTTCCTCTCTGTTTTCTTCTCTGGATATACCTTCAAACACAAAATGGTCTATGAAGACACACTCACCCTTTTCCCCTTCTCAGGAGAAACTGTATTCATGTCCATGGAAAATCCAGGTTAGCTCTTTATATTATTCTTTTACTAACAGCTGCGATTGCTTCACTAGCCATCCATGTGTTCTTTTGCTCATGTCTGCGCAGACACCAAATGGTTCAAGTGATTTTGGTAACTGCAAGGCATTCTTGACAGCACTATATCAGGTCTTTAACGTAACAATTTTTCCACTAAAAAGTGCCTTTACTTGCCATGGGCTAACCTTTCAGAGTGTTTACTAAGTGTAGTGGTGAATATACATTTATAACACATGCAGTTAACATGTGAGGACTAAAGATGTTTCTGTGTGGTTTGTGAACTTTGGTACTGATGGATAAACACTACTTAGAAGCCTTTGGGAAGTACATGCACACATACCTTCAGGCCACTGTGAAGCCTTCAGCATGAGTGTGACTGTCAGTTTCCTTAACAACTACTTTGGAGAGCACCAGCCCTGTGACCAGGAGGAGCACTGACCTGGCCTCTCTCCAGCACAGATTAACTCCACATTCGTGCAGCTTAGCAACAAGCACTAGGCCTTTCCGTGACTCCTGGCCCTCCTGCCCCATAACCTGCAGAGGGAAGCACAAAAAACTACCTGCAGATTGTTGTTATTCTTTTACACTTAAGGATTTTCTGGAGATAAGTTCTAATCAGGAAATTTCTGGGGAATAAAAACCAATATCATCATATATAACGCATATCCAATATCATCATATATAACACATATTCAACTTCATACCCAAAAACTTAATCTTGCTTCGAGTGACATATGTTTGTGGGAAGTGAATAAAGACTCTGCAAGAGCTCCACTGTCCTATGCCAGAATAACTGTCACTACCCCCAGTGACTGTGCGGGCTCCTCTTTTTCTGTTTTTCCTAATAAACCTGTCCTTTTTTTTTTCTTTTCAACCTTTATCTTTTTTCCCCATTTTTTTATTTTAACATTTATCATTTTTTACATTTTTTAGACAATATCTGCTTCCCCTCACCCCCTCAGGTGTCGTCCCCATAGAATCTCCTTCCCCAGGGCACCCGTGCACCCTCACCTCAGTCCCCTGCGCCCCTCCCTCCCTCCCTTTCCCCCCTCTCCCTCCTCCGCCCCTGCAGGATGTCTCTGTAAACCTGTCCTTTTAAAATGAAATTTTAAAAAAGAATGACTACCATCAAACAGACAAAAGGTAACACATGCTAGTGAAGATGTGGAGAAAGGGGAGCCCTTTGTGCCCTGTTGGTGGGGATACAAATGGGTGCGGCCACTATGGAAAATGGGGTGGAGCTTCCTCAAGAAATTAAAACTAGAATCACCATGTGATCCCACAATCCCAGCTCTGGGCACATAACCAAAGGAAAGGAAATCAGTATCTCAAAGAGGTATTTGTACCCCCGTGTTCATTGCAATGTTATTTACAATAGTCAAGGTACAGAAATAACCAAGGTGCCCGTCAACAGATGAGCGAATAAAGAAAATGTGTTTCTCACACACACACACACACACACACACACACACACACGAATATTATCCATCCATAAAAAGGAAAAAACTGCCATTTGTAACCATCCCTGGATGAAACTAGAGGGTATTATGCTAAGTGAAATAAGCCAGACAAAGATAAATTCTGCATGAAATCACTTATGTGGGGAAATCTAAAAAAAGAAAAAAAACTAAGGTAATAGAATAAAGAGTAGAATGGGGGGGTAAATGTTTTTTAACCTACTCCCCCCCCCCCAGTTATGCCAATAAATACTGATGAGCATCTTCATTGTGAAAAACGCTGACTGTCCCATCCTGGGGGTGTTGCGGCGGCCTCGAAGGGTTGTTAAAACCTGCGATCTGCCCGTGCCCACTTATCGCTCTGGGGTGCTTTGATGGGATCTCATTTCAGGATCGGATAACATCTCACAAAGTCAGATGACTGGAAGTGATTGGCAGGAAGGCGATCTGTCTAGTTGTAGAACTTAGAAGTCTTAAACTTGGTCAGGAATCTTATGCCCGTGTCAGGAGCTGGAGGGGGAGGTTGGCAGCTGAGCATCACCAAGGGAACTGGAACGCTTTTCACTTGCTTTGTATCTGTGATTATAGTTCCTTTTTTATTTCAAATCCTGTTCATGTGGAATTTCCTATTTTTACTTAGTTATTTGCACTCTGAGTTTTATCAATTGTTTTAAATTTATTTTCAGTCACACATGTAATACAAAAATGTGTTTCATTACCAAAATTCAACCGATGCAGAAATAACTGAAGCTCCTCCTGATCACTATCCTCAACACTGAGTTCCTCTCAGAGCTCGGATCTGCCTATTTATGGAGTTTCACTTCCCTTTTCTCACCCAATTACTATCCTGTTCAGCAAGAGGAAGGCATTGGTTTGTCTAAGTTATAAAACTTAGACCCAGTGGTTTTTTACCATAAAAATATGCTTTAAATATCATGAAATTTGGTTCTGAACCTCCAAATAGGATTACATTCCCTATTTTTGTTTTACTGGAGCTTCTGATTACTTTGTTGTCCTTCTTGTAATGTTTTCCCTTAGTTATCCTCTTTCTTTTCCAAGAGCTCCACCAAGAGTGTGTCTCTCGGAGCACGGCCTCCTGCTCCGTACACCCACGTCCTCCAGTCTGGCTGCTTCTCCCCAAGCCTGGGGCACAGTATCAACTTGGGGCTTCTCTTCACCCTCCCTCAAGAGAGGTGCCTGGTTCCTGCATCCCTTGCATCCTATTTTTTGATATACTCCTTTATTTTGGTGGAAAATATTCTCTAATCACTTCTTAAAAATGGCTGCATTGAAGGTAGATTTTCTGAATCCTTGTATATCAGCAAAGATCTGTAGTCTCATTTCCCATTTGGTTGAGTGCCTGGCTGCACGTGGAGCGTTGATTCCCATGGGTGTAACATTCCTTCACAGAGCGTCATGGAAACATACTTTGGGGAAAGGCTTCCTCTTGGGAGACAGTTGGATTAAGTTATGGTTTTGTTTGCAAATATTGCTTAAGATGAGGAGGCTGTCGAGGTACCTGATCAACAGCTTGGCAAAGCCATACTTTACCACCATGGAATTCCTTCTCAGACAATCCTGGTTCTAGCAGAAGTTAACTAGTAGAAGTTAACTTCTACTGTAGCTAAATTGATGTCCTGCCCCTTTATGCACGCTTCTCCCGAGGCTGGTGACGGTGCACGCTACGTCCTGTGTTGTGAGATTTGAATGCATTGTGGGACAGGGTAGATACTACTAGCCTCATTGACAAATCAGAAAACTGGAGTCCAGAGAACACAAATGATACCACAGGTAAATGGTAGAGCCAGAATTTGAATCTGACTCTAGAGCGCATGCCACCATGCAATTCAGTGATAGCAGCCACGTTGGGCATTCTTGAATTAAGTCACTATCATTATCGAAGAGTTCTGTGTATGTAACGCCCTCCGCTCTGTGTTAATTACGTTTCTCCATTTTTATCCCAGTATCTGTTCATTTCAATCACAGCCCTTTCTGGTGGTCACAAACAGGTGTAAATCCACTTGCTGGGCTAAAGTAACCCATGTCCGGTATGGCACCCAGAGGCCGGTGCCGCAGTGGCGGCCACTAGTATTTTTCATGCATCTGCAACGAGGAGAGAACCAGTAATACAGAACTTGCTTGGCACCTGTGTTATAAGTAACCAGATTCTTACTGTTCCTATTCTCTAGGTCTGTGGGTTCTGGGGTGCCACAACTCAGAGTTTCGGAGCAGAGGCATGACAGCACTGCTGCAGGTTACCAGTTGTGACAGGAACACCGGTGATGATTATTACGACACCTACGAAGATATCCCAGCCTCCTTGATGAATGAAAACGATGTCATTGAACCCAGAAGCTTCTCCATGAATTCAAGACACCCTAGCACCCAGCAACAGCTATTCAAACCCAGCACAGCTCCAGAAAATGGCACAGCTCCAGAGACCGGCCATCAGTCTGGAGAGAGAACGCAGCTGCTTCCAGTGCAAAGTGTTCCCGTCAGTGACCTGCTGACACTCGTGGGGCAGACTCCTACTCCACACGTGTCATCAGGGTCTGATCTCCATGATGCCGCAACCGAGGCGGCTGAGCATTCACCTGGGGCAGCAGAAAGTAACAAAGGCCCATCCGAGGTGTCGCCTCTCAGAGCAGGTGGGGACAGAGTGTTTACTCCTGAGCCAGAACTTCAATTAAGACCAAATGAGAACCTGGGGACGACCGTAACAGGAGAGGCGAAGAAACTTGATTCCAGATTTTCTAGTTCATCAAGCCATCTAATAACTTCACCAACAGTTCCATCAGACAAGCTGGCAACAAGTGCTAGAGAGACAGCTTCTGTACGACCCCCCAACATGCCAGTTCCCGTCAGCAGTCCAGCAGGCGCCACTGTATTTGGCAAGAGTTCATCTCACCTGATGGGGTCTGGTGTACCTGTGGGCTTGAGTGAAGGAGGTAATGATTCCAAGTTCATAGAGTCAGCTTCAATGACTAGTCAAGAAAGTTCACGGGGAGAAAATGTATTCTCAATGGAGAGTGATGAGTTGTTTAGAGAAAAAAGACTTCAAGAACCTGCTTCATTGAGCAAAGTTAACATCTCTCTGGTAAAGACAAACAAGTCACCGATGAACTCAACTAACAGGAAGATTCACACTGACGGGCCAACATTATTCCCTGAGAACAGAGCATCGGTCTGGCAAGATACCGTATTAGGAGATAATACTGAGTTTCAAGAAGTGACTTCTTCGAGTCATCATGAAACATTTATGGACAAAAGTACTACAGCTTTGGGGTTTAGTCATGTGTCCCAGGAAACGGCTTCATCAGGCAGCACGGAAATGGCTCAAACAAAAGAGAGTCGTGCGGAAAGCGCCGCCCTGCCCTTCTTCGATACATTCTTCTTGCCAGACTCAGCCAATCAGGTAAAAAGGACCCAGGACAAGGACCCCCTGCGCTCTGGGCAGAGGTCTGGCTCAAAGCAATTAGCGTCTTTAGGATCAGAGAAGTTCGTGAGGCATCAGAATTTCTCGTCAGAGAACAAGGTGGGAGGACGAGAGGACGCGTTTACCAAGGAAACGGGACTCGGCCGGAGGAGCCTTCCAAACAGCAAGACCACAGCGCTCAGGCCCGAAGTCAATGCCCAAGCAAACGATACACACGCTCCAGAGAAAGAGCCCCGGGAGGAGATGGGAAGGCAGGAGACAGTGACCCAAGAGAACGTAGTTTTGCCTCAGGCACACACAGTGCCCGACACCAGACATTTCCTGAAGAACCTTTTCTCGGGAAATGAAGCGACGCGGATGGGCGAGAAGGGCCCAGGGGCCGCGGAGAAGGCGCCGGAGCCGGGCCGACCGGACGGTCTCTCTCAACGGGGTAAGCGGGACCCAGCGCGAGTCACGCCGCTTGTGGAAAGGGCGGCCGCAGAGGAAGGGCGCGCCCGCAGACCGGAGCCGGAGCCGGCGCGGGGGAGAGGCCCTCACCGGGAGGCGGCCCTACCCACGGCTCAGCCCGAGGGGGGCAGAGCGGACTACGATGAAATTTTCCCGACGGAAACGAAGAGAGAGGATTTTGACATTTATGGTGACGATGACACTCCGGGGCCACGCAGCTTTCAAAAGAGAACACGCCACTACTTCATCGCGGCGGTGGAGCGGCTCTGGGACTACGGGGTGCGCGCGCCCCCCGGCGCCCCGAGAAGCAGCTACCACGGGTATGCTTAGGGCGCCTTTGTCCTGCTCTCCTGACGTCTGACCAGCCCGGGCGGGCGCTGGGACAGGCCCGAGACGCTGCCGGCGCAAGCAGGCGCCACTGAGGAGTAAATGAGGGGCGAGGTGACGACGCTCACAGCGGGGTCAGAGGGTGACAGGGCCAGATGCCGTGAGACAGACTGTCAGGCTGGGGGGGGCACAGGGCAGCAGTGGGGAGCAGGAGTCCTGAGCGATGCGGGAGGAATCAGAGAAGCATGTGGCGGGATGCGAGGAAATGGTTTGCTGTGGAATTGGGGACCCCAGACGGCAACGTGGAGGGATTTGAGTGTGAGGGGAGCAGAGATCTTGGGCAAGGGAGAGATTTGAAAGATAAACAAAGGAATGTCAGTGAACAAGTTTTTATATGGCAGACACTTCTGTGGGCGCCAGAGCAAAGTAGGAACACGCATTCTAGTGGGGAGAGCAGCAGGTGATAAATGAGTAGGAAATAGGTAGGGGACTCTGGGTAGTGCCGTTCAGAAGACAGAGGTGGCTGACATGGTAGAGAGGGCTCGAGGGTGCTATAGGAGCTGGGGTGCTCAGAGGAACCCTCTTTGTAGAGACCTAAATGATAAGAGGCCGGCTGGTGGGACTCAGGCAGGGGAGCGGGAAATGCAAAGGCCTTGACAATGAACCCAGGTTCACATGTTTGGGGGAGGTACAGGGGCCATAGTGACCAGCCTGCGGGGGCGGGCCAGGGGGGCTCTCGGGGGCGGGGGGAGGGGAAGGTGGTCGAGATGGGCAGCAGGTGGTCAATAATGCAGGTCTGAGAGGAAGACGGTGGCCTCTGGAGCCTGGTCACTGCTCCCCAGCTGCTGTCCCGGCCACTGACATCCCCGTGTGCTCAAGCTCTGCACTTACCTTAACTGGCGACGCTCTTGCCCAGTCTGGAGCACTTGTTTCCACGCTTGGCTGACCCTGTGCACTAACCCTGCACAGACTTCCGGCCACACGCACTGCTGCCCGTGTCCTCGGGTCACTGCACTGCCAGCAGCAGGGCCAGCGGTTCGCTGTGCTTTCAGGCAGATGGGTAACGGACTCTTGGAGCCATTGGTTATAGCTACAGGCATTTAATGTTGAATCCAGGGGGCCAGCGGGCAGGTACAGAGTGATGCTGCCTGTTTATCCCGTGCCTCTCCCAGGCCCAGGTGGCCACAGTCAGGAGCATGTGCCCACACCGGCGCCCCTCGGCCCAGGGCATGTACCCAGCCCAGAAGGAGGGCATGGCTGCGGGTGCTGTCTGAGGCAGGTGGCAGGGAAAGCCTGACCAGCTCACGTGCCACAGCCACCGTCGTGCTTCCAACCACGGCTGACAACAGCCCACAAGCCAGGGCCGCCCTGTCCTGCGCTTGGGCCCACTTCAAACGTGGCCCCGCGTCTAGATGAGAGCCAGGTGCTCCCTCCATCAGGCCTCCTGCTTGATTCAGATTGTTGCTTAGTCAGGACCGATTAAGTCTTTCCTTTTTCCTTCTTTTGTCTCTCTTATGCTTTCAATTTCCAAGAGTAAGCCCAAGAAACCCTAGGCGCCCTCGCTCAGCGCTCAATAAAAGTAGGACCCATCCAGGCACCTGCTGGGTGCTCAGATAAATTTCCATTGCATGAGCTAGTGAATGACAGAAGCAGGCGAGCAGGAGTGGGGCTTTTGTGTGGGTCCGGACTGAGGAACACCTGGGTTGCTGGCAAAGTCCTTGATCTAGATGGTGGCTGCATTCCTCTACCCAAAACATATACGTCTATGCACCCTATTGTCGTTTCAGTTCACAATTTTAACCCTTAAAAAAAAAAAACTTAAAAAAGGTCCAAGAACTGAACCTGGAGGCTCCCTGATGTTGACAATAGGCTTCTAAACCCTCCACCTACTCGACAGGCAACAAACAGCCCCCGGCAAGTCTTCACTCTGGGCTCTCCGGCGTTCTCTGGCGGCCTCTGCTGCTCTGCTCTCTCGTGGTTCTGCTTCTGCTTCTCTGCTTCTGCTCGCGTCTTCGTGACGCTGCCCTTCAAAGCCCAGTCTTAGCCCAGGTGAAGCCCATCTACCTAGGCCCACACCCCACTCCAGGTGCCGCCATCAGGCATTCAGGACTGCAGGGATCTGTCATCCATCCTAATGGCGAGAGGGCAGAAAAAGCCTGATACTTTTTACCTTACCCTACAAGCACCTACTGTGTGTTGGGTATTTGTTCCAGCTGCTGGGAGTACAGCAGCGGACACAACAGACATTAGTCACTGCTTTTATGGAGTTGGCATCACAGCGAAGCCTGGAGACAATGTGCCCTTGGGGATGCTGCACCGTCACCGAGACGCCGAGTAAGAGGACACACAAAAGCGACTTGGCTTTGATGAGCTGCCTACAGGGTCTGGACCTTAATCTAAATACGGACGATCACCTAGATTTCTCCTGTGAACTCACAGCGTCTCTGTGTTTCCCAGTGGTAGCGCCAGCAGGCACAGAGCAGGATCACTAGGATCCGGGCAGACGGTAAAGGAGAGTCCTGGAGCCCTTCGGTGGCTTTTCAGGCCCTTATGGAGCTTTTTACGCCACTTGTAGTGCGGCACCCAGGTACATGGCAGGCAGGGGGCCCGGGGGCTGGCAGGCCTCCCCGCACCTGATGGGTCTTCACTCTTTCTGGGCTCCCTGGCGTTCTCTCTTCTCTGCTTTGCTGCTGCCGCTGCCGCTGCCGTTGCTACAGCTGTTTCTGCTCTCGTTCTGGTTCTGCTGGCGCCACCGTGACGCCGCCCTTATAGGCCCAGTCTCAGCCCAGCTGCGCCCACCTATGCATGCCCACACCGCGCTCCAGGTGTCCGCCATCAGGCACACATGTAGGACTGCAGGGGTCCATCATTAACACTAATGGCGGGAGGGCGGAAAAGCCTGATAACTTTCATTTACCCTACACCAGTGTCATTCACAGACGCGGTCCGTGTGTCCAAAGCCATACACCCCGAGCCACACCTCCAGGAAACCCCTCTCAGCGAGTGGCATCGCCCTCCGTCCACTCGCCTAAATGGGAAACCTCCTGCTCCCGTCCTGCCCGTCGACTCCCACCTCGTTGTTCGTCCGCGTTGCCCCTACTTGGGGCATCGGGACTTACGTTTCCTCTGTTCTTGTCCCAGGGCGCAGAGCGGGGGCAGCCCTCAGTTCAAGAAGGTCGTGTTCCAGGAATTCACCGACGCCTCCTTCGCTCAGCCCTTGTACCGGGGAGAGCTGAATGAGCACTTGGGGCTCCTGGGGCCCTACATCAGAGCCGAAGTGGAGGACAGCATCATGGTGAGTTGGCGCAAGTTTTGAAAGTACAGAAAATAAAGCACTTGACAAGTAACCCCACGTTGTCTTGCCGGTGTGTGTTCTCATCTTCCTATGTACTCGCGAGGTAGTCACAGTCGTACAATGTAGAATTCTCCGTTTGACTGAACGTCACGTCGTAAACGTTCCTTAGGTCATGAAAAACACTTCCTATTTTTGTAACGACAGCATCATAATGTATGAAATTAGCCATTTACTTTGAATAACCTTTTTTTTTTTTCCCAGTATTTCAAGAATACTGCAGTAAGAAGACTTTTGCTAGGCTGAAATTCCAGTAGTGCCATAGACATGAATGTTGCCAGACTTTTTCTAATGAGCTGACTGCTAGCATCCTTTGCACATTGTCTGTCTTGGGAAGAACGCTTTTTAAATGCATTTGTATCACCATGTATATTTCTGTATGTGTCTTAGCTCAGCTCATCGATACGTGAATGACCACTGGTGATTTAGTGCAGCGGATTCTCCCAAGTGTGTCGTGTCCTCATCGTAAATATAATGCTTCATGAACTAAAACAAGTTTGAATTTGTAAGTCGTTACCCACAAATCTTTAGTGTAGGAAACTTTCTTTACTTCTATGTGCATAAAAATCCTTCCCTAGATAGACATCTTTTCCGTCACCTATACTTTCTTTCCCGTCGCAGTACAGTCTTCACGTCCCACGAAACACGTACACTTTTTTGAAATCTGAGAAGCAGGTCTTTCTTACAGTCGTCACCATGGACTGGCGCTGCCGCGCCAGCTCCCGGAGTTACTCTCTCCAAAGCCCTGCGGTCATGTTTTCTGTGACCCTTTGGAGCTGCTGTTACCTACTCGCGAGTTTTCTCCTCTGCAACTCTGAGTTCATGCCTTAGAAGATCTGGCTCCCACCCTCCCTGGATCTCCAGGTCCGTGCTTCCTCGGGGAGTGAAGACAGACCTGCTGGGCCCGCTGCTCAGGCTGAGCCCTAAGCGGATTTACAAGATCCTGAAATATGACACTTGCTTTCTTTTTCCTGCTTTGCAGATAACTTTCAAAAACCAGGCCTCTCGTCCCTACTCCTTCTATTCTAGTCTCATTTCTTATGAGGAAGATGCGCAGCGCGGAGCAGCGCCCAGAAGGAAGCGCGTGGAGCCCAACGAGACCAGGAGCTACCTGTGGAGGGTGCGGGAGCACATGGCGCCCTCCGCCCCTGAGTTCGACTGCAAAGCCTGGGCCTACTTCTCCGACGTGGACCTGGTAAGCAGGCCCGTGCGGCCTTCATGGAGCCCATGTGCTCTGCGAGGAAGCTGCACGTTTGTCCTGAGTGGAAGGGAGGCTTCACTAGGGCAGGATGAGTCAGGCTGGGGTCAGGGGGCCACAAACGCCCCTCGGCTTCACAGGGAGAGCTCCTCACGGGCCTGCTGTCTCACCTCTCAGGAGAGGGACGCGCACTCAGGCCTCATGGGGCCCCTACTCATCTGCCGCCCCAACACACTGAGCGCAGCCCACGGCAGACAAGTGACTGTGCAGGAATTTGCTCTGCTGTTCACTGTCTTCGACGAGAGCAAGAGCTGGTACTTCGCCGAAAACCTGGAAAGGAACTGCAGGGCGCCCTGCAACACCAACACAGAGGACCCCGCTGTGAAAGAGCGTTATCGCTTCCATGGTAACGGCCCCGTGCCACCGTCCCCCGCGCTGCACGGGGAGCCGAACCAGAGGCTGGGGCTGGCGCGAGGCGGGGGGGCCCCCACAAGGATCCAAGTGCCGCCGAGGGCTTGAAGGTGCCTGTGCTCTCCCCTCCAGCGGTCAATGGCTACGTGATGGATACACTGCCCGGCCTGGTCACAGCGCGGGGCCAGAAGACTCGATGGCACCTCCTCAGCATGGGCAGCAGTGAGAACATCCATTCCATCCACTTCAGCGGACACGTGTTCACGGTTCGGAAAAAGGAGGAGTACAAGGGGGCCGTGTGCAGCCTCTATCCGGGTGAGCTGAGCCTCCTGAGGCGGTGAGCCGGGGCTGTGCCTGTGAGCGGCAGACAGAGGTGACAAGGCAGGAAGTGAACGAGCTCATTTCAGATACAGATAGTGTACCCAGAGGAAGTGGAACACATGGAGTACATGGAATAAGTGGGCGCTGAAGCCCCGCACTGCCCTGGGGGTCTCCTCCCACCTCAGATCCTGCCTGGCACCGGGGTGTTTGGCAGAGCATTTCTCGGGTGCTAATGAAAGCTCGGTGTCACTGTAGTTCTCCAGCGTCCCTTTAAGGCCGGGGGAGGGAGGGGGTGGGAACAAAGGGGGGAGGGCCCATGGGCTGAGGTGGAAGCCTGTGGGTGCTGTGCCCCTGTACCCCAAATCATACTCTGTGTCGTCAACCAACGTCATCTGAATGCAATAAAATGTTACCCCCAAACCAGGTCTCATAACGAGAGTAAAGTCTCCCTGTTTCTGCATAAAAACTCTGATCATCTGTTGCCTTTTCTGCTCACTCCTGGTCATCCGCAGGCCTGCGGAGCCCCCACATCACAAACAGTTCAAGTCAGACGTCCCAGTGCCCAGGCCAAGCTACTCCTGGAGCTCGTGACGGTGGTTTCTGCCCACCTCGCCCCCAGCTCTCAGCGGCAGCTGCGGGAGCGCGGGCCCCCTTGTGAGCCTGGCGGTGCCGAGGCTGGCGCTCTGGCCGGGCCCTTGACACTCTCCAGAGACCCCTCCTCACAGTCCCCGGGCTGCCGTGGTTCCACCTCTGTTCGGGGTTCCTTGTGAGGTGTTCTTCCCACTCTTCACGTCCCTCCGCCTCTTGGCTGGGGTTGCCTTCACCCAGACCCACAAAGACCTCGCCTGGCTTCCCTCGGGGCGCCGCACCAAGTCCGTGGCAGACAGGCCTTTGGTCCTGAAGCCCCCCGCATCCGCAGGCCCCGTAACCCCCCACCCCCGAAGGCCGCTGTCCTGGGCTTGGGGGCGGCCACCGGGGAGCCGCCGAGGGCACGAGGTGCCTGTCTGTCTGTGAGAAGAAAGCGTTCGTGTTGCTTCTGTCTCCCCAAGGCATCTTTGAGACGGTGGAGATGGTCCCATCCGAAGCAGGGGTCTGGCGGGTCGAGTGCCTCCTCGGGGAGCACCTCCGCGCGGGCATGAGCGCCCTGTTCCTGGTCTACAGCAGCGGTGAGTAGCGGCCCAGCACTCGTGCCCGGCACGTGACGACCCCCAACCCAGCCCGTGTCGCTCAGCTGCCCCCATCCCAGATGGCGGCCTCTCGAGGGAGAGACCCTAGTCTGGCCTTGTCTGACCACCAGCCGGTGTTCGGGGGAGGCCTGGGGCCCCGGGGCCTGGGCTGGGCGCCTCCAACACTTCGAAGCTCAAGCTCTGCAGGGCAGCCCCTCCTCTTCACCGCCTGGTGGAGCCCCAAGGTCCCACTGCTCCACGAGGATGCGCCCCATTCCGCAGCGGCGCCGGCTCGGCTCGGGCGCCTGCTGCGGGGCCATGCGGGAGACAGTGGCAGAGCCATGTTCACTGGAGCCGAGTTTGCCGCCCTCCGGCCAGCTCTGTTCCCTCGTTTCTCTCAGAGTGCCGCGCTCCCCTGGGAATGACCTCTGGGCACATCCAAGACTCTCAGATCACGGCCTCAGGGCAGCATGGTAAATGCGGTCCTTTTCTCTCCAAGAATGGGGTGATTCTTTCCTTTGTCCCAGAGAAATTCAGACCACCATCCGGCATGCAGCAAGCCTACCCCAGAGCTGCCCCCTCCACTTCCCACGGCCACCTGCTGCCGGCCCCACGCCCAGCCCCGGCCCAGCCGCTCCCTGCCCCTGGAGCCACTGCCAGCACTCCCCCAGCTCACCCGACCCCGGTGGGGTGCCTAGAGCAGCACCATTCGCCTCCGGGGGTGGGCCGATTTTCTTGTTTACTTTCATTTCACTTATGCTCTTTGCTTTTTGTTTTCTAACTTCCCTACAATGAACACTCATGCAGGGATAAAGAACGAACACTATTTGGTGCTGCTAGTGATACATCCCAGTGCCAGCCAATCAGCGGTGCTAACCGCCCGCAGAATTATGTTTAGAAAGTAAAATGAGTGAGGACCAGGGAAATCCTTAGGTGGCCACTGGGACTGTGCTTCTGACTCTGTCTTCGTGGTGCTGGGACTAACCTTTCTCGGGAGAATCTTGTAGCCCCAAGTGTCTAGGAGCACCCCACCTGAACCCTCTTTCTCCCCTCTCTCGGGCAAAGGGCAGTGGGCCCCAAAGCTGGCCAGACTTCACCAGTCAGGATCGGTCAACGCCTGGAGCACCAAGGAGCCCTTCTCCTGGATCCAGGTGAGGGCGCCGCGCACTCCCGTGCATGCCCCCTTGGCCGCAGCCCTGCCAGCCACAGCGCGCTCGGCCTCCCTCACCGGAGGCATCCTCAAGGCGCCTTCTGCCACCTGCCCTCCTGAGCGCCACACCCCTCTCTTGCCTGGTACTTTCATAAAAGGAAGACATGCTCCCAGGAAGCCACCCAGCAGGGAGTTAGCACGGAAGGGGGCGCTGACAGGATGGGGAGTTGGGGAGATCTGAAGCATGCACCCGGGCCAGGCCAAGGGCTCCAGGCGCCTGCCAGCGCATGGTCCATCTGCACTTGCTTCCTCGTGGGCAGGAGGGTGTTGTGCTCACGCTCAAATGCCCAGCTGGGTGTCCAGGTGAAATGACGAACCTGAGCTTTCCAGACGGCTCGGAGCTTCCGACCGCAGCATAGAAAAGCTACAAGAGGCGAAGTGGCCGAGATGGGCACTTTGCCAGGAACCCAGAATAGGCAAGAAAGGCTAGGACGCCAGAGGTCCACAGAGGCCTCTCACCGGCCGCGTGAACCAACAACTTAAGTCACTTCAATGAAACCCCTGAACTTTGTGCCTGGTGCTCTCAGGTGATTATGCCACAGTGCCAAGAGGAAAAACCGGGTGTCTTCCTTTGGGAACACCATCTCCTCTGGGAAGAGAGCTCGCCCCTCTGCCCTGTGCTCTGCTTTGTTTTTCTCTCACACTGACCACTCCTTGGTGCCACAGAAGTGAAAACGTGTATGATCGTCCGGTTCCCCTACTCAAGCAGCGGCACCGCAGGGCGGGGCTTTTGTTGCTGTTCACTCTTCCGTGCCCAGACAGCGCTAGGTGCGCAAGCCTGAACACCTATCCTGCAGTGATCGAATGTGGGAGGACTTGGGTTTGGCTGAGGCGGAGATGCGTGCGTGGCCCACGCCCTCCTGTCTAAGAACAAGCACCCCTTGCCACTGGGCCGCACTCGCGGCACAACACTCGCTAGGCGTCGCAATTCGCTGCCAGGCCAGGTGCCAAGGCCGGAATAAATGAAGGGTCCCGCGTGCCATGAGCTGAGAGCGCCTACAGCAGGTGTTCACACTTTCGTTCTTACGACAACCCTGTCAGACAAGCACCACGGTCATCTCCACGTTACAGACAAAGCTATTAAGTCCCAGTGCGGCTGGCCGACTCCGCCACGTTCACGGCCTGACCCTCTCGGACCAGCAGAGACCTTGTCAGGCGGTACGAGAGCTGGCATTAGTGAAGTGACATACATCATGAAGGCTCTAAATTCTAAATTCTTGGGGTGGGGAAACTGGCTTTGGCTGATGTGCGCCCCGAGCCCTGGGCCACGAGGATCCATGTGTGCAGCAAAGGATGTGTACCGAGAAGGCGGGGAGGCGGGGAGGCAAGAAGCACCCCTTCTGCTCCTCCCCGTCCTTACTCCCATGGCTTCGCAGGCAGCCACGTTTCCACATCGGGGTCTCCTTCTCCCGCGTGCCCAGACGCTGCAGCGTCGCCGTCAGCAGTGACCCTATCAGGAGGCAGTTCACTCACTTAACACAACGTGCCGTTTTCATCGGCAGGTGGACCTGTTGGAACCAAAGATCATTCACGGCATCATGACGCAGGGCGCCCGCCAGAAGCTCTCCAGCCTCTACATCTCTCAGTTCGTCGTCATGTACAGCGTGGATGGAAACAACTGGCGCAGTTACCGAGGGAATTCCACGGGCACCTTAATGGTATGTGACCTGCCCTTGCGGGAGAATCCTTTAGGCATGAATCCGTGGAGGAGTGTTTGACAGATTTCAGTGTGGCCCAAACGCTCCTGGCTCTGACAAACTTAAAACCAGAGAAGAATTTTCTGCTTAGGGGAGACAGGAGTGATCATGGACATGTGAGCGAGCAAGTAGTGGCGTCACAGCTCCCAGAGACGACAGAAATGTGTGCCCGGGCCTAGAGGCACGGCTGCAAGCAGGCAGACACGGGCGCCGGGCGGGGCCCCCGCAAACCTCTGTGCTCTTTCTCTGGTCTCGCTCCGGCACTTGCTCACAGCTCGCGGTCTCGCCTTGGAGCGGTCCTCCTTGCCGCGGCCCGGCTCGTAGCGCTGCCGCCTCCTGTCCCTGCGCTCTCGGCATAGGGGCTGCACGGCCACCTGCACCACTGTGCTCCCTGGGCCCAGGGGTCCAGTCAATGGCACGCGCGTTCCACGCCCACGCCACTCAGCCCGGGCATCAGGCGCGGCCCGGGAGGGCAAGACCATGGTGGGGCTGCAGAAGCAGCAATGGCAGGGCGGACGAGAGCCTGAGCGCTCCACTTCCCCGGCCCGGGACTCGGGGGACTCGGGGGACTCGGGGGACGCGGGCGCTGGAGCACACCGTGGAGGCGCGCAGCTGGCCGTGGGCAGGCCAGTGGGCGAGAGACTGGAGGGTGGGGGAAGCCGCGAGTGGAGGTGGGGGCTGCACCTTCCATAGAAAGGGAAATGGGAAATGACATTCTCTGCAGGGCGCCGAAGCCCATCACTGAACAGGCTTAACATACTGCCATCGGCCTCCCGCATATTACGCCTCCATTGAACTGAGCCTTCCACACCCCATTTCACTGGAGCCGCTCTCCCCGCAGCTGCCATGTTCCTGCCACCTGTTTCCAGGCTCCAATAAAACCTGCACGTCAGTCGGGGGTAATCATCCCATCAGCTGCCTTCTTCTTCAGCATGAATTGCGGTCGCTGCCCCTCAGAGACAAAACAGGAAACATCCACTGTTGGTGTCTCAGGACAGACATGCAGGGAGGCCAGACATCTCCGCACGGCATGGGGCAGCCAGACAAACACAGGTTGACATACACACACGGGATGCACTTTGCACATACATGACACACGTGAGACGCATTTACAGACAGCATATATGTAACACATGTACGTATTTATGTGTGCACACGTGGAACAAGCGTGTCCTGTTCCGGACTGCATGGGGGGACCCCACTCTCACTGTGCACCAGGTCCACTGTCAGTTTTCAGTGCTTTCTCTCAATTTGGTTAATTAAAGTAACAACGCTGCATTTGACTCACAAGCACAGGACCCCACTTCAGATGCCCGTCCCCACACCCCACCAGGTCCTCCCCCACCATCTGTCAGGCCCTCCATCTGGGATGGCTGCAGAGCTGTCACAAACGCTTCCTCTGCATCTCTGATCTGATCACTTGCTTCTCTTTCCTGTGGGCAAATTCCACTCACATTCAGTGGCTTAAGAAGCGGGCCTGGCCAAAGCGGACGTGGGAGCAGCCGGTTGGGGAGGCTCCAATCCGTCCAGTTTGTCCCCTTCCGTCACAGCCGAGCACACGCTCCGGACAGGACGCCACTGAACACGGGGCCGGGAGGGCCTCCCGCGCGCGCGCGCGCGCGCGTGGGCCCTCACAGCCAGCATGGGCTCCCGCCCGCAGCCACACTCCCCGCTGGGGCGCCTGGGCCGCCGCCCGGGCCAGGTGCCGCCCGTCTGAGAGTTAGCCGGCTGCACCTCCCCAACTTCCGGAGACGTCTGGTCCCCACGCTCGGCACCCAAACCGGCGCCTGCTGGGGGCTCCTTTCTCAGGTCTGGGCGCGAGGGTCACAGCACCCTGGAAACCAACACCGAAGCGCTCCTTTCCCACGAGGCCCTCGCGCCGGCAGCGGCCGGACGTCTGACGGCAGCCAGAGGGCAAAGGCACGAGCCTCGAGTCTCGGGCCGGTCCTCAGCCACCTCCCCTGCCTGGTCCGGGTGCAAACCAAGAAGCCACGCCGCAGAGGCCGTCGCGGCCCGAAAGGGATCGAGGCGCCCGGCCCGGGCCCCCGCAGCCGCGCTGCCCCCCTGTGACAGCCCCACCCCCGGGCGAGTCGTCGACTGACAGGAGGCCAGGCCCGCCGTGCTCCGTGTGACTCGCCAAACTCAAGAGACTGCATGGGGGGACCCCACTCTCACTGTGCACCCGGTCCACTGTCAGTTTTCAGTGCTTTCTCTCAATTTGGTTAATTAAAGTAACAACGCTGCATTTGACGCTGGGCAGAAAGAAACACCACCCAGCGGGGCGGGGTGCACTGGGCAACACCGGACAAGCCGCCTGGGCAACGTCTGCACGCGGACGGCCCTCGCGCCTGGGGGACGGCGGCGGTCTGGCGTGTGCGCCCGAGAACGCGGCTGAATCTCCCGCGAGCGAAGAGCCGCAGAACGAAAGCGCCCCGCGGGGAGCGCCCGCCCGTGGCCCGCAGCGGCCACTGCAGAGGCCACGCGCCGTGGGGCTGCACCGGCCCGCAGGGCCTTTTCCGGCCTTCCTGGCAAAGCCCGGCTCCGTCAGGCACAGGCTGCCGCAGAGGGCGGGGGCCGAGGGCCCAGGACCCAGACCAGCACGTGCCCCCTAACCCACAAGCGCCCCCAACAGACTCTCGCACAGCAGGCTGCGGGCTGCCGCCGCCGAGGCGGCCCAAGCACTTTAATGACACTGGGTGGGGAAACGGACACCGGGAGGCGCCTGACCCCCGCCCCCCCATACGCTGGGGGAGCCGGGCACCGCCGGGGGCCACGCGGCCAAACGTCTCTGCGGGCGCGCGGCTGCGCGGGGGTCGGGGGGCACCGCCAGCCAGCGTCCAGAGGCCCGGCCGCAGGAGCTCCGTCTCCGCCTCCGCCGGGGTGGGGGGGAGGCTGTGGCCGCAGCAGACGGGCGCAGGAGGGCGCGCGGCAGGACGAGCAGGGAGCTGGCGACGACGACGACGGAGTCCACGGCGGCCTCCCGAGCGCGCGGGGGCGGGGGGCGCGAAGGGCCGCGGCCCCCAGGGGCCCGGGCGCGCGCACACGCGCGCGGGCAGCGAGTCCCGACGAGGCCCGCCGTCGCCGTCCCGCCGGGCCCCCGCCCTCCGCGCAAGGGCTCACACCCCCTGCCCCGACGGGCAGACGGCCTCCTGCAGCACGAGGTGCAGCAGGTGGTTCTGCTCGGCGCTCAGCAGCGGCCACATGGCCACCTGCAGCGACTTGACGGCCTCCGTGTCCTTCTCGTGCGTGGCCATGACCAGCGACTGCAGCAGCAGGAAGAGCTCCTCGGGCAGCGGGCCGCCGCCGTCCTGCCCGTGGCCGTCGAACGCCTCCCAGGAGTACTTCTCCAGCGTGCGCGCGTGCTCGGGCAGCAGCTTGGCCGGCGGCGGCTGCAGCAGCAGCAGCAGCAGCACGCGGGACACCTCGCAGCGGACCAGCACGTCCGAGAAGGCGCCGAGCGCGGGCACCGGCGCGGGCGGCGGCGCGCCGGGCGCGGGCGGCGGCGCGGCGGGCCGGGCGGCGCCGGGCGGCGGCGGGGGCCCGGGCGGCGGCGGCGGCGGCGGCGGCCCGGGCGGCGGCGGGGGCCCGGGCGGCGGCGCGCCGTGCTCGCGGGCCAGGCGCTGCATGCGCGTGAAGAGCGCCAGGGCGCTGCTGTAGTCGCGCGCCAGCAGCTGGCAGGACGCCGCGTCGCCCAGCGCCTGCAGCGCGGCCAGGGGCAGCTGCGGCAGCTGCAGGTGGGCGGCGCGCTGGAAGTGGCCGGCGGCGGCGGCCGGCTGGCCCAGGTCGCGCAGGGCGGCGGCCAGCTCCAGGCAGAGCGCGGCGGCGGCGGCCGGCTGGCCCAGCTCGAGGTGCAGGCGCACGGCGGCGCCCAGCGCGGCGGCGGCGGCCTGCAGCGGCTCCCCGTAGGCGGCGGGGCAGGCCAGGCGCTGGCGCGCGTCGCGCTCCTGCCGCAGGAAGAGGCGCGCGGCCTCGGTCAGCGCCAGCGCCTCGCCGGGCCCGTGGAAGAGCGCCTGCTGGCAGCGCGCCACGGCCAGCTGGCACCAGGCCGCGTAGGGCAGGCACTCCTGGGCGCGCAGCTCGCGGCCCAGCTGGGCGAACTGCTCGCCGGCCTCCGCCACGTTGGGCTTCCGCAGGAAGCGCTTCTTCAGCTTGCTGGACACCTGGCGGTAGCGGGCCAGGAAGTCGGGGGCCTCGGGCCCGGGGCCCGCGCCGCCGGCGCCCGGCCCCGCCGCGGACGCCGCCATCTTGCCGCCCGGCGCTTCCGGGCCGGCGTGCCCACGCCCGCGTGCGACGGCGACGTGGCGGGCGGGCGGGCGGGCGTGCTTGCGTCACGCGCGCCGCGCGCCCGCCCGCCCGGCCGCGGGGCGGGGCGGGGCGGGGCGGGGCGGGGCGGGGCGGGGCCTGGCCGGCCGGGGCGGGCCCCGCTGTCGCTAGGCGACCAGGTGTTTGCGCGGTGGCCAGGGCGTCTGGCCTCCCTGAGCGAACTGGGTCCCCAAACCGCGCGGTCGCCCCCCGTGACCCCTTCCGACCTGGCACCCGGCTGGCCCCCCGCGCCTCAACCTTCCCGTCCGAGCCCGTGCCCACGGCGCTGCCCACCCATCCGCCCCGCGCCCCGGTGACCGGCGCACGGTCCGCCCGTCGCCTCGCCGCAGGCCTGGTCTGGTCTGGAGCTGCTCCCCAAAGAGCCCCGTCCTCCTGGGGACTCATGCCGACGACGGCGCAGTCGGCCCAGGCCAGCCCCACGCCTCGCCCTTCCCCGCCCACCCGGGGACACGCCCTCGCACCGTCCCGCTCCGCTCCGCAGGCAGGCCTCTGCTCTCCGCCAGCCCCATCCCGAACCCCCCAGCCGGGCGTCGCCCCGCCGCCCCCCCCCGTGCCCCGACGGAGGGCCCGCCCGTGCGCCCCCCCCCCCCGCCCTCCCGTGCCCCGACGGAGGGCCCGCCCGTGCGCCCCCCCCTGTGCCTCGACGGAGGGCCCGCCCGTGCGCCCTCCCGCCCTCCCGTGCCCCGACGGAGGGCCCGCCCGTGCGCCCCCAGGGCCCCGGGGGACCCCGCACCCCACGCAAAGCGACCGAAGCGCGCACGAGTTTCTTTCAACATTTATTGGCTTCCAGGACTGGGGGCCGGGGCTGCCGGGCGTGACGGGGGCCTGGCCGGGGCCAGGGCCCGCGGCCGCTAGTGGGGGCCCGGGGCCACCTGGGAGATGGTGGTGGCCCCGAAGAGGGGGCTGAGCAGCGCGTTGTTGTGCACCGCCATGTCCAGCAGCTCGGGGGTGATGCGCGTGAGGCCTCTGTTCTGGGCCTCGCTGCCCGCCAGCTCCAGCACGGTGGCCGTCAGGTACTGGAGGACGGCCGCGAGGAAGACCGGGGCGGACGCGCTCAGGCGCTGGGCGTAGCGGCCCTCCCGCAGCAGGCGCTCCACGTGGCTCACGGAGAAGGCCAGCTCGGCGCGGGAGCTGCGGGAGCGGTCTCCCCGCTGCTCGGCAGACGACCCCCGACGGCTTCTCCTCGGCATGGCGGCGGCGGCGGCGACGGCGAGGGGCCTTCCTGCCTCGGGCCTGGCTGCGCGGCGCTGGGAGGCGAGGCGAGGCGAGGCGAGGCGGGGCGAGCCGGTGCGGGCGAGGCGAGGCGAGGCGAGGCGAGGCGAGGCGAGCCGGTGCGAGGCGGTGCGGGCGGGAAGGTGCCCGGCTCTGCCACGGCGGGCCCCAACCGCTGCGTGGAGCCGGTGTCTGACCCGGCTGCGTCTCCTAGCAACCGCCGGCTCGAGGGGCCCCTCATTGGTGGGCTCGCGCGTCCCTAGAAGGTTCCAACGCACCGCCAGGGGGTGCCCCCCACCCCCCCACCCCCGCCCAGAGCGGGCCCGGGGCCGGGCCCGCCAGGTCCGGCCCACGCGGCTGCTCGCCCGAGCCTCCCTCCCGGGCTGCCTCCCTTGCCAACGGAGGGCAACGTGGGCCGGGCCACCGCCACCGCGACCTGCTGCCACCATGTTGGCACCACCCCGGTGCCCCCCAAGCCCCGTGGGATGCGCCGTCGCGCCCCCCCCCGGCCCCCTCCCCGTTCGCCCCCTCCCGCTCGCGAGACGCTGGGGCCGGGCCCCGGCGCGGGAACGTGGGTGGCCCCTCGAGCCGGGCAGCTGGCGCCCGGCCCGGTGCGTTCCTCGGGGTCCAGCCAGAGGGCAGCTCGAGCCGGCGCGTCCTCCCTTTTCGCGGCTGCATGGTACTCCGTCGCACGGGCGGCCGCGGTCCTGGGCACCTCGTCGTGCGCGGGCGGACGTTTAGGGGGCCCCGCCGGCAGGACTGCGCCCGCGTCCCGTGCGCTCCTGGGGGGGAACGCCGGCTCGCCTGCTTCCTGTGGGCTGTCTGGGCGCGGCGGGCCGGGGTGCGCGTAGGGAAACTGTGTTGGCCGACTGAGGGGCCGCGCCACTGAGGGGCCGCGCCACTGAGGGGCCGCGCCACTGAGGGGCCGCGCCACTGAGGGGCCGCGCCACTGAGGGGCCGCGCCACTGAGGGGCCGCGCCACTGAGGGGCCGCGCCACTGAGGGGCCGCGCCACTGAGGGGCCGCGCCACTGAGGGGCCGCGCCACTGAGGGGCCGCGCCACTGAGGGGCCGCGCCACTGAGGGGCCGCGCCACTGAGGGGCCGCGCCACTGAGGGGCCGCGCGACGCTTGGGCAGACGCAGGGGCGGCGAGCGCGGCTCCCCTCCGCTGCCCGTCGGCCTGCGGCCTTGGTGTCCGTCTGCGTCTCTTTGGTTCCGTGCGCGCGGATTTATTTGCTCGGGTCGCGGCCCTGGCGGCTGCGGAGCAGCATCTGCGGGGGCCCCCTCAGGGTGCAGCGTGTGGGGTCTGGCGCGGGAACCTGCTGGCCGGGTGCTCCTGCCTCGGAGGCGTGTCCGCTCCAGCCCTCTGCACGCTGTGGTCTCCCTGGTGGCGCAAGGGGTTAAGCACCGCACTATGAAGCTGTCCACAGCCTCTGCAGCACGAGTTCCATCCCTGGCCAGGGAGCTCCCCACAGGGTGCAGCAGACCTCTCCTGACTCCCCGCTGCTCCCCTCAGCAGTGGATCTGCCTGTTTTGCTCCCCGCTCTGTCTCTGGTGAGTGCTGTCACTCCCCGCACCTCTGGCCTGCACCCCAGCTCTTGTATGCATAAATAAAATCTTTTTTTAAAAAAGAATAATGCTGTGACTTCTCTGACAGTAATATAAATTTATTAATATTCTCTACCCCACAGAAAGAAAAATTGTTACATGGGAGAATTTTTTATTTCCCATTACTCTGATATGTGATTATTTACCAGGCTGACACTGATTCCTGCTCTAGTGTCCTCAAGCAGATACAGACTCCCAGCATTTTGTGAGACGATTTTCAACTTTCCTTATATTATATGCCACAGTTTCCATGTAAGTCTTTTGCATGGGCATTGCCATGAAAGTTCTCAAACTGTCTGTTTCCTTGAATGTGCTATGCTTGAATGTTCTCTGGAGCCTGGGTGCATCAAGCTCGTGCAGGCCACATGTTCACCTTGGACATTACCACACGCCTCGTGAGTCCACACACGAGGAAGCAGGGATAGAGGTTCTTCCACACTGTTCGCATTCTCGGAAACTCTTTCTCAGTTGAGTCCACCCTGAGCGCAAGCTCCTCAGACTTGGGCTCTGCTCGGCCGATCTGGGATGCGGCCCCAGCACTCTTGCTTCCGCAGATGCAGGTGCAGCTGCTCCGTGGCCCACAGTGGAGCCGAGAGACAAGACCATTTCACAGGACCCCCTGCCCCAGACTGGTCTCCCTCGGCTTGCTCCTCTTTTTTTTTTTTTTTTTTTAAGATTTATTTATTTATGCATACAAGAACCTGGGTACAGGCCAGAGGTGTGGGGAATGAGAGGATCCACCAGAGACAGAGCGGGGAGCAGAACAGGCAGGTCCACTGAAATACACTGCTGAGGGGAGCAGCGGGGAGAAGGCGAGGTCTGCTGCACCATGTGGGTCAGCGCCCTGGCCAGAGATCAAACTCATCCTGCACAGGCTGCAGGTAGCCTCATAGTGCTGTGCTTAACCCCTTGCGCCACCAGTGAGGCCCCTCAGCTCGCTCCTCTTTCTGGTGTTTTTCACCCTCATCCGTTCTGTCCTAATGTCTGAGCTCTGGTGCGGGGGGCTGCACCTATTAGTACCCAAACCTCAAGTTGCTCAGAATCTAGCAGGGATAGTGACAAGCAGACCTTTGAAATGCAGGCTGATGTGGTGAAGAAAGGATCTGGGGGCTTCTGGGAACAAACAGTACCCTCAGAATACTAGTGTGACTAACTTCTTCAGGTCGATGATCCCAAAGAGTGGCTGCAAGTGGACTTCCAGAAGACAGTGAAAGTCACAGGCGTGACCACCCAGGGCGTGAAGTCTCTCCCCAGATGTTATTTTGCTCCTTCACTTGTATCTGTGCTGACCCCCCAGGTCTTCTTCGGCAACGTGGACTCATCCGGTATAAAGCACAATGTCTTCAACCCTCCAATCATCGCTCGGCACTTCCGCCTGCACCCCACACACTACAGCGGCCGCAGCACCCTGCGCATGGAGCTGCTGGGCTGTGACCTCAACAGTAAGTGTCGGGCGCCCTGTCTTCCCTTGCCGTGCTAGACTGACTGGCTGGGAAGTGGTCCCGGGCGGGCAGAGCCCTGGTGCGTGGGGCCGCAGGGCCGACCGAGGCCGGTGCTAGTGGCGAGTTCTCTCATTTCCTTGAGGCTGCAGCATGCCCCTGGGTGTGGGGAGCAAAGCGGTCTCCGATGCTCAGATCACGGCCTCATCCTACTTAAAGAACGTGTTTGCCAGCTGGGCTCCCTCCCAAGCGCGACTCCACCTCCAGGGCAGGACCAACGCCTGGAGACCGCAGGTGAGAGGAGCAGATGCCCTGGACCAGCAGGGCCGTGACCGTGGTTGGGGAAGAATAGGAAGTACCCTTACTGAGTCTCAGGGCGCAGGTCTCGGTAGGCATGGTTTCAGACAGTAGGCACGGGGCATCCCTGGCGGGGCTTCCCGGAAACAGACTCTGTATATAGGGGGGCTGCCACCTGTCAAAGAATCAGTGCATCTGAAGCCCGGTGCTCTCAGCCACCATCCCTCGAGTTGCAAGTCTCCCAGTGCTCAAGGGAAGGGCCATGGCCGCGTACAGTTCACTGGACACAGTCCTTTGCTAGAATCACTGCGTGTGATTGGTCTGTCATGGAGAAGCTTCTGGTCTGTGCTCCTTCAAGAGCATATTGTAGACATAACAGGCTCCACCACACTGCCAGGCTTTCAGCTCCAGCCAGTTTCTATATGGCTCATGTATTCATTCAACAAACATGTGTGGGACACACAACCTCAAGTTGCTCAGAATCTAGCAGGGATAGTGACAAGCAGACCTTTGAAATGCAGGTTGATGTGGTGAAGAAAGGATCTGGGGGCTTCTGGGAACAAACAGTACCCTCAGAATACAAGTCTGACTAACTTCCTCAGGTCGATGATCCCAAAGAGTGGCTGCAAGTGGACTTCCAGAAGACAGTGAAAGTCACAGGCGTGACCACCCAGGGCGTGAAGTCTCTCCTTATGAGCATGTTTGTGACGGAGTTCCTCATCTCCAGCAGTCAAGATGGCCACCACTGGACTCTGTTCCTTCAGAGTGGCCAAGCAAAGGTAAGCTGGCCTCACAGGAAAGGCAAGGGGAATCTCCTGGAGCTTGACCTTTGGAGACATAATGAGGTTGTTGAATGACCTTGAGGATAACCTGAGTACCTGTAGTAACAGGACACCATGAAAGGCATTCTGGGAGGACATGGTGACGCCAAGCTAGAGTAGAGGCAGGAGTCGATTATCTTCACAAATGTCGCTGTTATGTGGGATGGCTGCAGCTCAGGGAGATAAAGAAGAGGAAGACTCACTTGCCAAATACATGACATCTGTGTCCTCAGCAACTTACAGGCCTGAGACTCACTGGCCTTGAACTTTCAGGACCTAGACATCTTTCTTCTGGAGATGAGTTTGCTGCATAAGTTCACAAGTTATGCTGACTATGGGATGTGCCATGTAGTCTTGCTGCCCCTTGAGTGTGGGCATGAACGGGTCATTCCTATGGTCTCTTTTATCTTTTTCACCGAGGATTAACCACGCTGTGGCCCTTGCCAATTTCTCTAGTCATCTCTTTCCACTTGCTCTAGTGCTTACTAGACAGGGAGGGGGTGAAGAGTTGTGTGTTTAAGCACTCATACACACAATGGCGCCATCTGGATAATGGAATGTTGCCATAATCCACCCAGAGCTTACCTCCCCAGGCACTAGCAGACAAGGCCGCTGCAGGTGGCGAATGTCAGGGGTCTGGTCACACCCAAAAGGAAGCACACTACACAGAGGGCAGTTCACTTGATCGACAGCAGGGGGCGCTCGCGGACGAGGAACCCTGGTGGCCAGGGGCCTCCTCTAGGGCCACTTGAAATCGACTCTTGCTGATGGAACAAGAAACCACAGGAAACTTCCACATGAATAGGGAAGGGCAGGTGAGGTAGAAGGCATTCTCATTTTTGAGTCTTCACTCCGTTTCTTGAAAACGCCATGACCTTCGGCGGCATGAGTCACCCGAGCAAAGGGCTGTGAGAGGACATGACCCAGAGCACTTGCTTGAAATGCCAGTGTGTCCCCTCGGCCTGTGGCCTGAGAGGGCGAGGGCAGCACAGCAGGCAGAGGACAACTAGGAAACCACAGCCCGGCCGACATGGAGTGGCCCCAAACAAGAATTTGCAGACATGAAGAAAAGCTTTGAATCGGAAAATTTTAAACTGACAAAAATGGGGGAAGCATAGGAAGATGTGAAATACGAGTTAACCAAAGTGAAAAAAAAAATGATATTGAAGAAAAAGATATCATCTGAGAAATGAAGGCAATCATCTCACCGGAAGAGACTTAAGCAAAACTATACCTTGGGGTACTGAAGAGGAAAACAGGCCTGAGGCCAGAAACGTAGCAAAGGGAAGAAAATGAACCTCTGGTGGCGCAAAGGGTTGAGCACAGCACTGTGAAGCTGTCCGCGGCCTCTGCAGCACGAGTTCCATCCCCGGCCAGGGAGCAACCACATGGTGCAGCAGACCCCTCTGTCTCCCCTCTGCTCCCCTCAGCAGTGGATTTCAGTGGATCTCCCTGTTCTGCTCCCCACTCTGTCTCTGAGGAGTCCTCTTACACCCCCCGCCCCCGCATCTCTGGCCTGCACCCCAGTTCTTGCATGCATAAATAATTTTTTTTTTAAAAAAGGGAAGAAAATGATCATAGAGAAAGTGAAGCTAAGCCGGCACAGGTGAGACCGGAAACTCAGAAGAATAAAACAAAGCAACGAGAGCACATGTTGGCAGTGGAACCCAGGAACAGCCCGCGGGAATCACAGCAGCTCTGGGCATGCGTACCTGGGGAAAGTGATCCAGTAGAATCCATTGTGAGCTAGTCCTAGTCAGTCTAAATTCTCAGTGCCTCCAGGTCCAAAGGCTGAGTCAGTGACAAGGGCAAAGAAATGCTGTTCCCACGGGTTGTTCGCTAGAGCTCAAGAGAAGAAGAGACACGTGCGAGCGCACCACGCTGTATAGCCAAGGCCCACGCAAGAACACGCCCTTACATGCACCCTTGTCACAGAGTAAAAGCGACGATTTTGCTCATCAGAGAAGTGGGCGTAGCAGACAACAAAGTCATTTATGGCCAAATAACAAATGGGAGTCGAAGGGGCTCATTTGACACGGACACCTTCGAAAAAGGCCCAGCGGTGCGGGAGCGTCACTGGGAATGCCGCCGGGCCATGCTGGCTGCGCTGTCCTAGTGCCCAGAAGCTAGCGATGTCACCTCATCTGGGAAAAGGTCTTTGAAAATGCAGCTAAGAATCTTGAGGTGAGTTCAGCCTGGACTCCCCAGGGGCCCTCAACCCAGTCCTAGGTGTCCTTAGAAGACAGCAGAGGAGGGACACACAGAGAAGGCCTCTCGGCACTGGTGCTGCACAGAGAAACTGCGCAGCCCTGCGTGGCCGTCCGTTTCCCCGGAGAAGAGACAGGGTGACATCAGCAAAGCCAGGCGCGCCCCAAAGGGCCCAGCACCCCTGGCCACAGCAGATGGACTCTGCCCTCCCTGCCAGGACCACATGCCGCCTGTGCTCAGGCAGAACAAAGGAACACACGGTGAGTGACAAACAGGGAAAGCTGCCCCCACACGGGGACGGGCACGCGCAGGCTGCGGGGCTCCCTTTCTCTCGGCGCTAAGTGGCTGCTGTGGCCAAGAGCAACTGGAGCACCCAGAAGCTGGAACAGACCAGAAAAAATCCCCCCCGAGAACCCTGAGAGGGGGCGCGGCGGCCCTGAGATACCTGAATGAACCCAGCGACGGTTGGAACTGCATCAGAAGAGTCACTGTCCCCGGAGAGCTTGGGCATGATGGCTCTGGCCTTAGTCTCTCAGCCCCACTTCCTGGTAGAAGGAACCTGGGCCAAACTGGAGCATCAAAAAGAAAAATGCTGATTTTAAAATTCAGAGCCCAGAAGGCCTACAGGAGTGCCTGTCACCGCACCAACCCGGGAAGCATCCAGCACTGAACACAGAAGATGTGGCCAGATGAGGGCTGTGAAGAAATGCGCCCAAGGGGTGAAAATGAGGTGGCCGTGCATCTGCGCTGCAGGAAAATGGGGTGGTGCGAATGGAGTGGGGGTGAGATGCCCATTCAAATTCTCCTGAGGTACTTGGTGCAAAACCCATCTCCTCCTCCTCTCCCTTGTCACCTGCCACTGGCTTCACCACACCACACTGCGGGAGCGCTGCTCTCTCAGGCTGGGGAATGCGCTGCCCTGAGTGACCATGATCACCAGACGTGTTTCTGCAGACACCTGCTGGCCACACACAGGCCTCCCCAGCCCAACCCAGAGAAGCGTGAGGCCTCAAGGCCCTGCTCCCCACCTCCCACCCCCACTGCTCCTTCACCCAGCCCTGCGCCTTGCTGTGTTGCTGCTGTTGGTCTAAAGTTGTTGATTTGACTGGGGACAGGAACGACGCTTCTCGAAAGAGCAAATGTTCCAACTATGATGGGCCTTTGCTCCACATCTGCCTTATATCTGAATTGTTCTCAGCCGCTTTTCAGAATCTCAGTGGACTTGAGTGTCCTGTCAATCAATATATGTCCCTTTTCCTCTTTCAGGTTTTCCATGGCAATGAAGACCCCTTCACCCCTGTGCTGAACTCTCTAGAGCCGCCTCTACTAACCCGCTACCTTAGAATCCACCCCCAGAGCTGGGTGCACCACATTGCCCTGAGGCTGGAGGTCCTGGGCTGCGAGGCCCAGCAGCTGTCCTGGGGCCCAGGCCCCGCCTGACAGCTGCATACCCGCGGCCCCGGGGCCTGTCGTGCCTGTGCCTGCCAGCCCGGCACTCTGCCCTCCTGGCAGAAACGGCCCACAAGCCTCCCAACGCCACAGCCCAGAACCCTGAGTGCCCCATGGCTGCTGCCGCCTCCCGGTCCGGCCTTGCTTCACTGAACTGACGCAAGGGAAGCATCTCAGAGCAAGCTGTGGACACGGAAAAGACGACTCTCACTTGTTTATTACCTTGCTCAAGCACGGACCAAAGCAGCTGTGGGGAGCATAGCGCCTCAGCCTTGAACTCAGAAGGCCCATCATTTTGACAATCTGCAAAGAGGAGGTCGTATAAGAATTCCCTGCCTTAGTCTATTTTGGCCTCCTAATCCTGAGATGTGGTTCTCCTGTTTTGTTATCTTGGAGCACAGTTACTGCATCTTCTTACCTCAAAACTGAGACCCAGAGGTAGGATTCCAGACCACTCAGGTCCCTGAAAGTAGAAGCAACATGACGTAAGATGTATTTTCCTCACAGGATTGTCCAGAGTTAGTCAGGTCTTAAAAGGGTGAATGGCCTTCTCAAAATTCAGGTCCATCTCACAGGGAAATAGAAATGAATTCTTAATTCTAGTAATAAAAAAAAATGCCCCTCAGAAATTTGTGGTGTCTAAAGACATATTTTCATGTTTCCACAGGAAAATTCGTGCCCATCTGGGCGACACAACACTGTGATCGCAATAACGCGAATTTTCCTCCTCAGCTCACTTCCCATCCCAGGGCTAGTTGGGACTCAGCTGGTGACAGCAAGAGCACAAACCTGCGGCCGCCTGCCACACAGGAGAAGCTTTGTGCGGTTCACACCCCTGTCACTCGGAAACAAGGGCCAAGGCAGGAGGCGAGGGCAGGCCTTGAGCAGCTGGAGCGAGGGAGCGTCCAAAGGTGGCAACCTAGGGTGCTTGGAAAACACCATTCACAGTAGCAGAGAAAGTTACCACAATCTCAGAAGTGTCCAGAGAGCAGAGGCTTTTCTCTTCCATGCGAGAGCTTTTCCTAGTAACCCTGCATGACTCTGACCTGACCTTTCCGGGGACTACGAAGTGTTTGTCACAGTACAGTCATAAGCCACAACTGACGAAAGTGCAAATGGTTTATAGTCCTGTGAGCTCTGGAAGGTCACAGGCCAAGGTACAGAAAGCAATAAATTGTTTTGCTTTGTAGCCTGGTAGAGAAGTGAACCCAAAGGCGATATGGTTGTATTTCCTGTGGAAGGGTAACCGCTGGTGTCTGACTTCACAATCTTGTTTGGCGTCCCTTCCCCATCTGACTGCACATCTCTATTCCTCAAATGCTCTGCGAAGCAGCTCTCGTCTTCCTGACAGTTTCCTCAATAACCAGGTAAAGCAAACATTGACACATACAAGCAAACACCTCTGAGGAGCGAGGCGTGTTGTGATGACGTTAACAAGCGCACAACAGCAGGGTCACCACTTGGAAAGTCAGGGCCAACTTCAGTTGGGTGTAGCAAGGCCCTGGGCCAACCTGCTGGATGTGAGTGACCCAGGAGAGAACTGCCACGTGAACCCAGAAACAGGCACGAGAGTCCCGAAGTGGGCACAATCCTGCTTCCTCACGGCTTTTGGTGACTCCGTGTGGCATTGCGTCAGGTCACGCTTCCTCCACCAGGCCACTGCGCATTGCTTCTCTGACTGAGCCCGGATGGTCACTTGTCAGTTCTTCCATCGAAGTGATCATGTTTTTTTAGACCTTGATTTGTGAGAGTTCTCTGTATGTTAAGGGTCCTAACCTACTATCTATCATAGATGTTACGAGATGTATTCCCTAAGTCGTCATTAATCTTTCTTTACAATATTTTACTTTATGAAAGCTTCATGTTTTATGCAATAAATTTATCAGTATTTTCATATATGGTTTTGGATTTTAGGACATGTTTAAAGTAGCTTTTTCCACATCAAGATTTTAAACATAGCCACCCTTATTTTATTCTAACGCTGTAGCTTGAAGTTTCTTCAGTCCTTGATCCAGCTAAAATTTAGTTTTACCTGTAACGCTCTACAGCCAAATGAATAGTGAGTCACCCCAACATCCTATCAAGCCACCTCTTTCTCACCACTTTTTTCATCTACTAAAGCCCCACCACACGCGCTATTTTAAGGTGTAGCAGGTCCCGTGTGTTAAATGAAATACCTTCAATCTTTCAGGCCTAGGAATACACAGTCACTGTGACATTGGGTTTCAGTGACAGCACAGACAGAAAAGGGGTGTCCGGGCTTCCCTGGTAGCACAAGGGGTTAAGCACAGCACTGTGAAGCTATCAGCAGCCTCTGCAGTACAAGTTCCACCCCGGCCAGGGAGCTGACCCACATGGTGCGGCAGACCTCTCCTGTCTCCGGCTGCTCCCCTCAGCAGTGTGTTTCAGTAGATCTGCCTGTTCTGCTCCCCACTCTGCCTCTGGTGAATCCTCTCACCCTCCCACACACACCTCTGGCCTACACCCCAGCTTTTGTACGCATAAATAAATAAATCTTTCTTTAAAAGGGGAGTACCTGCTCTGGGGGGAGGGCCGAGGTTGTCAGTGATGTCATAAGGAGGTAGAATTCTGGGTGCACCTTCAGAGACCTTGGGAAGACTGGCTGGCTTCTTCTGAAGATGGAAGGCTAATTCACTAGCCTTTTTGGAACCCTTGGTGTTGGGTCAATTTTTCAATTTTCAGGTGACTGCCATCCCTCGTGTCCTGCAACAGGCTCTTTAAGCCCAAATGGTAATGGCTCAGACAGGGGCTTGTGTCCCTCATCTCAAGCAGTCCGCGAACCTTCCTCACCGTCATAAGACGGCGGCCCCAATTTCATGTTCCACTTGCTACACAATGTTCAAGGCAGGAGGGGTGGTAGTGAGGGAGGGTGTGGGTGTGGGGTGGGAGGTAGGAGGTTGTAGGGGATTTGGAGGTGGGAGATGAAGAATGGTGTGGGAGGTGGGGTTGGGGGATGTGGCGGCTGGAAACAGGTTGGGGAGTCGGGGACAGGTGGGGGTGGGGGCTGAGATTTCTGCATCAAGCAGGTATGCTGATTAGGAGACTTGCGAGAGGCTGATACTGTTGTAATTGAGGCGTCTCAGGAAAGCTCCCTGAGAATCCGGGCGCATGTGGGTGAAGTGTCTTAGATCTGGGGTCAGCGCCTCAGGTGACGAACAGCTGTGGGTGATTAGCAAAGGTGAGCAGCTTTCTGCAGCAAACACGAAACCCCATTCTCTGACTTTCAGACAGAGGTGCGTTGGAAAGAGCTGAGAGTTGAGCGCCCTGAGAGGAGCCATGCAGCCCCAGAGGCTGCTGAGCGCTGGCTTCCTGCTGTGCAGCCTGGCCTGCCTCTGGTGGGATGCTGTGGCTTCCCGGCCATCCAAACCAAGGGGTGCGTGTGCTGTAGGGTACATGCTTCTTTCTTCTTGTGACGTAGGGCCCATCCATCAGGTCAGGAAACCATGGTCTTGGGAGAGCTGCCTATTTGGGTTCAGTCCATGGAGCTGCACGTGCTCGAAGCCAGAGCCAGTGGCGCCGACCTCCCATGCGGGTGCAGTGCCTCCCTGAGGACAAAGAGGGAGGAGGGCAGGGAGCATAACACAGACAGTGAAACTGAAGGCAGACATGGTGGCACTCGAGCCCACGGTGGAGTGCTCCCAAAACCTGCCTCGACACCCACACACCTTGCACCCACCCCAGCCCTGGGAAGCATGTCCCAGTGAGCGACCCCCTGCCACAGCTCCTGAGGCCTTCCTTGGGGGCACATCACAGCAGCCTCTCCTTTTCCCCCACTTCCAAAAGAAAAGACTCAAACGATGCCCAGCCCGGCCCGGCGGCCTCCGTCAAGTTCCTCCTGGAGCTGCAGCTGCTTCCTGCCCGGCTGCCGGCCTTCTCCTTTCTCTTCCAGGAGCAGTGACCCTCCCTCGTGCTCCTCATTGACTGGCTACGGCTGCAAAACCCCCCTTAGCACAGGGAATAGCATGGGGGAGCGTGTTTTGTTACCTTTTTTTAAGTACCGCCCTGAAGGGCCCCAGCCCAGCCGGCTCAAGCGGCTGCGGCTGCGGTGCTCCCTGCAGGCTGGCTGGGCGACCTCCGGGACGACCTCTGGGACCTGATCAAGAGCTCCCTCCCTGCAGCAGCCATTCTGGCTTTTGTTATCAGTGCAGCAATCCTGGGGACCCTGTGCTGCCTCACGTAAGCCGGGCAGGAGGGAGGGGGGCAGAGGAAGGGGCTCTGGGAACGGGGACTTGCCATCCACACCCCCCGCAGCAGCTGACAGTGTCTGCGACTCCCCTTCTGTCGCGAGGAAGCCCTAATCATCCTGACCCTCGGCACAGGGACTGCACATGGAAACTAAGCTGCAGTGTTTCCAGCTGCCTGAAACTCGTCAAAAATATTCCTCTAGACGAGTCAGACGAAGTCAAAAGATTCCCGAAATCGTTCAGAAAATAACAGGTCTAGCTGGAAACCTAGGCTTCACGTGTGTCCCCACGACTTCCCGAGAGACGGCCCGTCCCCGCTTTGCAGAAAGACTGGGCAAGAAGACAACTGAGCAGCCCCGACTGCAGCAGGATGGAAAGGAACTCTACTCAAAATTCACCAGCTGGCAAAGTGGGGGGCAAAGAGCAGGCGAAGGGCGTGGCGTCCTGTGCTGGCGCCGCGGCCCCGCCTCGTGACCAGCAGGCAGTGCCAGCTGCACAGGGCACTGAGCAAGCTGCGGCCCCACCTTCCTGAGCACCCCTAGGAGGGCAACTCCCCCACACATGCAGATGGGGGCCGATGATTCAGTTCATAGGTCACTCAACCAAGCGCCACACCCACACACTCTCTTGGGGCGGCCACAGCGAGGGCTGCGGCGGGACCGTGGGGGTACACGGTGCCCAGGCCAGGCACTGTGGGTTCTCCTCTCAGCCAGGCCGGGAGGAGTGGCACAGCCCTGGGGACCCCACTGAGCTGCCCCACCTTAGGAGGCGAAGCCTGCCCTGTGCGACCCACCCTGGTGAGCCCCAGAATTGAAGACCAGCGGCAACTGAGAGACCGCCGTGGTTGCAGGCGCGGGGGTCGTCGTGGGAGGAAGTGCGACACACGCCGAGTGGCCACAGGGACAGACACGCTTTCTGCCCACTACGGAGGCAGGACTGCGGTCGGGAGGTGCCCACGCCTCCTGGCATTGCCACTTGGGCTCCAGAAGCATCTGAGCATTGCTTGACCGTGCACATCCAGAGGGGTGTCGGGAAGGTCAAGCGGGGAGCAGGCCCCCCGAAGTCAACCGCGAGGGCGGGAGGCAGGAGGAGCGGACCGAGTGGCCCTCTGCCGGCTCAGAGTGACACTCGGGGACACCGGGGAGAGACCGCCGCAGAGGACGACGTACCTGGCTCCAGTTGGTTATTGGCAGGGCAGGGGCCTGGAAGTCAGTCGGTCGTCGCCCGGCGGCAGCGCCATCGTGAGGGTTTCCACCGTTGCTCTCCGGCTGCTCCGTGCTTTGGTCCGGCCGCACTTTCTGGCCTTTCCACAGCAAACTGCGTTGCTTGACTGCCACATTTCTGAAAATATATTTCAGAAACCAAAGCCAGAACTTCTGTGCCTACCTCCAATCCCAAGGATGCCAGAAACACATCCTTGCTCTTCTTTTCTCACGTCAGCAGACTGTTTCATCTGCGTGGAATCAGCTACTTCCGTCTCAGGGGCCGAGTCCCGGGAAGGGCGAGGGGACAGCCGGCAGCGGCGGGGGGGAGGGGAGGCTGAACCCCAGCTCTGCTCTCATCCTTTCCTCTTCCTTTTCCAGCATCCTTATAGGCGAGCCCGTCCAGTAAAGAACTAGACGATTCCGGTGGACAAGCACGGTGTTCGCTTGCTGGAGTCCGAGAGGATGGACTAGCAAAGTCAAATTGTCTTTCATCTTAGACTATCTTTGTCTTTATTTTCTCCTTCAAAACATGCAATTGAAAAATGGGAATAGTCATGACTGCTTTGATGATAAAAGTAGTACACTCTTATTGTAAAAGGTGTGTAGAAAATACAGAAAGAAGAAAACCATACCCCTAACCCTAGCACCCCAAAATAAACACTGTTAACTTCTTGGTGTGTCTCCATTCAGACTTCTTAAACATGTTACTGTTTTCCCAAAAACTCTTCTATAAAACGATAGCTCTGTTGTGATGTTATTTATCGGTGGTCAACTAAGTCTGACACATGCTGCATGAAACAGGATTTTTTTTTTAAAGATTTATTTATTTTTATACAAGAGCTGGGGTACAAGCCAGAGGCATGGGAGGGTGAGAGGATTCACCAGAGACAGAGTAGGGAGCAGAACAGGCAGACTGACAAAATACACCGCTGAGGGGAGCAGCGGGCGAGACAGGAGAGGTCGGCTGCACCATGTGGGATTCTCCCTGGCTGGCCGGGAATCGAACTCACATCCCAGAGGCTGCAGACAGCTTCACAGCACTGCACTCAACCCGCTGCACCACTGGGGAGGCCCTGAAACAGGATTTTTAATGACATCCCTCGCCTTCTGAGAATGGCGAGGCGCACGCGCACAGAAAGCTCTTTGCATCCTCCTGCGTCTGTAGAGTACGAGGCCGTGCAGTAGAGATGAGTCATCGCACCCCACTTGGTTGGAACAGGCAGTATCTGGCTGTTCTGAATAGGGAGGGAGGCTTCAAGGTTGCCTCCCAGGTGCTTGAGCCAGAGCCAGGAAGACCTGTTCATTTGTTGAGCTGAGGAAAATGGCAAGAGCTTGGTGATTTGCGCCAGACAGCACAAACAGAAAGAAAGCCCAACGCGCTGCTCCAACAGGTCCTGAGGAGCAGCCACAGGGCCTGTGTGACTGGCTGGGGCCAGAGAAGCAGAACTGGTCAGGGCCACATGGAAGTCAGGGGGAAGGCTGGACAGAGGCCACTGAGAGCATCGCTCAGAGCAAAAAAGATGTTACAGGGGACAGGGGCGGACATCCCTGTGGACAGCAGCAGGTCTCTTTGCCAAGGTATCATTTAGTTTTGCCTGTTTTGTTTTGTTTTTTTTTGTTTGTTTGTTTTGTTTTGAAGGATTCTAGAAGTATCCCTCTGCTTGGTGTCCCAGAATCTTCAAATTTCTTCCCTGAAGTGTCACAGCTCATACGTCTACTGCTCAAAGAATTATCCAAAGTGAAAAAAGTTATCCTCCACTTCCTCTCCGATCAGCACACTGCGACGGGGCCGCCTGTCTCCCCACACCATCGCAGCCCTGCTTTTAAACATGATACGAACTAATATGTTTGTGTTCTGTGAGCACAATTGCCGGAGGACAGTCACAGTGCTGCTTCTGGGCGTTTTTTTCAATTCTGAACAAAGCTATAAGCAGGATAGCGCCCATCTCGCAGCACACATCAGTGAGACTTTCTGTGAGGAAAACACGCCATGATCCAAGCACAGGGCGAAGAGCGAGTGTGCGGCCTGCCCACGTCCACCATCAGGCTGTTCACTTTTTGCTGACCTGTTTTCTTATTTAGTATTTCCCTGAAATCTGATGAGATGAAATACCTTTCCTGTGTCTTCCTCTCCTGTGAAATTTCCGTTTGTGAACTCTGCCCATCTTCTCTGACTTGCACTTTCACGCACTCCTCCCCCATCGGCAGGCCCTGTCGGGGCAGCAGCAAGCTGTGCTCCGCGCTGTATGTGTGGTTCCTTCTCCCGGAACCCAGAGCGCGTTTCCACTTCCTGTTCTTGCAAGTATTTAATGTGGGAGATTTGGCACTTATTCCCGCCGTGCTAGTGATTTCTACCTGGCTCGTCCTTCTAGAAGCTCACACTTAGGTCCTTAAGCTACTTGGGACTGATAGTTCGCACGGCCTGAAGAGGAGTCCAACGTCACTCTTGTCGGCATGGTGACCTTTGCACTGAATTTCTGTTCTAGGCGGGGAATTGAGAAATGGGGCAGTAAATTCCAAGAAGCAATAAATTCCAAGGACCAAAACCCTATTCCGCACAAAGAGCAAGCTGAACCGGCCCTGCGGACCCGAAGAGGCAGTGGCAAGCCACTTTGTTCTGGAGACTCTGACCGCAGTCCCGTGACAAGCAAGCACCTACCCGCCTGCCTGCCCTCCGGCTCCGCCACCCGGCACAGGCCTGCCTGCTGCACTGGAAGCTCCTCATCGTCTTCCCTCATCTGTAGGTGCGTGTTCACTGTTTCTTCTCTCCCATGGGACTAGGCCACAGTCGGTGGACTTTTGAGTGGTCCAGGGTGGATTGCTATTAACAAACGTATTTTCCACGCCCTGTGCGCGTGCGTGTGCGAATGCTGGCTGCAAAGGCAGGAGCCGCTCACTTTCAGGACAGAATGGAAACTTCCGGAGCCGTAGCAGCACTGGTAAGGCTTAGGTGCAGGTGCCCACACATCTTCTCCATTCTAGGACTTCTAGGTGGAGAAGCAAAGCGCTCACGGGTGCTTCCCCACGTGTGAAATGCTAACTCGTGTTTTCTGCTCCTCAGTTGTTTGTGCTGTCATTAGCTGGTGTTCCTTTACACATTCCCGGTAGGAGCACCAGCGCTTGTGAGGCGCTCGTGTGCAGTGAAACTCTTCTCTGCTGAGGCACACCTGCTCTTCCTGCTCCTTATGGGGTCTTTGCATGACCTTTTGACATTTAAGTCCTTAAGCCATCTGGAATAGGTTTTGTTCTTTTTTTCTTTGCGTATGACATGCAAGAGGGCTCCAATTTCATGTTTTTCAATAAAAATAAGTCTAAAAGAAAACAAAAAGCAAAGAAAATCAATATAAATAACCCTTTGCAGCTTTTCAGCTACCTAGCAAGCCACTTGTGAGGCCTACGAACGCGCAGGTATGTCCTTGGCTCTGTTAACTGTCCTTAGTCTACCAACAAGATGCTCAGAGTTCTGCTAAGGCTCCTCCCTCCTCCCCGCAGGCCTCTGTCTGTTGCTCCTTTGGGACAAGGGCTGTTGCTCATGGGCAGTAGGCCTCTCAGCAGAACAAAGTGCGCTGTGTGGCTGCAAAGCCTGCTGCTGCCGGAGAGGATTAATGAAATGCCCAGAATCCTAAGCTGCTCTGAACCCTGTGGGTTACCAGCTTGGGGTAAGCTGGCAGGTTTTTATGAGGTCTTAAAGGTGTCTCCAGATGGTAGATAGCAGCTGCTTTGATGTCTCTGGGATTCCTAAGTGTTAGATGCCTTCGCTTCCACTGATGATGACTGAAAATTTGTGTACATTTGCAACAACATGGACGACCTTGAGAGGTGACCTTGGCAGAAGGATGCTAAGTGAAGTCAGTCAGCTGGAGAGAGACAAGTGCACTTACCTGACTTATCTGACTGAAGAAGATAAGGCAACAAAGCAAAAGAAGAAACAAAAGCCACCTCTGCGAAACAGAAAGCGGGGGAGCAGAGGGGGCGCGGCTGGTTGAGGCAGGAACGGGGCAAAGGGGTGGGGTGGTGGAGGGACAAGAGTCAAGTGACCCCCCTGTCGGGTGTCCAGATGTGGAATCGTCCCGCCTGCAGCGAGCCCCCTATGGCGTTAGACACCAGCGCACCGGCCCACATGGGCTTGAAAGTCTTGTGGCGTTAACGGGTGTGGCCGAAGGCCAGTGAAAACGTCGGCTGCTGGAGGCCATCGGGTCGCCCCACCTTGAAGCGCAGGCGGCCACCGCTAGGACAGCGCCCGCAGCCCGCGCCTCCAAAGGACTGCGACCGGCCCCGCGCCCCGTCGGGCTGCGGGGCGGCGGGGGCGGCCCCGGCGGGAGCCTCCATCCGGTACCCGATGGGCCGGCTGGCGGGCCCGCGGGTTCCCTAGGCTCGCGCGGGCGCCCGGGGCGGGGGCGGGGGCCGGGGGCGGGCCGGGGCGGGCCGGGGGCGGGCCGGGGGCGGAGCTCCGCCCCCGCCCGCCCGGCGCGCCGCCCGCGGGGTGGTGACGGCCCGCCGCGTCCCCGCCGCGTCTCTGCCGCCGCCGCCCCGCAGGCCCTCGCTGCCCGGCCCGGCTCCCGAGCTCGAGATGACGCTGAAGGCGAGCGAGGGCGAGGGCGGGGGCAGCATGCGCACGGCGCTCTCCGACCTCTACCTGGAGCACTTGCTGCAGAAGCGCAGCCGGCCCGAGGTGAGCGCCCGGGGTGCGGGGCGCGGGGAGCCGGCCGGGATCTGGGTCTGCGCGGCGCCCCTCTCCACGGGCCGTGGCCGTCCGCCTCTCGGGCCGCGGGGCCCCGCGGGCCTGTCCCGGGGCGGAGGCGCGGTGGGTGCGGGGCTGCGGGCGCGGTAGCTCGCGCCCCAGCAGCCTTGGGCGGGGGAAGCGGCGGCGCGGGGGCGGGGGGGGGGCGCTGCGGCCTGGAAAGCACGCTTAGTAAGGTCACGGGAAACTTTGGGGGCCAGAGTCAGGCTGTCGATGGGCTTTGAGGACCCAGCCCCAGAGAAGCTGTGCTGGTCCCGGGCGGCGGCTGTTTGGGTCGGCCGAAAGGGCGGTCCTCGCCAGCTCTGCCCCGAAAGCGCGCACTCACGGGCCCTGTGGCGCCTGAGGCCAGGGGCCAGCCTCTGTGCATTTGTGGTGAAGCCTCAGACTTTAGAACCCCTGGATGGCCGTGAGGCGCTGGTACCCTCTGGCCTCAGAGGTGCCGGGAAGAGAGGCCTTCGCTGGGGAGGCGGAGAAGATCTGCGTGGAAGTCCCACCGCTGCCCACCCCGGCCCCGGCTCCTTGCTGCCGGCGGCATGGCTGCCTGGGGCTCTTGGGACAGAGATAAAGCCAGCAGAATTCTGGCACCACCACCTGGAACCGGTGGCCAGGGACCAGGAGTGAGTGTCCAGAGAGAGCCACGGGGCAAGCAGGGTGCTGCGGTGAGCGCCCTGGTCTCCTGGACCGCCAGGGCCAGCTGCCGGGTAGGGCTCCTGCAGGCACCACTTTGTCACGTTAAGTACCTAATAAGTGACTTCTCAGACATGTTTGCTGAATTAATAACGGGCTGAGGCCATGACCAGCACAGTGAGTTTGCTTTCTGCTTCGCCGCCTGCTTTCAGAGCCGCTGCTAGGCCGAGGGCACCACATGAACTGGACGGTACCACATGCACTGGACGGTGCTGCCGGGGCGTGGGGTGGCACCCCGCCGCTCTGCAAGCTGGGCTGAGCGCGCCCTTTTCCCTCCCTACCATCACCTCAGTTGAAACTTAACATGTGCAAAAATGTCTTCATTGAATTTATTTTGGGCAGCCTTACTGAAGTGTAATTAGCACACATTGGGTCTGACTCGCTCAGGTTTGGCAGGGCCCAAGTCCCGTCGCCCTCGTGCAGCTCCTTGGCCTAGGGCATGTGTCTCCCTGGCTGCTCCCCGACCCGTGCGCCAGGAGCCACCTGCTTCCTGCTGCTGCCCTTGTCTTTTCCAGTGTTCTGTGCCTTCTCAGTAGACGTTACCTGGATAGCAGGATCCAGCCTCCCAGTTAGCCCATGTATTTGGTGTCCATAAAGGATTTGAAGAAAGTGGACTCAGAAAACTTGCTGAACCCCCAAGTGAAACAGAACCCAGATTTGCGGAGGTGGCATCAAAGGGAGGCTCCCCACCCAGGAGGGGTGGCCTGATCCCACCCACCTGCTGCTTCTTTCTGTGCCTTCCCTTTCAGGCCCTCACCACCACCTCCGCCGCTGCCCACAGGACGCTCTGCCTGTCAGATGCTGTGTGGCCCCGGGCGCGCTGCTGGAGCTCTCTGTGCCTTGGGTGCATCTTCTCCATTCAAGGGACCTGCTAAGGGGGCAGTGAGTGGGGCACGTACCCCGCGCCAAAGCAGGCCCTCAGCACCTGCCCTGCCAGGAGCAGGGTGGCAGCAGCAGCAGCAGCTGCGTCATAGGGGTCAGAAGGTTAAGTCGCTGAAGGCTTTGTTTCGGGGCAGCTTTCTGTAAAAGTGCTACAGTCTCAAAACCCAGTTTCACTTCCAGTCTTTGTCCAAGCGCACTCTTGAAAAAGCCCTGCGCGCTTCCATCCTCGCAGAAGCCTCTGGCCGCACCCCTCATCCCTCATGGTGGTTCTTACCAGCACACATCAGCTTAGTCGTAAATTCAGTTTCCCTTCACTCCTGAGGCCGCAGCCTCTGGGTTCGGTCCCACACTGAAAAAGGAGCCCAGAAATCAAGTCAGGCGCCCCCTAAATATCTGCTCAGAAAGCCTGTGTCGCTTCCTAGACCTGTGTGGCCCAGGCCCTGACAGGCCTGGGCTCGGGCTGCAAAGCAGACAGGGCTGGTGCCGCTGGAGGTGCTCGGGGGCCCAAGGCAACTCAACGTCGCTGCGGACTTTCTGGGTTTGGGTGAGGAAGAGCTTTTGCTGGGTTTGAGGAGGGAATTTTCCCTTTTGAGATTTTTCTTTTCGCGGAAAGAACAATAGATGACGTGTCATCGGCCAGTTATCCAGTCCCCTTCCCGCTCCTTCCAGCGCTCTGGGCAGTCTCCCTTGATTTGGTTGGCCTGGCCCTTCCATACCCCCCTCCTTGCCTGCTTTGGAGAGGAGGGTTTCAGCCTGTAAATGCCACCCCTGCTTTACGCAAGAGCCTGCGCCTTTTCAATTGCGTCACTTCTCCGAACCCGAATCACATGTCTAAGGTCAAGATCAAGTTCTTAAAACCAGGGTTTTCCTGACCTTGGACTATTGACTTTTGGAGTCTGAGGATTCTTGGTTGTAACCGCCCTTCCCTCCACCTCTTCCATCATCAGCAACTTCTGGAGCCTTGGGCAAGTGTCCCCAGCGCGAGCCAGGCAGACCAGTGGCCCTTTCTTGGCCACCCCTGCCCCCAGCAGAGAGGCCCGAGGCCTTTCTGTGCACCAGTAATGAAGAATGAGTGTGTTTCCCAGATTGGCCGGGGGAGGGGAAGTGACCCCAGGGGTGGGGAGCAGGAAGAGGCGCTCTGAATTAGGGAACCAGAATATCACTTTTGTGGGGTGCATGTCTATTTTGTGATTCCGTCTTGCTTGCTTTTCCCTCAGTATGGAAATACACATGAGCCCTGTAGAAGTTTTGGCTGAAAGTCCTTGCAAGGCCTGTTCTGGACCCCCAGGCCCCATTTCCAGTGCCTTCCCCCATAGCACGTCGGGATAGCTGTGCGGAGAAGTGTGTCTGACTCAACCCCCACATCTCCCTGGGGGGATACAGGTCTCTGGGGGCATCGAGCGCCCACAGAGCTCGCCAGCTGGGTGAGGAGGGGGCTGGCTGCCAAGCCTGCCTTGTCTCCCTGAACTTCACGCTGCCGAGTTCTGCCTGGGCTGCCTTTTTGCGCGGGGCGGGGGGGGGGGGGTGGCTAGGGCACTGGATGGATCAGGCCTGGGGGAGGGGCCCGCTTAGCACTGTCCCCCAGCACTGGCGGGGCGAGCTCGCCTCAGCTAAGCTCCCGCAGTCTCAGCACCCTGGCTTTGCCCGCGGCATCCTGCTTTGCCCCACAGGGCCGTGGTAGCTCCGAGAGGCAGAGTGGGTGCCGGGGCCTCTGCCGTCGCGATGTGCAAGGCCTTGGCCTGGAGCCTGACAGTAGGCTGAACAAATGTTTGTTCTGCCCTCCGCGGCCCTGCTGGAGGAGGCCTGGACCCACTCGCCTGCGCCCACCCCGCCAAGTTTGTTTTTCATCCCAACTTCCTTTGAGCAACTGCTTCTGCCCTTTGAACCCCGCTGCAGATGCTTCCTCTGAGGGGGTTTGCCCAGCAGCACTTGGGAGGATTAAAGGCCAAGGAGCCAGCCTTAGGTGGGGGTTCCCCGCTTTCTGCCGCAGTCACTAGGGCAGAACACCCCCTCCTGCCCTGCCAGTGCCTCAAGTCCCTGGGAGAGGAGGGGCCCGGGTGCAGGCTGCGAGGTGGGATCGGCTGTTTGGGACCCTAATTGTTTGTTCATCTTCTGGGGTCCCTGCCCTTTCCTTGGTGCTCTGGCCCTGCGCGGGAGCACCGCCGACAGCCTCAACCCTGTGCCCCCACCTCCTATGGCTCCTCTCCAGAATTCCTGTGCCGCCCCCCCCCCCCCCCCCCCCGCCTCGGGCCTCACACAAGCTGCGAGGAGCTGCCCCCCGGGCCTGTGTGCGCGCCTGGCGAGTCTGCACACACAAGCATGCCGTGTCGCCGTGGGTATGGAGTGAGGAGGACAGGGACCTCGCTGAGGGCGCTCACGGTCGGGCGAGCGGTGGGAAGCGGGCCCAGAGCCTTCTCCTGAGTCACCGCAGGCCACCTCTGGGGGAGCACCATAGGGACTGTTAGCCACTGCAGGATGTCTGGATGGATAAGCACATTTGAAAGACCAATGCTTGGGACAGCGCCTCTCGCCCTGTGGGGCCGTGTGCCCGCCTCTGCTGAGCTGTGCTGAGTCGTTCCTTTCAGCGGTGCTGAGTCGTTCCTTTCAGCGGCGCTGAGCAAGAGCAGGGCCAGGCTGCAGGGATCTGCCTGCTCCCCCGCTTCCAAAGGTTGCTCTTATCCTGTGGACTTTCTACTCTGGCCTCCAGAACCGTGTGCAGGGCCCACCCCGCCTGGGTGGGCGTGCAGCATCATAAACACTTGACTGGTGCCACGTTGCGGCATGTTATAAAGTAACATGCAGACTTCTGGCCCCCTTGTCAGCTTATTCCAGTCAGCAGCACGCAGAAAGGTGACTGCTGATAAGGCCTCTAAGGCTTCTCCGCCCTGACATGACTGGCGATAAGACTGTTGAGAGTCAGCAAAGTCGGGAGACTTACTGCGCGCTCTGAGGCCAGAGATGAGGTTAGAGCAACCCCCCAGGCTGCCTGCCGCCAGCCCTTCCACGCCTGCTGTCCCAGCCCAGCTTGGGGACGGGGTGTTGTGCGCTGCCATTTCTCAAAGATGGGTGGCCTGGCCCCGCTGTCTGCTGCCAGGCCTCTTAGTACAGTGCTTTCTTGTGGCCCAAGGCTGCTGGTGACGTTATGCAGTCAGTCACACTAATACACAAGCACACGCTCCAGTAGGCTCACATTAACTGCAGTGTGCAAAGTACGCACTTGACATGGGGATGAAGTGTCGTTCCCACCACCTTGTGCCAGGAATCGACAGCGCTTGGCTGTGCGGGGAGCAGCAGGGAAGGACAGAGTGTGGGTGCCAGTGGTGGGGGGACAGCCTTGGTGGCTCCAGATGGTCTCCAATCTCAAAGAGAGGTTGGAATCTCGCAATATGTACTAAAAGCCTGAAATTATGCAGCCGAAAGAGAACTGGCTTGTGCCCTTGGTCTGTAACTTCTGCTTGCAAGTGTCAGTGATGTATTTGCCCCCAGACCTGGGGGCAGGGCCTCTGGTCCCTCCCCTTCAAGTCTTTGCTCTCCCAACTTCTGTCATATGTGTCATAATGCTCGTGACCCGTCGTGTTTGGGATGGCAAGAGGCCCAACTCTATTCTTTTCTCGGCCCCCTTTGCAACCCGGGATGGCCTCTCCTGACCTGAGCCTATTCTCCCAGAAAGTCCTAGAAATCAGTCATCACTAATGATTTCCACCTGTTTTCTTCATTTTTTTTTAAGATTTATTTTTTATTTATATAAGAGCTGGGGTACAGGCCAGAGGCACGGGAGGGTGAGAGGCTTCACCAGAGACGGAGTGGGGAGCAGAACAGGTGGGCTGACCCAAACACGCTGCTGAGGGGAGCAGCGGGCGAGGCAGGAGAGGTTTCCTGCGCCAAGTGGGAATCTCCCTGGCTGGTCGGGAATCGAACCCGGTGCTGCAGAGACTGCGGACAGCTTCTCAGCACTGCGCCACCAGGGAGGCCCTGTTTTCTTCATTTTTTGTGGCTTTCTATTTCCTGAGTCCTCGGACTCAGTTGGAATCCAAATCACGATTGCAGGGAAAGTCTGTGTCGCCAGAACAGACAGAACTGGGTTTTTGTAGGCTTTTATCTATCTGCGCGTGGAGAAACTGATGACAACGGTGGGCCACGTGCTGGGGTGCTGGGAAGAGTAGTGGGTGTCTCCAGAGGCGAGTTCCTCCCCAGATGACAGTGGTTCTTCTTTGTAGCCTGAGGGGTGATCCTAAGAGGTTTGACCTTCCCCTTTGGGCCACCCTCCTGGGGCGTGATCCCACCGGGACTTTGCCTGCCGTGCTGCCTGTGGCATGGGCCCTGTTGAGCAGACGCATTCCTGTTCCGCAGCAAACTCTGTGGACACGTGTGCTGCGTGGGGCGATGCCTCCCCATCCAGTCAAGTGAGACCAGATGCCAGACGTGGGAAGCCACCGGCAGCTCTTACTCGTTCTGCTCTTTCCACCGACAGACCGGGTCGCACCCGCTGAACGCCGTGGCTGAGGACATGCACACCAATGGGTCTGCGGCCCCCCGCAGCCCCACCCAGGGCCAGGAGGTGCGGAAGGTGCGCCTCATACAGTTCGAGAAGGTCACGGAGGAGCCCATGGTAAGGCCCCCCGCCACCTTGGCCCCGCCTCCTCCCGGCCCAGCCCCGCACAACCCCCCAGGCCGCCTGCAGTCCTGCGAGTTAATCCTGGGAAATGAGCTCACAGCTGCCCTCGCCTTGGTCGCAGGGCATCACGCTGAAGCTGAACGAGAAGCAGAGCTGCACAGTGGCCAGGGTCCTGCACGGCGGCGTGATCCACAGACAAGGTACGGGCCTCCCTCGCTGCCCCCTGTCCCGCGGTCCGGCCTCGAAGTTCCCTCTCAGACGGGTGGAGTCGGTGTGCGCGCCTGCGGGCTGCTGCCCAAGGGCTGACTGCTGGCGGGGACCAGAGTGCAACTGCGCCCTGGCGCGACTCCCGCGTCCACAGCGCTGCCTAGGAACTCGCTCGGTGGCGCGGCTCCCATGGACGCCGTGGGCTGACGTCTTGTTTCATTTCACGGCAGGCTCCCTGCACGTAGGGGACGAGATCCTGGAAATCAACGGCACAAACGTGACCAATCACTCGGTGGACCAGCTGCAAAAGGCCATGGTGGGTCCTTGCGGGCGCCTCATTTTCTCGTGAAATGTGTGCGCCTCATCAGGGCGCTGGGCTAGACAGCAGATGGGCTGTGGTACGGGGCACCCAGCCATGCTTGCCGCCTCGCCCACCCCCCGACCGGGACGAGGTAGCAGGGACCAGGGCCCCCGAGTGCCTACATCCCTGTCGATGCAGCTTCGAAAACACTCACAGCAAGGACAAGGTAGAGCAGCAAGGACAAAAAGAGATGTCAGCACCTGTCACTCGCCGCCACAGGTAGCCAGAGCAGCAGCGAGGCACCAGGAGAGCCGAGCCGTAGGGAGAGCGGCCTGGCCTAAGACACACATGGCCAGTGCTGACTGCCCAGCGCGCCCCCGCAACCTCACGCTGGGAGACGGCTTAGCAATCAAAACCGCAGAGATACCAGGAATCCGTCAATATTTGGAAATTAAATAACTCACTTTAACCCACAGGCCAGGAAAGAACTCCTCAGGGAAATTTAAAAGGTAACTTGAAATGAATGAAAAGGCCAGCCCACGGGTCAGACCTTGCGAATGTGTAAATGATGCTGTTCACGTGGTAAAAGGGGAGGCTTCTGGGGGGAGCGTCCCCACTGGTGGATGCAGGACTTGGAGTCCAGGCGCCCCCGACGCTGCTGCCTCCCGGTGGAAGACACCACCCCTGAAGGGAGCTTGCCCAAACACCGGCCGCCTCGCACGCGGACACCCAAGGAGGGCTGGGATCTGGCCCTCAAGCGTGGGGCTCCGAGCCTGCGTCACTGTGCAGACAGAAGCGGCTCTGAAAGCTCCTCTCTGGCATGGAGACCCCGCCGGGGTGGGCTCGCAGAAACAAGGGCAAAGTGGATTCTGGGAGGAAGGGGAGGCAAAGGCGGGAGCCCTGACAGAGACGACTGCGCGTGGGCCTGCCGGCCTCTCGATGGCCTCGCCTCTCGCCTCTGCATCGGCGCCGTGAGAGGCTCCCCAGATCAGCCTGAGCGCGGCTCTTGCAGCGGACTGCGGGGGCAACACGGCAAGGGGGGCGCCGGCGGGGGCGCGACGCCTCGCTCCGAGGAGCACGGGGCTTCGTGCTGCTTGGGGACGGCGGCTCCGGAGCCAGGCCCGGAGGGTGATTCCATTTGCTGGGTGGCTCAGCTGGGAGCCTTTTGGGGTCCAGTGCAGGAAGGGGGTAAATCATTAGCTGTTTTTCATTCGTCTTTGCACAAAGCGGTCCCTGGGCGGGCGGGGCTTATGAAACCAGCAGCCGCGCGGTTTTGTTGTCCTCACAATTTTTTTTCCGTTTTCTGATAGAAAGAGACCAAAGGAATGATCTCGTTGAAAGTAATCCCCAACCAGCAAAACCGGCTTCCCGCGCTACAGGTAGGGGGCCTTCTCTCTGGGGTGACAGAGAATTGGGAGCTGGGGAGTGGGGGTGCGGGAGTGGCTACGGGTTCATGTCCCGTCACAGATGCTGACTTTCCCGCTGTGTCCCTTTTGGTAAATGCTGCTTTTTGGGGATGGCCAATGTCATGGTGTGAAGCTGCTCCCGGCTCGACTGTGTCCAGTGGCTTGGCCGGGGTGTTTGAGAGACGCTCTGGTTGAGTCTTTGTTATTTCTTTCCTTCTTTCTTTGGCTTGCACCCCAAGTCTTCCCACGGGGAGTGGCTAGCGCCTAGGCGACCACAGTTGTCCTCCTGTCATCCTTGCCAACTTACGTTTCAGCTGGTGTGGGCTCCAGGGCCTCGGCACACCCGCGCTGTTGACCCCAGACACACCCTCGGGCGTGCTCGCACAGCTCCCCCCGACACAGCCCGGCGCCTGCCGCTCTGAGGCACCGCTGCTCTGTCACAGATGTTCATGAGGGCGCAGTTTGACTACGACCCCAAGAAGGACAACCTGATCCCTTGTAAGGAGGCGGGACTGAAGTTTGTCACCGGGGACGTCATCCAGATCATCAACAAGGACGACAGCAACTGGTGGCAGGGCCGGGTGGAAGGCTCCCTGCAGGAGTCGGCTGGCCTGATCCCTTCTCCCGAGCTGCAGGAATGGTGAGGGCTTCTCTGTGCTGCCCGCGGGCTGTTTCCTCAGGTGCCTTCTCTGTGATAGAAAACCTCTGGGGCTGGCACCCCCCCTCCCCCCACCGCGTTCTCCTCCTGTAGATTTCTGGGGCCAGAGTACTGAGCCCTTGGGCGCACCTCCAGGGGCACGGGGGCGATGGGCAGCCTTCTGGCCTCCCATCTGGTCGGCACAGCAGAAGGGGAGCTAGAAACTGGCAGTGAGCTGGGAAGGGCCACCTTGAAAGAAACTTGTAGAATCAGAGCAACGGAGGAGTCGGCACGGTTCTGGGAAGTGGGCTCTGGCTTCTAGACCATTCTCGAACAGAGCGCCTGCTGCAGGACTTGGCGAGACCTGGCGTGCGCAGGGGGCGCTGAGGAAGACCCACAGGCGGACGGGATCCCCGCGGCTGCGTCCCAGGGTCATGAGGCGTGACCTCAGCACAGTGGGGTCTCTTCCAGGGAACAGCTGCACGTACTGGAACGGAGCTCAGCTCGTTGGGGCTGTTGCTGCGGGCGTGTGGCCCGCAGGGCACAGCCGCTAGAAATGCGGGGAAGGAGAGTTGGGGGGGGTGCGTCGGGAGATGCTGAGAGACCAAGAGGGGGGTCTCAGAGAGAGACGCGGGGAGAGGGCAGGGCCCGGGGAGGTTTGTGTGGAAGGGAAAACGGGGTTCACCCGAAGGGCCCTGACCTGGCTGCGGCCCCACAGGCGAGTGGCGAGCATGGCCCAGTCCGCCCCGAGGGAAGCGCCGAGCTGCAGCCCGTTCGGGAAGAAGAAGAAGTGCAAGGACAAGTACCTGGCCAAGCACAGCGCCAGTAAGCCGCCCCCCACCCCGGCGCGCAGAGGTGCCCAGGGCCGGGCCCCGCCGGACACAGTCCTCGCCGGGCGAGTGCGGGATTCCGGGGCAGGGCTAGTTCGGGTGTTTTGAGGTAGCTGCACCCCGTTCTCCATAGCGCGCACGCCGACAGGGCGTGCTGTCCCGGAGAGCTGGCCCCGTGGGGCAGTCGTGGGAGGGCGACAGGGCAGGCGTTGCAGCCCAAGAGAGCATCGGGGCGCCAATGCAGAAAACACTAGAAAGCTCAGGGGTGGGCTGGTTCCCCGCACACCACCCCCAGAACTGAAGGCGACCCCTCGCTTACCGCTCCCTCCTCAACGCGTGTGGACGCGGGGCGCCCCCTGCCGGTCTGCCCTCTGACAGCGCTTCGCTCTGGGTCTAGTTTTCGACCAGCTGGACGTGGTCTCCTATGAGGAAGTGGTCCGGCTGCCCGCGTTCCGGAGGAAGACCCTGGTGCTCATAGGTACCTGACCTGGGCGTGGCCCGACACTGGGCTGGCAGTGGGAGGTTCCGGGCGGACGCTTTTTCTCAAGAGTGCTTACATCTGAGGGCCGTGGGGATCGGCTGGGGACTCGGGAAAAGTCCATGCGCTCTCAGGAGCGGGGCCTGGTCCCCGCCCAGCGGCCCCCTGCCCTGGCTTTACTGCGAAGCCATCCGTGGGAGGCTCCTCATCACCAGCGCCCCTCGGGTTGGGAGCGTTCACAGAAGCTTCACTTAGCTGGTCCCATCCCGCCAATGGCCGACCCGCCCCGTCACACTCCTGTGCTCGCCGCGGTCTCCCCTGCACACCCCGTCAGAATCACCCCAGCAAGCTAAGCTTTCTCCCTGCACAGGTGCCAGCGGCGTGGGCCGCAGCCACATCAAGAATGCACTGCTGAGCCAGAACCCGGAGAAGTTCGTGTACCCGGCGCCCTGTGAGTACCCTGTGATTTCACACAAGTGTTTGGTCATAAAAACAAAATGCAACTTGGAGACATTAGAATTGGTACCTGGGCCTCCCCGGGGGCCTCGGATCAGTCTCAGGCTATCCCTGCAACGCCTGCATCCATCCCCGGCCAGGGAGCTGCCCACAGGGCACGGCAGACCTCTCCTGTCTCCCCGCTGCTCCCCTTGGGAGTGGATTTCAGTCTGTCTGCCTGTTCTACTCCCCGCTCTGGCTCTAGTGGGTCCTCTAACCGCCCCCCCCCACCTCTGGCCTGCACCCCAGCTCTTCTAGACACAAAAAAAATTCAAATAAAATCAGGTTAAAAAGAATAGGTACCTGTCATCACCCACCACAGAGATCCGTGGGGGACAGGGCGGCGGGGGTTGGGGGGCTTCATTTCCAGAAGTGCCTCCTTGTGGTGCGTTCGTTCCCAGAGAGCTACAGCCATTGAGCCGACGCTCAGACACTGTCTCTGGGGAGGGGAGACGAGCTTTTCTGAGACCGGGGGAGGCGTGCGCTGAGGAGTGCGAGGCAGGAACCCGTGGGGGCATGGTGCAGGGGCACAGCCTGCCGGGCTGGTGGGCCGGGCTTCCAGCACGTCATTCAGCTCGTGCAGGGGCAGGGCTGGGGTTGCCCCATGGCCTTTGCCCAACGTCAGTTCTCACCAGACACCACGCGGCCGCCAAGAAGAACGAGGAGGACGGGAAGGAGTACCACTTCATCTCCACCGAGGAGATGACGAAGGGCATCTCTGCCAACGAGTTCTTGGAGTTTGGCAGCTACCAGGGCAACATGTTTGGCACCAAATTCGAAACAGTGCGCCAGATCCACGCGCAGGACAAGATCGCCGTCCTTGACATTGAACCCCAGGTACGCGGGCCGGAAGGCATGGGGGCGCCCGTGGGGCTCGGGCCGGAGAGGAGCCCACTCACTGCTCTGCCCCCTCTTCCCAGACCCTGAAGATTGTCCGCACGGCCGAGCTCTCACCGTTCATCGTGTTCATCGCTCCCACGGACCAGGGCGCGCAGGTGGGAGCAGGCTCGGGGGCTGTGCAGGTGGCCTCTGCTTCCCCCCAGGCCACGCCGCCTTGCCTCATTCGGGAGTTGGGGGGAACGAGTCAAATCACACATGAACCCGGGTACTGCGAGGACAGGTGGCGCTGAAATGCAGCTGCTGGGGTGGCTGTGGGGAGGGCTCTAGCCCTTGTTCCCCACACGCCCGCCTGCACCGTCTGTTGGGAAACCTCACGGGGGCCTGGGCTCAGCATCTCTGCCGGGTGCTGCGCAGTAGAGGAGACGAAGGTGCTGTCCGCTGCTCTTGGCCCTAAGGCGCTGGTCACCTGCACCCTCTTTGCTCACGACCCTCACCTTTTTCTTAGTGTCTTGAATTCTGTGTGAGGCTGAGCATCGCTTGCAAGCACCTTCAGCTCAGGCGTCTCTCGAGGTTCCACGGTGCAGCTATGCGTGGCTGCGGCTTCTAGGGGTGTGCCCAGTCCTTTCCCGGGGCTGTGGCTCTCCCTGTGAGAGATGCCCAGGTCAGCTGCAGGGAGCTGTCAGTCTTCCAGAAGGGTCTCATGCTTTGTCATTGGGGTTCCCTTGAGGACCCCTGAGAAAGGCGGTGTACTGGAGTGGCTGGGCTGTTAACGTTCTCAAGCAAGACCTTTAAGGTCAGAGTCTTTCAGCAGCTGATTTGGGTCTGAGCCGGGCCGGCAGGCTTGCTTGCCCCTCACTGGCCCGCGGGCGGTGCGCATCACCAGGCTTCTCTGTTCGCAGACTGAGGCCCTGCAGCGGCTGCAGAAGGACTCCGAGGCCATCCGCAGCCAGTACGCGCACTACTTTGACCTCTCGCTGCTCAACAATGGCGTCGATGAGACCCTTAAGAAGCTGCAGGAGGCCTTTGAGCAAGCGTGCGGCGCCCCGCAGTGGGTGCCTGTCTCCTGGGTGTACTAGGCTGCTCTCCGGCCGGGAACTGTACTCCCCGGGCTTTAAGACACACAGGGTCGCTCCAGCTTTTTCCTCAGCTTCCAGCTCTCTTCAAGTCTCCTACCTGGGCCCAGGGTGTCTCTCTTGATTACGCTGACTGTCCTGCTAATCAAACTCGGGGCTCCCTGTGCCCCAAAAGCCTGCGCTCCTTCACCTTTCATTACACTGGCTGTTTCCTTTGTCTTTCCTTTGGAGAAAGCATTTTTAACTGCAGCTGCTGTGCGCTAGGATGATGCCTGTTCTAAGCAATAAAACATTGGTGTGAAAATGCCAGTGGCCTCGGAGCTCTGCAAAGGGACACAGTGCCTGCTTTGAGCACCCAGGGGACGAGCATGGGTGTCCCATCTCCCTGTTCAGCAGCAGGCCTCAGCCTAGCGGGCGGAATGACCCCACCTCCCCCGGGGCGGTCTGCATTAGGAGACCCACCTGCGTGCATAAGTCATGTGAGAACAAGCAGGCCGCTCTGCAGCCGGGCTCCCCCTGCAGGGGGCTCCGTGAAGGCCACATGCACAGCCTCTTCCCTCCCCCCCACCCCAGCTTCCTCCACTGGTGGCCCAGGTGACACTGTCCTTCAGTCCTTTCTAGCCTCAGCCCAAGACATTTGCCTTCAGAACCCGCTCTGTACTCGAGGCATGAGGTTGTCCTGTCCTGTGCCAAAACCCACTGAAGGCATTCATTGAGTTCCCTGTATCAGCGATCCAGGACCCCGGCCTCAGGGCTGCGGCCCAAGACCCCACCCCCTGCCATCAAGGGTTCATTTTCCTCTTGTACCCAACTACACGGTTCTGGCGTTTACTCCACGCCGGCCTTCTGGTCGTTGAATGTCCCACCTGCCCAGTAGGTGAGTGGTCTCGCCCACCTGTGCCCTTCATCTAGTGTGCTGCGGGGAATGGGGGAATGCTGTGTCATGACATCGAAATCAAATTTCAGATAAGCCATACAGGTCCTGAGGTTTATCATCAAGATACTGTGTTCTAGCTCAAGGACTGCCAAGCCACAGGAACGCTTAAGAAACTTAAGTCAACTTTAATAAGTAAAAATTACAAGTCTTCTCCCAGCAATGAGTGATTTCTTCCTTTAAAAGAGGGTGAGAACGAGGGTACAGGAATGGGGGGGCTCCTGTCACAAAGCAGCAGGTACACAACGCTACGCATGAGTTGATGAAGCCGGGCCGGGGACCCACGTCCAGAAGGTAAACGGGAGGCAGCGGCGACCTCCGCACCAGACCCCGTCCTCACAGGGCAGCGGAGAGCTTTGTGCACCGGCAGCAACGTGCGGTGGCTGCGGCTCCGCTTCCTGGCAGGAATTGCACTGAGCAGACCCATTTCTACAAACTGCGGGGGGAGGGCGCGGGCGGGGCGGCAGTGCTGAGACTGGGGTGAGGCCCCCACTCCTGAGCAGAGAAGTCAGTGGCACCGAGCCGCCTCCACGCCCCCATCCTTAAAACAGGACGGGAGGGATGACCACACCGGTCACTCACACCGCCGGAGCGTCCCGCCCCGGGCCCGCCTCGCGCGCCCTGGCAGAAGGGAACCGGTTCTCTCAATAAGGCTTGAATTTCTCCTCGGAGCTGGTCGCTGCTCGGGGGACCCAGCTAGTCAGACACCGCTTCCGCTTTTATTCTCTTCTTCTTCTTCTTCTTCTTCATGGTGTCGCTGTCCTGCGGGGGGGAGGGGGGCGAGCACACGTCTGCCGCAGGAGCCCCCGCCTCTCCTGGGTCTGCAGCAGGGCCCCCAGGTCCCGAGGTGCCAGCTCAGTCCTGCGCTCGCCACCAGGCCCGCAGCAGCAGCAGCAGCAGCCCCATGCCACCCCCCGCGCCCCCAAGACCCACACGTCCTACGTACCCCCTCTCCTGGCACCCCGTCTCCAGGCCCATCTGCACTCTCAGGCGCTGCCTTTGCCTTCTTGTCCTTCTTCTTCTTTTTCTCCTTCCTGAGCGGCTGTGGGGCCACTGGAGCAGCATCCTCGCTTTCGCTCTCTCGCTTGCGCTGCCCAGACAGGCAAGAGTTAGCCCTTGGACAAAGACGGCTGAGAAAGGTGGGCCCACTGGTCTGCGGACCCCCACCCTGACAGACCCTGCCTGCAACCAGCAGGCCCCGCCCAGACCCCCGGGGAGCAGGCCGGAGCCAGCACACCAGTTTCTGGGCTTTGGGAGCCTGAGCCCAGCTCTGCCCCACGGGTCTCACACGGCCTGAGTGTGTCTCCGGTGAACACAAGGGCTCAGCTGCTCCACACTGACCCCGAGGCCCCACGGAAGCCCGTCGTGAACAGCGCTCACCTTTGCAGATTTCACCTGCTCAGCTGCCAGCGATGGGGCTTTGACCACATCAGCCGCCGCCTCTCCCCTCGCCGAATCGCTGAAAGGGAGCAGAAGCCAGGATCGTCCGTGTGGCCCGGCTCCCCCAGGGCGCTGCAGCCCCAGGTCCGGGACCCTATCTGGCATGGCTAGAGCCACTAAGGGGGACGCTGGCCAGGAAAGAGCCTGCCGCTTACTGCTCGCAAACAGCCCGCAGGGTCCTGAGAGCCAGACTAGAAAAGGGTCAAGTCTGCCGCACGGGCCCCGCTTCACATGGTCCGGCTCGGCGCACACCCCCCCCCCGCCCCCACCTGTGCCGACACGCCCTCACCTGTAGTCGACGTACTCCTGCGTCCAGGCAGCAGGGGTGCTGTCCGTGGCCTTGCCGTGCTTGTCCAGGAGGCCCTGCTTGATCATCAGCTTCTTCTGACTCGCCTGGTGGGCCAGCCGGCAGGAAGCGCGTGTTAGAACCGGATGCGCCCGCACCGGCTCGACAAGGCCCCCCCCCCCCCCCCCGGTTCCCCTCATGTGCTCCCTCCGACGCCAACAGTGGGCACAGTTCTTGCCACCACGGATTCTCCCCCTTTCACCTACACACGAGTGTGGGCTCAAGATTCCCTGGGGGCCCTTGAGGCACACCCCTGTATCACACAGGAACCTGAAGTGACGGGTGGGCCTGCCGGCCTGCACGCTCACTGCACGCTCACCTTCGGCCCCAAACCCCACTTCCGAGGGTAGGTGTCTCTCTCCATGATCACCCTCTTGATCTTGGCCACGATCCCGTGGTCGCAGGTGGAGATCACCGCCGTGGTCATCAGGGCTATGGCTGCGGGCAGCAGGGAGAGACGACGCTGACACCTGCCACCACCTCACACTGCTTTTCTTTTCTTTTTTTTGTGGGACCCTCGCCGGCGGCTGGGGAACGAACTGGTGCTGCAGAGGCTGCCCGCAGCCTCACAGCCCAGCGCTCAACCACTGCGCCACCAGAGGAGGCCCCACACTGCTTTTCAATAGCCACTGCAGTCACGGCGCTGCCACCTCAGGTGAGGGGCGCCCAGAGGCTCCCTCCGGGCAGGCAGGGACCCTCGCAAGTCCCGTCCCACTCGCCAAGTCAAAAAAATACCAGTAGGGACTGCCCCGGGCCTACACTTTCCAGCTCCCCGAAGACGTCACAAGTTCAATGAGTCATTCCTTCAACATGGCCAGACAGCACTGGAAGTTCACCAATGCTGAGATGCCTGTTTTTAGCTCAGGCAGGTGCCATCTCCGGGGCTGGCAGCCAGAGTGGCACACACAGGGAACAGAATACCCCCACACCCCTCGCGAGAGCAGCTGACCCCCAGCCAAGTCACCACTGCAGAGACAAGCAGCTCCCGGACTCGCTCGCCACGGCTCCATCCAGACACAGCCCGGGAGGCACAAGACCCCCGCCAGCCGGCGTGCTCACCCATGCAGATAGCCTCTCCTTTGGTGGTGATGACCACGATCTCCTGGTTGACCTCGATGCCGTCCTCATACCGTAGCACCCCCGGGAGCATGATCTTGGCCCCATAGCAGATGGCGTTCACCTGGGTGAGGGCGGCGTGGAGGCTCAGGCTCAGCCATGGCTCTCAGCCATGCCACCCCCACACAGGTAGACAGGGAGGAGGCCCCCCTCTGCACATAAAGGGGCTCAGTCACAGCATGCCAGTGCTCGTGCTACTGCTCACCCCCAAGACAGAGCCAGGAGACCCGGGCCACACAGCATTCACAGGCTGACGTGCAAGTCCAGGCCTGCTCCTGTCTCGGCTTCACTCACCTAGAGCTGCTGACCACACGCCTCCTGCTCTTTAAACTCAGCCAAGGCCAAGGTCTACGTCACGTTTATATCATTGCTACACGAGATTCATTTTTTTCAACAATTGTGCTTTGTTCTATCGTACCTTCTCAATTTTTCTTGCGGTCTTGTATTATAAACTGATGCTCCCAATAATCTGTCAACCCTTTGTACTACTGAAAACTTGAATATGATCAAACTATAATTATTCAACATCCGCCAATTTGGGTATTTTGTATTGTAGCTACATAGCACTGAACAAAAACTGATCAGGTCTCTACTGCAAACACCATCTTAATTTTTAAAAAATCACATCCTCGGGGCCTCCCTGGTGGCGCAAGGGGTTAAGACGTAGCACTATGAAGCTGTCCGCAGCTTCTGCAGCCAGGGAGCTACCCACATGGGGCAAGAGACTTCTGTCTCGCCCGCTGCTCCCCTCAGCAGTGTATTTCAATCTGTCTGTTCTGTTTCCCACTGTCTCTGGTGAATCCTCTCACCCCCCACACCTCTGGCCTGTACCCCAGTTCTTATACACATAAAATAAATAAATCTTAAAAAAAAAAATCACATCTTCAAATCATAATTCCCCAGTAGAAATAAAAAGCTATGGGGACCCCCCGCGTGGCACAAGGGGTTAAGACACAACCTATGAAGCGATCCGCAGCCTCTGCAGCATGAGTTTGATACCTGGCCAGGGAGCTACCCACATGGCGCAGCAGACCTCTCCTGACCTGCCCACTGCCCCCCTCAGCAGTGCACTTCGGTCAATCTGCCTGTTCTGTTCCCCACTGATGGTGAATCCTCTCACCACCCCCAAACCTCTGGCCTGTACCCCAGTTCCTGAATGCATAAATAATCTTTTTTAAAAAATGATAAAAAAAGAAAAAAGTAAAAATTTAAAAAATTCTGCACTACCTGGAAACTTACTAAATCACCACTAGAGAAGAAATGCAAAGTGAAGTAATTAAGTACACTCTTAAATCCTCAAGGACTCCTCCAGGAACAACGCCACGCAGCTAACAGACTCAGGCAAAAGGCCCAATAAGCGCAGCCTTGTGGCGGTGCTTTCAGCCGCTACGACTGATGTGACTGTAACGTGGCCCCTTCACTGCCGCTCCTAAAGAATTGCCATTTTCTCTCTGAAATCCTCTAGTCTGAACTTTTCTCCTCAAGATTTATTTATTTATGCACAGAAGAACTGGGGTGTTGGTGGGGGGTAGGGGGAGGATTCCCCAGAGACAGAGTGGGAAACAGGCGGATCTACTGAAGCACACTGCTGAGGAGAGCAGCAGGCAAGATGGGGGTCTGCTGCACCATGTGGGCCAGCTCCCTGGACGGCGATCTCAGGCCATGGAGGTGACAGCCTGAGACTCAATCCCTAGGCCACAGGGAGGCCCAGCTACTCTGAACTTTTTAGTCTCAACAAAAGTCCCTTTTAGAGCAATAATGTAAATAAAACAAGTTTCTCAGGCACATGCAGAACCGGGCCATGCGAGGGCAAATCTCACGAGCCATTCCTTGCACCTCATGCTCTGGGAGAACTGAGCAAACATTTAATTCACTTGCCTTTTTCTGAGATGGAATCACACCTGACATTAAACTTCTACTTTTAATTCAGGACATTTGTTTTTAATGAGAGCGTTAGTTTACATTAGCAACATGAACAGACTGCAGGGTCCAATCTCCGAAACCAGAAACAGAACCATCCACCTTAAGGCAGACTCGAGCGCAAACGGCAAGCTCTGGCTCGAAGCGCAATGAGGGCCTGAGTGCGCACACGATGCCCCGACAGGACTTAGCCACAACCTACCGCGCTGTCTTTCATGACCAGCCGCTTGTGCGACGTCAGCAGCTTCTCCAGCGGGTACACGACACGCCGCAGGTAGCGCTCATCCTTGTGGTTGTCATACAACCACTGCGCATCCAGCACGTCGTGCATCGTCACCATGTGGTCCTGGAAAGAGTCAGGCTCAGAGTCGCTCCGTGTCACCACAGCTGTGGTGGCCCAGCAGACCCCGACTAGCCAGACTGGAATGACTCGAGTCAGGTCTCCAGAACCTTCTCTGGCTCCCAAACTCACCGACAGACTCTGTAGGCCAGGAGGTGAACGAACAGAGAATGGACCTTCTCTCCCATCACCAATCCGAGCCCAGGGTTTCATGTCCCAAAGTTCAATTAGCAGAACAGGGAAGCTGCCCTGAACTGGACTCAACACTTTGGACACGGCCTCACGCGGAAAAGGAAGCAAGGCCCTGCAGGCGCCGCCCACCCAGCGTACCTTCTCGCTCATGACTCCAGAACGAACCCGCCGAAGCTCCTGCATCTGCCCGCCAACCCCCAGTAACAGGCCCAGGTGCACACACAGCGTGCGAATGTAGGTGCCAGCCTCACAGCTCACCCAGAAGATTCCTAGGACGGGAAAGTATGTGTTTTGCAGAGCAGACACGTCACTGGATGGGAACACAGAGCCAGTGACAAGACATAGGCCACGCCACACCATGGACCCAAGGCCTCTCCTTTTAACAGAATTCTCAAGAACGCGTTCTCTGGCCCTGTGTGCCACGCTGCCTTGGCTCCTCCCCGCCTCAGGACCCACCTAGTCTCCTCTCAGGGTCGTACTCGACCATCCTGCTCTCATAGATGGTCCGCACGCGGAGCTGCCGCTTCACCGCTGCAATGAGTGGGGGGCGCTGGAATAAGGCGCCCGTCAGAGTTTCTAGAGCCTGAAACCAAAAGAAAGATGCTGTGTGGACTGGCAAGCCAGACAGAAGGGCGCCCCTGGGAGTTTAAGGACACGAGTACTCTTGAAGTCACTCCTGATGTAAGACGCCCCTACCACCTCTGCATCCGTCTTCAGCACCAGAGATGCACAGCGCCGACCAGAACCTCGGCCAGGGAGACACGGCCGCCACTACCATCTGCCGTCGCCTGTCTCCAGATGTATGGGGGCTCAGAGACGCAAGGGGTCCAAGGCTGCCCCGCCCCCCCCACCCTACAGCACACTCACCCTAGAAAGCTGGGTCCCCCCTTCAATAGCATTGTGCAGCCGGACAATCCCCACGTACTCTTTGCCTGAAAGATGACAAGAGTGGTCAGGGGCAGCCGCTGGCTTTGCTGTGCTTCTCACAGGCCCACATGACTCCCCGCACATGCGGCAGCAAGGCCAGCTGCCCTTGCTTCAGCGACCCTGTGTTAGGCCTATCTCACAGGGCTGAGTGTCCCAGCACTGGGGTTGTGACAGGAACAGTCACAGTACCAGGTGCAGAGCCTGGCCAGGCCAAGAGCTCCCCAAATGCAAACAAGGAGGGCCCTTGAGGAGGCCCCCCAGGACCAGCTTTGCCACCGGGCTCACACGGGGACAGAAGGCCGAAGCGGATGTGGTCACTTCCGGAGCCACAGGCAGCGGTCCAATGAGCCGCCTCTGCCACATACCTGCGCTCTGCTGGGACTTCACCAGGCGCGTGGCTCTTTCAATGCACACGATCAAGCAGCCGGTCACCTTGGGGTCCAGAGTGCCGCTGTGTCCTGTCTTCTCCACCCGAAGTATCCGTCGGATCCAGGCCACCACCTCGTGGGAAGAGGGGTTGGAAGGCTTGTCGAGATTGATGAAGCCGGTCCTGAAATGGAAGACAATGGCTGTGCCGCTGGTGCTTCCTCCTGTGAGACTCATCAACACAGGCCCAAGCGCTTAGGACAAGGGTCTGAGACATGCTGGGTCCCAACACTTACCGGATATAGTCCCCAATCTCCCGCTTCAGAGGATTTGAACCACAAGGGAGAGGTGTATAGTGTGTCGTCCTTACGTTTAGCTTATCAAAGTTCTAGGAAGCAATGACACAACACCAAGCAAACTCAGTAAACCATTGTGACATGAGACCAGAGCGGACACGACGGCCAACCGTGACACGGCCACCCTTCCGGTGTGTAAAATGGGGTTTCGCTGCTAGGTGGTCATCACCTGCTACAACAGACCGAGCTGCCGTACGTGCAACGACTACCCCCCACCCCAGAATAAGACAACCTGATCACCCGTCCAGGGACCCTCAGGGGACTGTCAGCCTCGACCTCTGGTACAGAACAGAGGGTCCAGCACAGATGTTAGCACAAGGGTGACTCGCCGGCTCCTGCTCCAGAGGCTGCCAGCCCTGCCCTTCTCATGCCTGCTCCTTCCCCTGCCCACTCCTTTCCCCAGCTGACCCCCAGCCTGAAAAAGCACCCTTAACTGAATCCATCCTTCTCATCACCCAGTTTAGCCTTATCTTGTTGCCACAAACAGCAATATCTTGGTAACTCCCAAGCCTAGTGACGACCTTGCCTGATTCCAGCGTCCTACAACAGAGAAGCACAGACTTCTAGAAAGCACGAGCTGGCCAAACAGCCGCTCCACTGTGTTGAATTATATAAGCAAACCTCCTCCTTTCACTTCAGTTCATTCAGTGAAACGCTTTTGCCGATGGGTGTGTCAGCAACTTTTTCTTTTTTTTTTTTTTTTATAGAGGCATGTTTTATTTATTTATTTATTTGTTTGTTTGTTTTGTTTATACATGCACTGGGTACAGTCAGAAGCGCAGGAGGGTGAGAGAATTCACCAGAGCCAGAGCAGGGAGCAGAGCAGGCAGAAGGACCGAGGTACACTGCTGAGGGGAGCAGCGGGCGGCAGGAGAGGTCTGCGCGCCATGTGGGACCCTCCTCCGGTGGCCAGGGAGCAGCCGGGGATCGAACCGGCGCCGCAGAGGCCACGGGCAGCTTCGCAACCCAGCGCTCAACCACTGCGCCACCGGGGAGGCCCCTGTCAGCAACTTTTTCTACCCCAACCTTCCCTCCCAGTCTGAGTTAACGCACAGCAAATCATTTGTGAGACCTCAACTCACCAGTGAACCACCCAGTCCAATAGCCAGTGATTCCACAGGCCATTACCTACCAGACACTGAATTACCTCCCACAGCCCTCAGCTCAAATAAGAAAAAGTATCCCCAGCAAACAGAAAAGTTAACCAACCGGCCCCAGGTGACACACCGCCTTACTTAAGTGGTATGTCTCCTCAGCCCCCTGTTCTCAAGCACCGGGCAGTCCCCCTCCAAGTGGGACCCCCAAAATGGTTTAGTCTGCAATTACTCGTTCTGACGCTTTGTTTTCTACAATGGTGATAGGTATGCTGGAAATGAAGACAAAGGGGTCCTTTGGGCCTCCCTAGTGGTGCAAGGGGTTAAGACACAACCTACAGCCCCCCCTCCCCCCGCCCCGGTGGCGCAGGCAGTTGAGGGCAGCGCTGTGGGCCGGCGAGGGTCCTACATGGCGCAGCAGACCTCTCCTGTCTTGCCTGCTGCTCCCCTCAGCAGTGTATTTCATCGATCTGCCTGTTCTGTTCCCCGCTCTGTCTCTGGTGAATCCTCTCAGCCTCCCGCGCATCTGGCTTGCACCCCACTTCTTGTATAAATAAATAAATCTTAAAAAAAAAAAAAAAAAGACAACCTACAAAGCTATCTGCAGTCACTGCAGCTTGAGTTCGATCCACAGCCAGCCAGGGAGCTACCCACATGGCGCAGCAGATGTCTCCTGTCTCGCCCACTGCTTCCCTCAGCAGTGTATTCCAGTGGATCCGCCTGTTCTGCTCTCCACTGTCTCTAGTGAGTCCTCACTCCTAGTACCTCTAGCATGTCCCGCAGTTCTTGTATGCATAAATATATACTTAAAAATAAAATATTCTTGGGCCTCCCCGGGTGGTGCAGCGATTGAGCGCTGGGCTGCGAAGCTGCCCACAGCCTCTGCAGTGCCAGTTCGATCCCCGGCCCCCGGGCGAGGGTCCCACATGGCACGCAGACCTCTCCTGCGGTGCTCGCTGCTCCCCTCAGCAGTGTATTTCGTCGGTCTGTCTGTTCTGTTCCCCGCTCTGGCTCTGGTGAATTCTCTCACCATCCCACGCTTCTGACTGTACCCAGTGCTTGTATGAATAAATCTTTTTTAAAAAAATAAATAAAATATTCTTGGTCTGAGAAGCCTGGAGAAACACAGCTTTTGACCATCAGCAGGCACTTCCTCCACAAGGCAGGCAGCACTGAAGACCAGTGAGCCATGCTGGCTGCAAGGGCCTCGCACCGGCCTGAGGCAAAACACCTACCTTTAACAACAGGGGCCACTGAGATGTGTCTAACTGCGCCACTTTGGATTCAGGTTTGATAAGAAATTCTTCAGCATGTTGGATTTCCTTCCAAAGAACAGAAACGGCCATTAGACGTCCTGCCCGCCTCCCTGTGGTCCGTCTGCACCGCAGTGAAAAACAAGGCAGTCCACGCCTCCTGCCTGAGAACTCCAGGGGAGAGGGAATGGGGCCTGATGGAAGAGGCACCAATGTGGTGCCTTGGAGATAGCTACAACTATGGGGGGTGGGGGTGGGGGGACAGTTTCACTGAGGTTATAGCTGTGGGTCCACACAGGCTGCCGGGCTTGCGCCCACTCAGCAGCCCCCAGCAAACCCCAGCCAGTCCTTCAGCACCTTTCCGGTCACCTGTCACCTATGCCCCTTTCGGTCCTGCAAAACGAAAGACTTCCCTACTCACCGCTACGTCTTCTTCTGGCAAGGACTTCCGCTCCTTTTTCTTCTTATGCTTCTTTGGCAAGATAAAGACTAAAGAAAAGACAAACACGGCGATTGGGCATTTCTCGCAAAAATACAGGGCAAGGAGCTTAACAGTGAGGCGGAGAGCTGGGCGGTGGCGGGGAAGGTCTGCTGGCCAACTCCTGGGCGAACCCGGCGAGGAGGCCGGCCGCGCCTGCACGTGTCCCAGCATCCTGGTGCACCACGTGGCCGTGGCGGGGCCAAAACCCGTGGTCCCGGCGCTGGCCTGCGGGCCGAAAAGTCTGCGACTCGAGTCCTTGACTGTGCCGGCCGTCTTGAGGCGTCTAGAAGGCTGGGGACCCTCGGCCCGCACCCCTCGGCCCCTTCCCCGCCTGAAAGACCCGCTCTCAGTCCCCGCATGGAGGGCGCGGACCGCGGTGGCACAGGGCCGACTAGGTCTTCAAGCGAGGCGCGGGCCGGCGTGGCCGACGTCTTCCGACGGCGATCCGGGCCCCGAGGATCTCTGCAGCGGCTGGGGGCCCGGGCCTGCGGCGCCTCGCCACCGCAGGGGCCTCTCCCTTGCCCGCCGCCCCGTGCCGCTCAAGCCAAGGCCGGCCAACGGCCGAGGCGCCCCGCGCGCCGTCGCCGCGCCCCCCGCCGCGGCCCCCGAGCCGGCGGGGGCGCTCCTACCTTCCTCGTCCGCCATGATGCCCCGCACAGCGTGCGCGCCGCGTGGGCCCGAGCCGAGAAAACGGTGCCGCCGCCGCGCCGTCAGGCCGCGCCGCTGGCCCCGCCTAGGTGTGCGCCGCCGGTGCGTGCGCCGCGGACCGGGGCGGGGCCACGCCGGCCGAGCCCCGGCGCACGCAAGCCTCCGGCGTCGCTCATTGGCCGGCTCGGCTTGACGGCTGCGCGTCGGCGCCTGCGCCGCGGTCTCGCACCGCCCCGGGGAGCGCGGTCGCGGCCGTGGGCGGGGCGCGGGCTGAGGGCGGGGCCGGGCGGGGCCGGGGCGGGGCCAGCCGGGCCGAGGGAGCACGCGGCCGTGGCGCTGGCGGGCTGGCCCCGCCTAGTGGGGGAGGGCGCGCAGCGACGCCGCGGACGGAAGGCGCTCACTCGGCGTAGAGCGGCGCGGCTTCCGGGCGGACTCCCGCCGGCACCGACCCGGGCGCCAGGTGCAGGCGGCCGCGCCCGCGCGACCCGAAGGGGCGCCTCCCGCCCCAGCCGTCGCTCCCGGCTTCCGTCACGCTCTGGTCCGCCCCGCCCGAGAGGGCGGCCGCCGCGCGTCCTGTAACAGCCGCCGTGGACGACCCCTGACGGCCGTGCTTTCCTCACCGCGCGCTCCGCCCTGCCGGAGGCCGTTTCCACTTTCTTCGCGCGGTGCCAAAAAACGCGGCTCTTTCCCGCCCGTGTGGAGTTTACGCTGCTTCCCGCCGGGGTGGCAATGACGTGAACTTGCCGCGGCCAAGCCACCCAGCCACCCACCTTGTCGCTTCCCTGTCACTTGCTGCTGCTTCCTGGGCGCCACTGGGCTGCACAGGTCGCAGCCGTTGACCCATGCGGCCGCTCCAGCCTTCCTCTTGCTCCCTGGGAGCTCATTGCTCTCATTGCTCTCGTAGCAAAGCCTCTCGACCTGGTTCTCAGGACAGATTGGGTTCGGCGGTGCCTCAGCGCTCCCAGGCAGTCCTGCCCTCCTGAGGGCCCCTGCTTTGCCCAGGGGCCTCCTGCAGGTTCCGCTGCTTCTGCTTTCTCCAAGTAGTGTCTTCTGGACAGAAAAGCCATCCCCCCCGTTGTCAGGACCTGTGCCTCCTCCGCACAGAGCCCTGCACTGCCTTTCCATCTTTTGTGGGGTGAAGAGTGACCACCCAGCAAGTGTCTTAACCCCTGAACCATGCCACTGTGACCTTTTCAAAAAACAGTTTCCATCTGATTCTCTTTCTGCGACCATTTTCTCTCACTCCTGCCCTTGCTCACAGCCCTGCTGCCCCCTGCTTCTTGAAAGTCACGACTGGGGACACCCCCTTTTCCTCCCCTGAGAAGGGAAGGGACCTTGTTTATTGTCTCTCTCTTCACAACACTGTTACCTTATGTAGACATTGTGGCTATTAAGTCACTGCCCTGTGCTCTGCTCCTTCAAGATGTGCACATTCAAGTGTCTGTTGATTGAATCTCTGCCTTCTCAACCCAGAGGCCCCACGGACCTTCACACCCCAACATGAAAAGCTCCTCTTCCTCACCTGCTGAGGTTGCTCTGGCCTTTCTTGGAGGCTTGCACCCAAATCACCAGGACGGTTCACACAGTTATGCCAACTGTCCCCAGGTCGACTCCCCACTCCACAATATCTCCTGTTCGACGTCTGCAGAGCTGGCAGGTTGGAAGCCTAATGTCACCAGCATCCCTCTGACTGCTTTTCTGCCTCCTAGACTTGCTGTTCTGGCCATTGCACGCAAGTGGGGCATTCACTGCTGCTCCATTTGTCACCTCCACACGGCGTGCTGTCTGACTCACACTCCACTGTACGGCCAGACGGCATTGGTTTCTTTTTTTTTTTTAATTTATTTATGCATACAAGAGCTGGGGTACAGGCCAGAGGTGCCGGGAGTGAGAGGATTCACCAGAGACAGAGCGGGGAGCAGAACAGGCAGATTGACTGAAATCCATTGCTGAGGGGGAGCAGCGGGCGAGACAGGAGAGGTCTGCTGCGCCATGTGGGTAACTCCCTGGCCGGGGATCGAACTTGTGTTGCAGTGGCTGCAGACAACTTCATAGGTTGCATCTTAAACCCTTGCACCACCAGGGAGGCTCCATGGATGGCATTGTTTTCTGCAGCCTCCACCCCTCTCGCCTCGTCGCGTTCCAACTCCATGTCGAACTTTCTTTTTTTTAAAAAAAAAATTATTATTTATGCATACAAGAGCTAGAGTGTAGGTCAGAGGTCCAGGGGTGAGAGGGCTCACCAGAGACAGAGTGGGGAGCAGAAAAGTCAGACTGACTGAAATGCACTGCTGAGGGGAGCAGCATGGAGGGTCTGCTGCACCCCCTGGGTCAGCTCCCTGGCCGGGGATCAGACTCAGGCCAGGCCATAGGGGTAATAGCCTGAGACGGTGTTGAACTGTGTAAGGAAGTGCAGACTTCTGTTCCAGGGCCACACTGCCCACAATGGCTCGCTGCTGCTCATGGCCGACTCCACTCGATACCAGCTAACAGTGTGGCACTGAGGTGTTCAGGTGACTTGGATTACACAGCCAGCTTGCGTTTCAACGGAGGACTAAAGCAAGTGTGAGTATCTAGGCCTTACCTATATTTTTACCCCAAATTCCAGAGACCTGAGCTGTGATTCCCTCACATGCTGGACAAGCCCCCGCAGCACCCTAACATGCTATGCCGCCTCCAGGAAGAGGCCGGGCAAGCACTACACTTCAGCTCATGGCAGCGGTTCCGGCCCCACCACAAGCACCAGGCTCCTCCTCGCCGTTGTCTCCTTCCATTCAGATAGCCCAGGCCGGGGGATCCCGCCGGAGGCTGGCCTACTTGGACTTTTATCACTTAGAGACACCGTTAACGAGCAAAAGCAACAAACTCTTCTGTCAACCCCAAATAGCATGTATTGGAAGGGGCTTGAGGCTTGTGCGCTCAGTAAAGGACAGGCTAAGAATGACTGTGATAGAAGTGAGACGGTGAGGAAGCGAGAACAAATGAGTTGTGTGTGCGCTCGGGTTAGGGAAGGTCAAGGGCAGGCCTCCCCCTTGTTTATGGCTCATCCCTCACTTCCTTCCACAGCACGACACAAAGCTACATGGTTACTGGACTCCAGGGACGCGCTGGAGAAATAAACAGAGAAAGCCACGCTGAACGGAAGGCTCAGCAGCATCTCTGTGTGCCCTTCTGAAGAGGCAGACAAGGCCCACCCTCCCTCCCCTCCCCTTGGTTCCATTTCAGCCCCACCCCAGCTGCCTTGACCATAGGATTGTTTTAAGATATTTCACAATGTTTCACTGGTCAAATGTGTTCAATACAATTGGCTGCACAAATGTTCCTTGTTAATAACACCCCCTTCTGATGGGGACAGGCTGTGCAGGGGATGGGGGCGTGACTCAGTAAGCTTCAGATGGTTGAATCCTTTGTCACCTGCTTTGCCGGTGTCTCCTGCAGTGACAGTGGCCGGTAGGGCAACTGGAGGAGCTAGACATGGTCCAGTGGCTCTCAGTCCCCAGTCGGTGGGACCAGCCTCGCGCCTTTGTCAGCCACACCCCGACTCGTGAGGTTGAGTCATAAAGTCAGGGTAGTCAGCTGACTGTGCAAGATGCCATTCCCTACCTCAACTCTGCCTTCCAGACCCTTCTGCTCTGGCCATGAGAAGAAACCCATCATTGGATAGTCTATGGCTCAGAGCATGTGGCAGATCCTGTCGGTCGTGGTGTTGTGTCCTAGCTAGCAGCATGGTGGAAGCTTCAGAAGGCCACTGGTAAAGAGAAGGAAGGGAATAATAATACAAGCAGAAACCAACAAGATAGAGATTAAAAAGTTACACCAAATATCAATGAAACTAAGAGTTAGCGCTTCACCAAATAGAAAACAAAATAGGCAGCTCCCCTGCCCACCTGTGACTCTGCAGGTGTCTCTTTTCCTTTCTCTTTTTCCTAGTAAATCTGTCTTTTTAAAATGTAAAAAAAAGAAAGGCTAGACCTTGAGCAAAGGTAACAAAGAAAAGAGAGAAATCATTATTAAGCAGAATCACAGCTGAGAGGGGAGAAATCTTCCCAGATAGCACAGAGTACAAAGGATCAGAAGAGATTACTTCACTAAATTCTTTGACCTTCAAGAAATGGGCATGTTTCTAGGTCAATATGATCTTCTAAGACTAACCCAGGAAGAAACAGAAGTCTTGAATAAATCGATGACATCGTGAAAATTGAAGCAGTAATAGGGCTTCCCTGGTGGCTCAAGGGGTTAAGCACAGCACTATGAAGCTGTCCGCAGCCACTGCAGCTCGAGTTCGATCCCTGGCCAGGGAGGTGACCCACATGGTACAGCAGATCCCTTGTGTCTCACTGCTGCTCCCGTCAGCAGTGTATTTCAGTCAGTCTGCCTGTTCTGTTCCCCACTCTGTCTCTGGTGAATCCTCTAACCCCCCACATCTCTGGCCTGTACCCCAGCTTTTGTATGCATAAATAAATAAATCTTTTTTTAATAAGACAATTTTTTGTTAAGATTTATTTATTTAATGGGCCTCCTGGGTGGTGCAGCAGTTGAGCGCTGGGCTGCGAAGCTGCCCGCAGCCTCTGCAGCGCCAGTTCGATCCCCGGCCGCCGACGAGGGTCCTGCATAGCACACAGACCTCTCCTGCCGCTCCCGCTGCTCCCCTCAGCGGTGTATTTCGTCAGTCTGCCTGTTCTGTCCCCCGCTCTGGCTCTGGTGAATTCTCTCACCCTCCTGCGCTTCTGACTGTACCCGGTGCTTATATAAATAAATAAATAAATAAATCTTTTAAAAAAGATTAATTTAATTTTTTAATTAATTTGTTTGTTTGTTTGTTTATAATTTTTAAAAGATTTATTTATTTGCTTATTTATTTTTTAAGGTTTATTTATTTATTTATTAAGAGATCTTTTTAAAAAGATTTATTTATTTTTATTTGTTATAATTTTTAAAAGAATTTATTTATTTATTTATTTGGGTTTTTTTTTTAAAGAGTTATTTATTTATTTATTTATTTATACAAGCACCAGGTACAGTGAGAAGCGCAGGAGGGTGAGAGAATTCACCAGAGCCAGAGCGGGGGACATAACAGGCAGACTGACGAAACACACCGCTAAGGGGAGCAGCGGGCGCGGCAGGAGAGGTCTGCGTGCTATGCGGGACCCTGTCCGGCGGCCGGGGATCAAACTGGCCCTGCAGAGGCTGCGGGCAGCTTCGCAGCCCAGAGCTCAACCACTGCGCCACCAGGGGAGGCCCATAAATAAATAAATCTTTAAAAAAAAAAAAAGGAAAATTGAAGCAGTAATAAAAAAATATTCCCCAAACCGAAACTCAGAACCAGGAACCTTTACAAAGTCTGTCAAAACTTTTTTTTTTAAAGATTTGTTTATTTATGCATACAAGAACTGGGGTACAGGCCAGAGGAAGCATGGGGGAGGGGTGAGAGAATTCACCAGAGACAGAGTGGGGACAGAACAGGCAGACTGACTGAAATCCACTGCTGAGGGGAGCAATGGGCGAGTCAGGAGAGGTCTGCTGCACCCTGTGCCATGTGGGTTTCTCCATGTGGGTTTCTCCCTGGCCGACCGGGGATCGAACCCGTGCTGCAGAGGTTACGGACAGCTTCACAGCGCTGTGCTCAACCCACTGCGCCACCGGGGTGGCTCTTGGTGAGAGTTTTTGTCATGAATTGGGGTGGGATTTTGCCAACTGTTTCCTCAGCAACGGCTATCCTCGTGTCTTTCCTTGGCTTGCTCGGAGGCTGGATTGCCTGACTGATTTGCCACGACTGAAGGAGGCGTGCACTATTGGAGAAAACCCACTTGGTCTCAGTGCATAGTTGTTTTAAGTGTGAGTGATTTGTAAGGCTTTTCACTTCTTATTCAGGAGACACTTTGGCCTAGACGTTTCGGTCTTTTCCCCCAGCAGAGACCCACACTGCTGCCAGGGTCCTCCTTCTTGGCACTCGCTGCCCTCTTGTTGCTGCCAGCTTTCCCACGCCCAGTCACCCTTACCCCACTTCCCACCTGGGACGCCATGACACCCAGGACGTGTGCCAGGCTGCATGGGTGGTGGAAAATGCAGGGATGGATGGTGAAGACTGAAGTGCCAGCACCAGGGGCAGGAACTGGTGGGAGGGGCAGGACTCCCCTGCTTCGACCTCACTTCCTGCTCCCTGGCTCTGCCCCTGGACAATGCTTCCCACAGGGCCCCCACCTGGCTTCTGCCTAGTGATGGGGCCACCTGCCACCTGGTGCCCCAGAACCAGGAGGCCACCTCCGGCCTAGCACACCGCTGGCCTGCTGGGTGTTCACCATCAAGTGCAAATGCAGTCGCAGTTCAACAACAGGGATCCTCTGTGGGAATAAAGGTTGGGGTCATCCACCAGTGAGGAATTCTGGCCAACTGAGGTGCTGGCTCGAAAGTCATGGCAGGGTGTGCAAAAGGATGCTATGATGGGCCGTCACAGCCTCCAGAGCCGCCCCAGGAATGAGGATGGCGGGAGCAGGTGCATGTGCGTGGGGTCACCTTCCCACCTCCGTGCAGAGTGGAGGCGCAGCAGTCAGGATCGGGAGGCACAGGCTTGGACTGATCATCTGCAAATCCTAGCGGGGACCTGCAGTAAGGGGTGGGAACCACTAGAAAAACGTGGCCAAAAGTTGCTGCCCATGGGCAGTCTCTCCCTTGGGCACCAGCTGGGTTGAATGGTCCCATGAGGAAGTGCCATCTAGGGTGGGGGACCCTAGGAGGGAATATAAAGCAGTGCAGGAGCCAGCTTGGGGTCCACCCAGACTCCTCGTGCCTTGTACCCAGCCTCCGGAAAGGAGAAACACGCTTCCAGCAGCTCACCTCAGAAGAGAGAAGCCAATGCAGGGAGCAGAAGGCTGACTCGCTCTTGTCGCTGCCACTGCCTGGGGAGAGCAGTGTAGGCCCTGGGGGCTGGAGTCTCAAAGAGCTGCCTCCGCTGCTGTCCGGTCCAGTGTCTGGTGCTGCTCACCGTGACCTTCAGGCTGGGGCTGCATCATGTCTCAGTGCCCCGCTGTGGGTGCCCCAGCTGCCACCGTGAGTTGAACCCTGGCCTGCTGCCTCTGGCTGCCTTAGGCTCCAGGCCCTCCTGGGCAGGCTGGCTCACCTGGGAGTAGTGGCCTTTAGTTTGGGATTCTGGACAATGAGGACACGGTCTGGGGGGGAGATAGCCTTAGAGATTTTATTTCCCCAGTTTGTTCAATAAAGCCTGCTGTTGCCTGAGCCTGAGTGGTCTTGCAGGGGTGCGCGGGTGAGACCCCACAGTGACGGCCTGTCCTCTGCTGGCCCATCCTAGCACGGCCACTGCCCCCCTAGAGCTGTGTTTCACAATTACAGACACATACCCTTGTGTGCAAAAGAAAGTCACTTTAGAAACAACTTGTCCCCTGCACCAGATTGCTCGCTCCTGTCTGGGGGGGACATGCCCCGGGGTGGGCTGTAGTGTCACTCAATTCTGGTGCCACCCGGTGGAGCGGGGCAGCACGTGCTACAGGCTCAGTCCCCTGTCCCCAACACTAGTCACAAATGCAGCCGTCCACCTGTCCCCTGGCCGAAGGGCTGGAAGCGCGAGGTGTAAGCTCCAGGTGCCCTTGGCACCGTCATTAGGCTCCATGAACTTGCTGGTCGGCTCCAGCAATTGGGAGCTGGCTGATTCATTAGCAAAGAATGACTCAGGAACAGCCAGAGGGGCACAGCTATAGGGCAGGGGGTGTGGGAAGGGGTGTGGAATTTATCTGCTCTTTGCAGGGGCGTCATTCTCCCCAAATCTGTGCGTATTCACCTTCTGACCACCTCTCTGGGCCCCATCCTTTTTTGGGGTCTCCTGGAGGTTTCATCTCCCTTCCCCAGAGGTGTGTGTGTGGACACCCCATCCCCCCCTTGTTTCCTGGAGGCACCAATTAACATAACAAGATATACCTCGATGGCTCTTGGCACTCAGGAAATTCCTAGGGCTTCAGGTGCTGGGAATGGCTATTTGCATCATAAGTCACGATATCAAGGTATGGATGTGGGGGAGCAGGGGCAGGTGGAGCAGGGATGGGCTGCGGGTAAACTGTTTGGCTGATGAGCTGGGTATGAGGTCTGCAAAGCAGTCACAAGCTGTCCAGGCCGTGGGGGTGGGGGTGGGTGTGCTGAGAGCCAAGGGGTTTGGAAGGGTGTAGATGTGTGGGGTGACAGTCTCCACATATCCGCTTTACCATTGTGGCTGCCACGCCCCTGTCTGTTGCCCACAAGTTCCAGCACCTGCCCGGATCCCTTTATGCTGCAAACCATCCGGCCCGTTCTGTCATTTTGGGTGACCCCTGACACACTCTAGAATCATGCCGGGAGATAGTGAGCTCTCTCTGGAAACTTCCGAGGTACCAGAAGGGTAGGAAGTGTCTTTGTAAGTTACAGAAATGACGTGGCATTGATTTCTTCCAAGTGTGAGGCGTTACACAGAGGGCAGAGAGCGGCTCAGGGACGTGGCTGGCGCTGGGCAGCCACCGCTGCGCGCATCGTGGGTGCCCGCCCCCCCTGGCTGCAGCCCTTTCCCGTTTCCAGCGCGGTTCAGAGCGGGCGGCGCTGGGAGAGGGGCCGTTCAGGCCGACAGCCTGGGCCGCCCGGGGCTGGCTTCCAAGTGGTGTGACATTGTCATCCTGTTTCTCTTGGCCGCGTCTGCACCGTCGAGATAATGCGAGGCCGTTGGAGCAGCGAGTGTGGGGCTGGACAGATAGCGCGGGTGGCTGCCGGGCCGGGTGAGTGGTGGCGGCGGCGAGGCGCAGCTTTGTCGTTCCGATCGATGGCCAGGCACCCCGTTGCAGCCACCTTTTCCAGCTTCAGGGTGGAGGGATGCCAGTCCTCCACGTGCCAGCCTTTCCCACGCGGGCGGGCAATGGGGGTGCAGGGGCCGGCGAGGCGGCCCGCCCGGGAGGGGGAGGGGCGGGCCGTCGGGGGAGCCGGCGGTTCCGGGCGCGTGGACGACACCTCCTCCCTGCCGGGCGGCCGTCGCCTGGGCGGGGTGGAGGGGCGGGCAGGCGGCCCCCGGCGCGCGGCGTTCGGAGCGGGGGAGGCGGGGCGGGACGGCGGGGGCCGGAGCGCTGGCCGCGGTGTCCGGAGGCGGGGGTCGCGCGGCGCTTGGGGCGGTGCTGGGGCGGCGCTGGGCCCGCCCCGCCGGCATCCCGGGCCGACTTCCTCCCGCCGCGGGCGGCCGAGCCAGCTGGAGGAAGCGCGGCGGGCGCCACGATGAGCGCGGGCGACGCCGTGTGCACCGGCTGGCTGGTCAAGTCGCCCCCCGAGAGGAAGCTGCAGCGCTACGTGAGTCCGGGCCCCGCGTCCCGTCCCCCCACTCGCTGGCCGCCGGATCCTGCAGTCGGAGCCGAGCCCGAGGCGGGCTGGGGCGCGGGGGGACGGGACGGAAGGCGCGATCGCCCGTCGAGCGGGTGTAGCCAAGGCGCCCAGCCGGGGGAGGGGCGGGGGTCGCGGACCCGGCCGGCGACTCAGACGCACGCCGCCGGCAAGGGCGTCCCGCGTCTGGTCGGGGGCGGCCCGGAGCCCCAGGGGCCCGCGCCCAGGGCCGGACAGCGGGCCGGCAGAAGGACCGCGGGCCGGTCGGGCCGACGCGGGCGGGGGAGGCGGCTCCCGGCGTTCGCGCGGCGGGTCCGGAGCGCCCTGGAGGCCGGGCGGGGAGCCGGCGACTAAGACCGCCAGCCCGGGCTCACAGGCTGTCGCTGCGCGGCGTTTGCCTGGGGCTGCCACCGCGCTTGCCGAGCACCCGCGGGAGCCGAGGCTTGCACAGCGGGACAGCAGGGACCCGGGGAGGGCGCGTCCTCCCCGCCCCCTGGCCGCGCGAGAGGCGCCCCGGGCAGCGCCTGCTCACCCGTCGCGCGGCGCGGGCCTCGGATCACGGCCACCAAGTGCGCCCCGGGAGGACCCGCCGGCCGGCGGGTGGGGGGCTTGGCCACGCCAGGAACAGCCGCTGCGCCTGCGGACGGGATGCGGGCGGCGCGGAGCCTGGGAGAGCGCGCTAGAGCCATGTTCTCCGGATTCCTAAAAGCCTGCCAGCGAAGCCTGCGCGCCCGGCGCCCGGGCTGTGTGCTCCGCTCCGAAGCCGGCGCCCATCTGGGCGCCCCGCCCGATATCAGCGCTGTTCGTGGGAGGTGGGAAGGGACAAGAAGAACCCACTGCGTTTTGGGTACTTCCACAATGCCTGGCAGGCCGTTTGCCTGCACTTGCACTCGCTAGGACCACTGTCACCCCGCAGGGCTGGCAGGGGGTCGTCCACAGCTTCGAGTGTTGCTTCTGCCCAGGAGGCAGCCGAGGGGTGTGTGCGCTCACAGTGGACGTGGTGGTGCGGAAGGGTTGCTCGGGTGGACTGCCAGGGTGTTCCCACAGCACTCTCCACCACCCCCAGTACACACAAGCGAGGTCCCGGCCTGCCGGCCCCCACATCCCCAGCCGCTTGCCTCCCGCCCTCTGTCCAGCCAAGCTGCCTGGAAGACTCATCCTTCTGGGAGTACATAAGAAAAGGAAGAGTCTCTCCTCCTCCACCCCCAACCAAGGCTTTGTCACGGACAGGTTCCTGCAGGCCGCGGGGAGGTGGTGTCCTCCCGGCCCTTGGCAATGGGAGGCAATTGAAAGGCTCACAGTCGTTGTGCCAGGGGGGTTCTGATCCTCTGCCCCACGGGAAGGTGGCAGGAGACTCCCCTGCAGCCGTATATGCTCTCTCTCTGGTTAGGCAAGTTGCCCTGCCTCTGAGCGTGCACACCCAGGGTCCATGTACAGCCTGTGCTAGGGGCCATGGTGGGCAGGGATGGGGGCTCTGGCAGCTTGGAGCGCTGAGATGTAACCTTCCTTATTTGACCAGATGTCAATTTTCACCTTTAGTCCTGGCGTGGGGACTTCCCCTAAGGAGGGGCGTGGTCTGTTAGATAGTTGGGTGCCTTTTGCTGACACCTGGGTGGGACACCCCTCAAAATCAAAAGCAGATTCCCGCTCACCTCCAAGTTCCGCAGGAACCCCCTGCTGCCACCAGAGGGCACTCAGGGGCAGTTCGGCGCGGCCCTGCGGCCACCCTGCAGCGGGAGGACCTGCCGGGAGGGAGGACTGGCCCTCCTCCCTGGGCTGAGCACCCGCGGGACAGGCCCAAGTCACTCGCAGGGGGAGGACGAGAGGGCAGGCCCGACCCCTGCCCTGACATTCAGAACAGATAACAGCAAAGCTACTTAGTGGTACAAGTATTGCAACGTGGCAAAGGAAAGCCCCCCCAAGAGAACGGTGATCTTTCTAGAACTATTTCTACACAATCTGCAACGTTCTCTTTTGCACAAAAGGGGTCATGCTCTACAAATTGTCCTGCGATTTTCTCTGTTCATGATGATCGCGGGCACCCTTCCAGGCGCTGCCCACAGAGCATCCTGGATCAGCCAGGGCATCCCACGCTTCGTGGCAAACGTGACACTGTTCCTCCACGACCAGCATTTGCCAGGAGCTATTTGTAGCTTGGATAATAGTGTTTTGTTGCAGACTTAATCTCCAAGCATTTTCTACCCTTCTGTACTTTATCTTTTTATTCTTTTTGCAGTCTCTTCCAGAAAAGCAATATTTAAAATTTTTGATTAAGTCTCATTTATCAATTTTTCTTTTATGGATGATGCTTTACTGTCAAATCAAAGAATTCTTCACCTTGTCCCATTTCCTCAACATATTTTCTGTTTGTTTCCTACAAGTTTTATACTTTCATATTTCAGTCTGTGACTTGAGCTAAAATCTGTAAACATGCAACATTTGCATCGTGGTTCATTTTACTGGAAACTGAGTTTGTTGAATATACTCTCCTTGAATTACTTTTGCAACTTGAACAAAATCAGTTTTCCTGGGTGCCTCGGTCCATCTTAGCCTAGCACCATGCTCCTTGGCCACAACTTGCCTTACGAGAATTCTTCCCTCAGGTGCTTTCAGCCCTTCAGCCTTCTTTGCCCGTTCAGTCGCGTGTCAATTCTAGGTCCACCTTAAGTTCACATCAAGTTTGTCTATTCTGCGTGTTGCCTCTGACCTGCAACCTTGGTAAACTCACTGCTCCCAGCTGGAGCACTGACACGGCCAGAGCAGCGGCCCCTGGGCTTCCCCTGAGCTCCACCCTTCCCGCTGAAGCATGTTAGCCGTTGCTCTTTGTAGCTGTTTTGTTTTTTTTTTTAAATGAATTTCTGTTGTTTCTTTTTTTTATAAAAGATTTATTTGTTTATGAATATAAGAACTGGGGTACGGGCCAGAGTTGGGGGTGTATGTGTGAGAGGATTCACACACTGTCACAGAGACAGAGCGGGGACCAGAACAGGCAGACTGGTGTTTGCTTCGGCAGCACATATACTAAAATTAGAACAGGCAGACTGACTGAAATCCACTGCTGAGGGGAGCAGCGGGGAGACGGGAGTTCTGCCGCGCCCTGTGTGTGGGTCAGCGCCCTGGCCGGGGACTTCACTCAGGCCACAGTGGCTGCCCATAGCTTGATAGCGCTGTGTCTTTAACCCCAGTGCCACCAGGGAAACGCTCTTTTTTTTTTTTGATTTTTTTTTTAATTTATTTATGCAAGCACTGAGTACAGTCAGAAGCGCGGGAGGGTGAGGGAATTCACCAGAGCCAGAGCGGGGAGCAGAGCAGGCAGAAGGACCGAAGTACACTGCTGAGGGGAGCAGCGGGCGGCAGGAGAGGTCTGCGCGCCATGGGGGACCCTCCTCCGGGGGCCGGGGAGCAGCCGGGGATTGAACCGGCGCCGCAGCTGCTGCGGGCAGCTTCGCAACCCAGCGCTCAACCGCTGCGCCACCGGGGAGGCCCTCTTTGTAGCTGTTTTTTATGAAATCAAGTTAGTGCCCTTGTATTGCTAAGGTTTTTTATTGTTATTTAGATTTTGTTAAACCCCTTTTCTGTGTTTATGAAAACACAATATGCTTTGTCTTTTGCCCTGTTATGGTGAATCACTTGGGTCGATTTTGCGTTTTAGGGCTTGGATTACTGGGATAAGCCCCGTGGCTCTACTATGCCGTCCTTTCCCTGCGTGGCTGGGTCCCGCTTCCTGATCTTTCGCTGAAGACACGTCTGTCTTTGTGCACGATGGATATTAGCCTGCAGTTTCCCTTTTGTGCACTGTCTTTTCTGGTTTTGATGTCAGCATAATGCTGACCTCATAAAATGGTTGGGGAATGTTCCCTGTCTTCTATTTTCTGAAATGTAATATTGGGTATACCCCGCCATTGACCCATCTGCTCCGGGACTTGGACTTGTGGGATGTTTTCAGCTACGTTTTTTTTCTTTCTTTCTTTCTTTTTTTTTTTTGTGGGACCCTCGCCGGCGGCTGGGGAATGAACCGGCGCTGCGGGCAGCCTCGCAGCCCAGCGCTCAACTGCTGCGCCACCAGGGGAGGCCCTACGTTTTATTTCTTTAACGGATACAGAGCTGTGATCCCTGTCTTCTGGAATGAACTTAAGTGGTTGGGTTTTTCAAGGATTTTCTCTATTTCATCTGATTCTTGGGGTACACCATACAGTTGGTCATGTCCGGCCCTTGGTCGTCCTTGCTTCCCTCTGGAATGATTTGCCTCCTATTCTACAGGTCTGCTGGTGGTGACTTCTTTCAGTTATGGCTAGACAAAGATTTGTATTTTTGCCTTCATTTTGGACTGACATTTTTGCTTGACAAAGAGACAGACCAAAGCAAAACAAAACCCTTGGAATCCAACTGCAGCACTGAGGGCCCTGGGAGGGGGGGAGTGTGGGCCCTGGGCCGCGGCCCTGGCTGCTCAGCATCTCCAGGCGGGCGTGACTCTGTCTTCCTGAAACACAGGGTGTTGTCAGCCGGCGTGACCTCAATTAAAAAGGACTCGGCTTTCCCTTGTGTGTTTTACAGCCGTTGCTTCCCTTTCCTCGCGTGTGCGCCGCTCCTTCCCACGCAGGAGGCTGCGCTGTCCCTGGCCTGCTGAGGTGCTGTTGGGGTTCGCAGAGCTTCTAGGATCTGCAGCTGTTTCTACCCAGAGTCCTAGCGCCTCTCACGTTGAGTTTGGAGGCCCCGGTGGAAGCCGTTATGCCCCGGGTGCTGCGAGTTCTCTGCTGCTTCCTCTGCGCGCCTCGGGTCGGCTGTGATTTTGCGCTTCCCCGGGTGGCTCACGCGGCACTTCTCGCGTCTCCCCTGCTGTGCTTGGGCTCCTGTGCCTTGTGAGCACGTGGGGGTGTTGGCAAGTGTTTCTGTGACCTGTCTTCTGCCGAAGGTGCCGCGGTCCCCCTTCCACGCCCCGGGAGGGGCCCTGCAGGTGCCGCTCGCTGGTGCGGGAGCGGTGGCGACGGTGGCCGTCCTGCGCGCCACAGGCCAGGAGCGGCCCGGAGGTCTGTTCCAACAACGTGTTTAAAACCGGAGGAAGGAACTGGCCGTTCTTACCTAGAATTAAGTCAAAACTTCATTTATGGCTTGACCTCGCTAACATGCTGAGGAGGTGCTGGAGCTGAGCGCGTCTGTCGGCCTGTCCGTGCCATTTTCTGCGACAGGGACGCTCTGGGTCTCGACCTCCCTGGGTACCCCCGCCAGTTAGTCTCCACTTCAGTCAGGCAAACAGAACTCTGGGAGTGAAGCTGCACTGGTGTCTTTTTTTTTTTTTCCTAAAGATTTATTTATTTATTCATACAAACACTGGGTACAGTCAGAAGCGCGGGAGGGTGAGAGAATTCACCAGAGCCAGAGCGGGGAGCAGAGCAGGCAGAAGGACCGAAGGACACTGCTGAGGGGAGCAGCGGGCGGCAGGAGAGGTCTGCGCGCCATGCAGGACCCTCCGGTGGCCGGGGAGCAGCCGGGGGTCGAACCGGCGTCGCGGAGGCTGCGGGCAGCTGCGGAACCCAGCGCTCAACTGCTGCGCCACCGGGGAGGCCCTGCACTGGTGTCTTTATCTTGACCCAGTACTGCGTGCAACCAGCACTGCAGTCCAGCCTTCGCCCTCCCTGTCCCCTCCAAATTCATCCTGGCATGCAGTCCCCACTGTTGTGTCGCCCTGGGCAGCCACTGCTCTGGTTTCTGTCTCTGGAGAGTTGCCTTCTCCAGTCAGTCTGTTACAGGGCAGGGAGAGGGGCAGCCCAGACCCCGCAAACCTGCCTACTCTAAATGGGTTCTGCCATCCACCGCATCAACACAAAACATAGGAGACTTTGATGGGAAGGAACTTTAATACAATTAGGAAACAACGCAGGAAAGGCAAAGAATCTAGTTTCTAAATCAAGCACCCAAAGTGACCCGTCCCCTCGAGGGTAAAAGTCCACCCAAGCAGGATTGGCCCAGAGCGAGGCCCGAAAGCTGCCCCAAGTTCAAAGCACC